TACTATATACATCTAGTAGCACTAGTAGCTAGAACTACTAGAACCTCTTCTATAGTACTATCGCTATATAGGCTATTACTATAGATAGCAATGTCTTTAATCGAGTTATTATAGCTTAAGCGATCTACGTCCTTTCTAACGCATACTAGAAGAACGACAACTCCGCTATAGTATTTGTTACCGCCGTAGGGTCCGGAAGTCCGCTTATCCTACGCTTACTTATTAATAATACGGGCTATAGCAATCTTATACTATAGGGTTAGAAACAATAAATTAATATACTAAGTCTCGCTATCCTAATTAGGTCGCCTCGATAGGCTATCGGCAGGGTTACTTACGCCTAGCCGGTATAATATATTAAAATCGAACCCGGCGAGGTAGATAGCCTATCTAGCCTATCGACCTATAACCCTAGTAACCTTCGTAATTCTACGGAGGTTGTTATAGTTTATATAGACCTAAACAGGGTGCTAAGCACTATCGAGATAGTAGCGCTAATACTTAAAGGCTTCTACGATTGCTAAGAGCTCTTACTCGTAGGTCTTATATCGACGCTCTATATCTATTATCTTCCGTAAAAAGAAGGCAATCGGGTGCTAGTAGGTATTATTAGCCTATTATAACATAATAGCTAATATAGCGAACTATAAAGCGTTAGTTTCAATTCGGATCTATTTGCTTAGTACGAAATAGTACAATAAGGGGACTTTAGTAAAGCGCTGCTTTAATCCGTTAAAAGCGGCTTGTGCTTTGTTAGTCTATTTAAACTCTCTAGATAGATTAGCCTTAGTTTTAGTAAGTTTAGTTAGGGGCATTACATGCCGTAAATAGCTCTTAATAAAGCGACGATAGAAATTAGCGAAGCCGAGGAACGACTGCAGCTCCTTAATTAACGTAGGAACAGGCTATTTAGTAATAGTTTTAATCCGATCGGGATTAGCCTTAATACCCTCGGTTAATACGAGGAAGCTAAGGAAGGCTACCTCCTTAGTAGCAAAGGTGCATTTAGAAGGCTTGCAATATAGGCTATAGGCTCGCAGGCAGTTAAGGACTTTGCGTACTATAGCCTAGTGCTTTGCAATATTAGGTAAATAGGTATAAACTAGGATGTTATCTAGGTAAACTATATAGAGGTAGTCTAATAGGCCTAATAGGGCCCTATTAATATAGGACTAGAATGTTATAGGGGCATTAGCTAAGCTAAATAGCATAACTAAATACTCGAAATAGCTATAGCGAGTACGGAAGGCTATTTTCTATTTATCGCCCTTACGAATACAAATACGATAGTACGCATCCTTAATATCTAATATAGTATAGAAATAGGCGCTAGAAAGGCGATCGAGGGTCTTATTAATAAGCGGAAGTAGATAGCGGTCTTTAATAGTAATAGCGTTAAGTCTACGATAATCGATATATAGGCGTAGGCTACTATCCTTCTTTAGTACAAATAGGATAGGTGTACTAGTAGGGCTGTTGCTATACTAAATTCGACTATTAGCTAGGTTCTTATCTAAATACTTACGCAACATAGCAAGCTCGCGCTTACTAAGGTTATAGAGGGGTCTAAAAGGAACCTCTTTGCCCTCTATAATATTAATCTTATAATCCGTCTCTTTAAATATAGGCAATGTCGATGCTAGGTAGTGTTTAAATACATTAATATAGGTCTCTCGAATAGGCTCTAGTATACGCTAGAGCTGTTTAGGGTCTATACTATTAGGGGGCACTAGTTTATCGTTATTACTACCGAGCAGGTCGGCAGTTAGATTAGCTAGGGTTAGGTTGCTAATAAATAGGACCCTAATATCGTTAGGGCACTCGCTAATATTAATATACTTAATGTCCTCTTTCCTAGCGATTCTAAATCGCTACTATTAGCTGCCTAAGTCTATAGTTATAGCGTAGTACTTAAGAATAGGGTTTCCGAGGACAATGTCGGCTAGAAGATTGTCTATATCTACTACGTAGGTAGTAAAGTCTAGAAGGCGCTTATTGCCGAGGTCGTCTTTTAGTACTATATAAACATAGTAGGCTCTATAGGTTAAGTGCCGAGCGTTATTAAACTAAGCAAGGACTAGCATGTTAGTCCTAGGTAGTTGCCGGAGGTCTAGTTGCTTAGCTAGGCGATAGTTAATAAGGGCACTAACTAAATTTCCTAGATCTAGTATAACTTTAGCGCTATAGTTAGTACTATGCGTATCTCCTATAAGATAGGTGCGTATAATAGCTAGCATAATGTCGATAGTCTTACGCCGTACAAGGCTAATAGTTAGTGCGGCGCTTATTCTTTTTTCGAAGGCTAGCCTATAGGGGTAGCGTTAGCTATTAAAAGATGCCTCCTATATTTAGCGGAGGCGCGATTAATCCGGGCCTAGTCCTTAGGTTTGTCGCATTAGCCTAGTAAATAGCTAGTGCTATTACAGTTAAAGCACTTCAATCCGGTTAGGAGATTACCGTAGCTGTTGCTACTACTATTATTAGCCGAGCGGTTAGTACTATAGGGATACGAGCCCCTTCTACGGCCCCTATTACGGCCTCCTCTATATAGCCGTCGGCTACGGCCTCTTCTACGGTTATTGCTACTATTCCTATTATTAGTATTGTTATTCTAATAGGAACCTTAGTTTCCTCCGCGGGCACTACGGTTGCTACAGTTAGTACTAGTTAGTCGGATCCTCGATTCTAGTCGTTATTAGAGCTAAACAGCCCGTTCGGCTGTTTCTACTTCGACTATAAATTAAATGCGTATTAGATTAGCTTATTCGAATATATAGCGACGGTCTAATTCGAGGATAAGCTCCTATCTAAGTTTTAGGCGTATCTCGGAGATCTATATAGAATTAGTCTTAGCCGGAAGGTCGTCCTTAAGAGTCTTTAAATAGGCCTTAAATAAGCGAGCCGATTGATTAGTCTTTTGCTTAGCTCGAAGGTATTAGTCCTAAGCGTATTATTGCCTTAGTATTAGGTTTCTAAGGGTGTCTAGTATAATAGTTTTGTAGGTTTGCTACTAAATAGCGGTCTAGTTATCGAGGGAGTTAAAATAGTTATCCTAGGTGCGCTTTAGGTCTCTATTAATATACTATATAGCGTAGACAACTAGTAAATAGTCGTTTAGAAGAGCCCTTAGTGCATTTCGCTAGTTAAGCTTACAATTACGTATATAATTATTATACTGCTTGCGACTAGAGCCGTTAAACACGGTATAGTCCTTAAGCTTAGCATCCTTCTTTTAAACAGTTAGTAAGGAAGGTCCTACTACCGGCTTAGCAGTTATCGAGGCCTTCTAAAGGCAGCGGAGCTCGAGAAGGTTATCCTTTAGCTACTGCTCTTAACGTAGGGCAATAAGCCTATTTTAAGTAGCTTCTTAAAGTCTTCCTACTAGTTGTAGGCTAAAGGCTAGTTAGTTATATCGTCGGTTAATAATGTTGTTAAGAATATCGTTAATAGGCAGTTCTAGGTCGTTACCTAGAACTATAGGTTCTTTAGTAGGCGCTATGCTACTAGAGTTATTATTGCTAGTGCTACTAGAGGCGCCGCGGTTGTTGTTTCGTAATAAGCCGGCTATTATAATAAGGGGTAGCAACGATAGTATATTATAGCCCCTTATAGTACGGATATAGCGGAATTAGTAGGTATCGGCCTAGTACGATTAACTTAGTATAATAGGCCGTATAGAAGGCCTTACTTAATAATTGGTACGGTTGTTTTTAATAGAATAGTACGTATAGGTCCTGTTCTTCGGGCGTAATATAGTTAAATCGATAGTTTTCGTAGCTATACCGCTAAAAGCTTGAAATAAGGACTATCTAGCTACTGCCCTTAAAGGATAGATCGAATACTATATAAGAAGGGTATATTAGTAGGTAGATAGGGTAGTAGTAGGTATAAGTAGTATTCGATAGAGATCTAGGAGAAGAAGGAGGAAGGTAGGCTAGTTAGCCTAACGCTAAGCGCTAAGCCCTACCTAAGGTACTAAGACCCTAGCTTTACTCGGCCTAGTTACATACTAATTACGTATAGCCTCTTTAGCCCTAATATACGTAGCGAGCTCTTCCTTTAGCTTATATTCCTTACCGCTATATAGTATATATAGGTTATAAGTATACGGGTCCGCGAATCTAAAGTGCCTCGCCTTCTCTTCTACTATACGAATACGGTCGAGACACACCTCGCAACGATAGTCCCTCGGATATACTAGTATATAGTTGCCCTTCTTTCGAATATACTCGTCGAACGCCTCTACCTTCTTTAGATAAATATCGAGCTTAGCATTCTTCGCAATTATCCTATATTCTACGGCCTTATATCCCTTCCTAATCTCCTAGCGTTATTCTAGCAACCGCTCTATTACCTTATACTAAGCGTTTATCTCGGCTCGCTATTTCTTAAGCTACTCTATTACCTTTAACGTCTTCCTCGGATTCTAAAGCCTCTTTATAATAGGCTCTTTATCTTCTTTAACTAGTAACGGTTTACGCTTAATAGTAGGCTCGGTCTTAACAATAGGCTCTTAAGCTGTTAGTAGCGGTAGTATTAGTAGCGGTAGTATTAGTAGCGGTAATATTAGCGACGATATTAGCTTAGGTTTAGACTCCGAGTCTAATAGCTAATTACGAGTTAGTACTACTACTACTAGAATAACTAGTATTATTACTTATCTACCTCGATTACTTCTACGCGCTTCGCACCTATTATTATATAAAGAAAGAGCTTAGAACACTACAAAATTGAAAATCTATATAGGATCTATATGCGCCGACGTATAGCCTGCCTAAATATGAATATACCCACTATTCAGTCTACCTATATTCAAGATCATATTTAACTAAATATAAATATATATTCAAACTCAATATTCACAATTCAACATCTATGCAACCAAAGCGACTACATTTCATATAATCTATGCAGCGCATCCTAGAGCACGGTGCGCTCCATACATCAAGAAGACTCTATCGAAATCCAGTTCTCACGCTCGTCCAATGTCTTCGTCCCATTCAAAGCGGAAGCCTCACGAACCATGGCGCGTTGACTGGCTTGTTTCCTTCGTCCATGATCGCAGCGTTCACCATGAGAGTGTTTTGGCCTCGAGCATGCGAAGCTGTGACTACCTTCTCATCCGTGCCTGCCTTTGAGAACTCGATCGACTTTGCATCTTGTGCAGAGATCTCGCCATCATTCGCCCAGTCCTTCATCATAGCGCCGTAACCTTCGTGGATGTGCCCGAAGCAATGCATCAAGGGTTGAGTGCTCTCAATAGCTTTGTGCAGATCTTCGCAGCCAGCATGCTCACTTCCGGTAAAGTCAAGACTACCTTGCGGAGGACCATGCGTCATGACAATATCAGCTTCTGTCGGAATATTCCAGCGCTTTTCGCCTCGCTTGTAACCAAACGCCCACTCTCCACACTCCGGCTGGTAGGGCGAGACAAAGATTTTGAAGGTAGCGCCATTCTTGAGCGAAAAGGTATACAACCCCTCCGTAAGGTAAGTGACATTCGCGGCTTTGGCAAGAGATCCCTGCATAATGTCTACGGCCTCCTTGTGGTCGTCCTTTTCGTCTTCTTGGTCTTCTTCTGGCTGTGTTTTCCAGTACTCGCTGTCCAGGCTCAGATCATGATTGCCTGCAATGACCAGTTTGAGCTCCGCATCAAGATCGCCGAGCATTTTGAGAGCTCTCTTGTATGGACCGACGCCACCGACTTGTGTAAGATCGCCACAGTGGAGGACGACGTCGACTTTCGGGATTTTTTGGCAGAGGGGGTAGGGCTGCGAGGCATCGCGTTCGAAGTTGTGGGTGTCTGAGAGCACTAGAAAAGATGTTGGAGTGGCCATGACTGCTGCTGAGCTTTTCTCTGTGACTGTTGTTCTGACGCAAGATGTTGTATGTCTCGTAAGTCCGATCAAGCTTGACTGATGGTGAGAGGAAGAGATCAGGACGCAGCGAATTTAAGTATTGAAGAAGTGCTCACGTTAAAATATTCTGTCCTCAGAAGTCAATTTGCTGACAGTCGCGCTGCTGTCGTGTGGTGCAGTGCTTATCCGGGGTTTCTTTAGTCACTTTACCCCGCTAATCGCGGGGATTTGGTCTATACGTAAAATCGGCTTTTCTTAGTAGGCTATACGTAAATATCGATATAGTAGTAGGTTCTAGTCCTATATAGATATCTAGGTATATATAGTATTAAACCGCGAGTCTAAATATTATATTAGCGAGGTTCTTCGAGTATATAGTAGCTATAGACCTTACTGCCGCCGATTATTATATAATCCCTTAGTAGGCGCGTCTACCTCTATTCTAGCGCGTATTCTATCTCTTTATAATATAGTATTCGCTACTATTACTATTACCGTCGATATAGTAGCTTAGAAGAGTAGAAGGAAGAAGCGTATACGTACTAAACGGCTTACCGAGACTAAGAGGCTCGAGAAGGTAGTAGAAAGGGTTATATCGAAGGCTTAAGAATAGAGGTTACAAGATAGGCGCTTTAGTCTAAAAGAACTATATAAGAGTAAGGGCGCCGAAGGCCTATATTCGCGTATTTACTAGCGATTGCGAGGTCGTAGTTTATACCTAGGTCGCGAGCTAACTAACACTAAACTTAGCAAGAGCTAGGAATTAGCGCTAGCGGACTATTATCGAGAAAGAGACGCTATAGGCATATTTCTTCCGGTATCGCTTATTATAGTAGTTGCTATAGATATACTAAAGGACTCGCTAGCGGCTAACTCGCTAGCGGCTAGTAATAGTGCCCTCGTAATAGCACTATTCGGTATAGACTAGGCGGACCGCTTCCTAGCTCGATATAGCCTTAGTAAGGTTAAATCTAAACCGATTAAGAAACAGCGTAAAGAGGCCTACGATCTAGCCGTTATAGGGTCGTAGTTTAATCGATTTGAAGCTATATTGCGGCGGTTAAAGGTAAAGCCTTAGAATATATAGAATTTCGACGAAACTAGTTTTCGGATTAGAATTAGAGGCTGCGAATACGTAGTAACGTAGGACACGAAGCGCCGTATATAGACTAAATGCGATACTAATCGTACTTACGTTACTATTATCGAGATAGCTAACGCGTATAGCAATGTAATAGATTATTAGTTAATTGTTAAAGGTGTAATAGTATAAGAACGATAGGTACCGAAGGAAGGTAAGTCTACTACTACTACTATTACTACTTCCGAGTCCGAGTCTACTGCCTAAGGTAATAATAACGTTACTTACTAACTATATCCTCGTTATTAGGCAAGGACAACTTCTTAATTACTATTAACGAGTCTAGATATATAACCGACGACACTGCAATATACTATATCTGCTAGTTTAAGCGCAAGACGAGGCCTAACAATCCGAGCGAATAGAGGCTGTTATTATATAACAATTATAGCTCTTACTACTTTAAGGAATTCGCTGCCTTCGCGAAGAGATATAGGATTTAATTATAGAGCCTACAACTATACACTTTACACTTTATATAGCTATTAGACGTTATACTATTCTAAGTATATAAGACGAGGCATAGATAAGTAGTACTCGAGGCTATATACTACAGTATTAGTAACTTTAGAATACCTAAGTTTATAGAGGCTCTTTCTACTATTCGGGCGAGGATATTTACTTCCTATAATATAAGGTCGGCATTCCGTAAGATAGGCATATTCCCGGTAGATAGGGAGGTCCCTTATCGACATATTCGAGAATAGTATAGTACTACTACTAGAGATTGGAACTAGGAATTAATTTAGGAGTCGCTAGAATAGGAAGAAGCCTAGCAAATAGAAGCCTTAGTAATAGTAGAGGAGGCGATAGAGGAATACCTTATTACTATTAAGTAAGGCCGTTCTACTAATCCCGCTATTATCGACCTAAATAGCTAGTCTTACGCTAATAATCGCTACGTTAAAGAGGACCTTAGAAACTTAATTGCTTAGGGTATATTATCGTCGCCTCTACTAAACTAATATAGTTATATACCGACCCCCGAATTGCCGCAATAGCTACTCGTTGCTTCGATAAGCCCTCGTACGATTAAAGTATCGCATAAGGCTATATAATCTCGCCGTAACTTCCGACGTTCTTATCTAAAGCCGGCTCTAACGGACCTCGCTTTACTATCGCCCTTATTTAACCTATTCTCGTTATCCCCTATAAAGGAGGCTTAGGCTATCTACGACCTATCTATTAAAGCCGCTCTTTATAAAGGTAAAGAATACAAGCGTAAGTTTAATACTATAGATACTATCGAGAAGGTATAGAAGAGGCAAAAGGAATAGCCTAATCGCCTTATTCGAGTAGGTACTATTAAGGCTAATAAACTCCGCTCTTAGCTTATATAATAGGATAAGGAAATAGTACTCGACACTTAGTAGAGGGGACTACGAGACGCCGAGACTACTATCGCTAAGGCACGTGCCTATCGATTAAAGTGTAGTAAGGCCTTCTATATTGTCTTTAATAACAATAGTAAAGTTAAGTTTATAGAAGTAGTATTATAGTTAGTCGCTATCGATAAGCCGCCGCTATTACGCGTCTTTAACCTTTAACTTCTTAATCGCGATAATACTATTACCTATAAAGATAGTACCCGCAAAATCGGCGATCTATATATAGATATTATTAAGAGATATAGGCGATATAACGAGGTTAGCGACGATGGCACCGTTACTACGACGTAGACACCTATACAGCTAATATCGCTTCCCTTACGTACGTATAACTCGGACGAAGAAAGCGACCTTCTAATATAGCGCGACCTCGCCTCGAAGCAACGATTAAACGGCTTAATCTCTTAAAAGCCGGATATACGTTTAAATTAGCTTAAATAGATAGAAGCGGTGCTAGCTAAGAACCTGTTTCTATAACTCTAGCCTTATCTACTATACCCTCGCTACTAACTAGAGGCTACTTAGAAGAAGAGATATTTCTATAAAGCACTAAAGAAGTCGGCTAGGTATAAAGGTAAGGTAATAGCAACTAGTAGTATAGCCTATCTAGTAAAGATTAAAGACATATAGGATAGTAGCTATTATAGCTAGCTATTTACTCTAGCGTAGGAAGTAGTCTTTATATACTCGAGATATAGGCCTACTTATAAAGTCGTAGATTATATAATTGACGCTAAGTATACGCTAAGACGGCTACTACCTAATATCTACGTTGTTTAGTCGACAATTCTACCTCTATATATTTACCTATCTATTTACAAGCCACTTATTAGTCTATATCCCGATAATAGCACCCCTATCGAACGTTTCTATCGAGATTTACGTATAGATTACTATAGAAAGCGCGATTTTACGTTTGGCTTAAATCCCCGAGCTAGGCGAGGGGCGGAGTGTGTGACAGAGCCTCGGATATGCGACCTCGTTTGCTGGACAGCGGGCCGGGACCTACTGGCACTTTTGGGGGCGCGCCAAGAAAAGAGCCTGTCTGTTCTTCTCAGGCTGTCCTACCCGTCATTCGAGGAGGGCGGTGCTTAGATTGAGCAAATATGTTATGAGTGCATCTGCCTTTGTAATGCAGAATGCTCTTCTTTGTCACGTTATGAGCATGGCTTCTCTCGGATCAGCGAGGCTAGAGCTCATGCCAAGACCCAGCCTGATTCCGCGTGTGTCATTTCTTTCGCAAAGGGATCTCCAGCAACCACGGCGGTTTGACCGAGATCTAAATCACGATTCCCGGCCAAGACGAGCCTGAGATCTGCGGCGATTCTTGAGAGGAAACTCATAGGATTCAGGGCCGCCGACTTGATTTAGATCGCCGCAGTGGAGAAGGACCTCGATTTTACGGTCCAGACCAGAGTATGGAGGTTTTTTAGTGGGTATTATGGTTTTTGAGGGATCGGGAACGGAGTTAAGGTGTCGGAGAGGACGAGTAATGTCGTTGGAAGCAATGAAAATTACATTGTTGTTGTATTTATTCCCTGAGAACTGGGCGAGAACCTCGACGTGGCTTGAAGTAGTTGCGATCCAAGATGCAAGATCTTATGCAGTGGACGGAAGGAGTGATGCTTCAGAATGTTTGGCATCATAATCTGGCTTCCGACTTGGCAGTGAAAAAATTAGCCGAGGCGAGTGATTCAGGCACATCCTCACAAGGCTGAGCCTTGGCATCGCACCTGCCAATGTTTCCTCGTCGTAGTCGAGGCGAAGCGGTTGAGTGAGGCTTGCACTAGCTCACATGGGTCAAATCAAATATCTCGAGGCGCTCGGTGATTTACTGTGACGTGGATGACCCTGGAATAGCACGTACACGGAATATCTCGTAGAACTAAATGCCATTATGCTCGTATTCATGCTACGTTCCCTCCATTCACTGGGTACTGCTATATCCCTCCTCATCCGGCAATTCATCATCTGTCAACTCATCTTCCATATCCCTGCCTACATCTGCGCCAATCGCCTCGAAATCATCTCTTTCCGCCAAACTTTGGATGAGAACGAGACCCTCTTCTTCAATTTCTCCTAGATGGCGCATTAAATCGCGTGACTGGCCATTCTCTTCCTCAAGTCCGACACGTCCACATAAAATGATTTGCTCGATAGTACGAGCCAAGAGGCGGTAGTCGCAGTCATAGCCTATCTCACCTATTGTACAAGTGTCACAAGGCTGGATTTCAATCCGAACGTCGCGGAGGCTCTTGAGGCGTTGGAGAGCACGTACTAAAGGAGAGGAGGCGATGCCGTTTCTCTCCAAGCCTCGACATGTTGTGCTTTGTAGCTGAGCTGGCAAATTCCAGTCGGGAACCCCGAGAAGGAGCGAGTCAACCCTCGTCTGTGAGCGATTTGGTGCCGTGTTGAAGTTCCGAGGAGTGCATCCGACAACGGTGATGGTCCATGGCTTGAAGTGCGGCGACTCTGAAAGCTTCGCTAGGAGGCGCAGTGGGTCGATCTCACGCGCATCGATACGCAGATGTACCAAGCGGCGAAGAGCAGAGTCTTCGGCAGCTGCCTGGAGCTGCTGTGTGTGAGCGGCACTGATGTCGGAGAATTGCCAAGTTGCGGATTTCAGAATGGAGGCTCTGCCAGTGGCGACGAACTCTTTCGAGACAGATGGCAGGCCGATGTTGATCTTCGAAGCTTCAGTAGAAGTCTTTTGATCGACTGTGATTGTGTGACGTGCTCCAAGGAAATCGAAAATACGGCAGCGAAGCTCTGGTGGAAGGTGCGAGAAGCCGACCGAGTGAGATGGTTGGGCCATGATCGTTCTTGTCTGGAGTGGTGTGCTGGTATACTCTGCTGAAGTGGGAGCTGTGGAGGTGGGCTGATGTGATGTGAGCGTAGTTGGTCTCGGTCTCCCTGCAAAATGCGGCTGTAGCTTGATGCAGCTGGTGCTGAGTTGGCGCGGATAGTGAAGTGTTGGAAGAGAGGATCAGAAGAGAAGATACCGTATTATATATACTGACGCTGCACAGCTGTATTCGCGTTTTTTAGTTTCTGAGGACGATGCGGAAACATGGACCAAAATGTCCTCATGTGCCAAGAAAAAGCCAAATTCTTGTAGTCACTGAGGACTGTACTGAGGACGTTGGCCAAGAGTAGTCGCAATGATTTCGTGATTGTCGTCTAGCCCAAGTCGAGGGTCGCGATGATGACCACTGAGGCTACCGCGGTGATGCGAAAAATGATGGGTCACGTGGTGCGGCCTCAGCAAGCTCGAGCAGACCAAGGCAATTATCTCTCAACGAAGAAGCGTGGGCAAGCTCGCGTGGAACATGGACAGGTACGTGATCGCGCCTCGTGAATGGACTCCAGGCCACAGCGTTGACCTGCAACGAGGCCAATGGTTCGCAAATGTAACGCCCGACCATTGGATCACGTACCCTCCATCCGCTCAAAATTGCCACGGAGGCCGGCCCACTCCGCCTTGAACGCTTGTCTACTTCGGAGCTTGCACCTCTAGGCCACCAGAAGCCAGATGGAAGGCGAGGACAGTAAGGACAGTATCGAGACGTGGGAGGTGGCATGTCGAATGGCTTTATATATCCGGCTCCTTGCCAAGACCGCGGCCCAATCACTGTCTATGAATCCAATGACCATTACGACGGACGATCGAAGACATATCCCGAGCTTTCGCTCCACGTATACCCGATGGCTTCGAGATGCCCTCGTGTGCTCCAGACTCCAGGTTCTCTGCATTCCTTCAGACCCCAATCCCGGCGCTGGACGAGCTCAGAGGCCCTCTGGAAAGCTACGTGTACATTATCTTCATTCTCGTCAAGCAGGCGGCTATTTGCTCGGCCAATGAAATTGAGAAACCTCCGCATCTGCTGCGCTTCTCTTCTCATGTCTACCCAGATTCGGATCAAGCGCTTTGTGAAGTAGAAGCTTCCAAATTCCGATCTGAGCTGGGCATTTTCGAGTCGAAGTATTGCAGGCATGCGATACTGCCAGTTTCGCGAACTTAAGTCGATCACAAGAACAGGTGCGGGCGATTTCCATGGCTTGAGTCCTGGATCTGAGATCATCTTGATTGCATTTGAGCCTTGATCGAGCTCTATGTAGCCATAGACTATGTTGCGAATGTCTGCTGGCAAGTCGAGGAAGCGAAATGATCCAGGCCAGAGAGCCTTGCGCCTTGAAGAGATCGTTGACTGCCAGGCGGCCTTGAAGTTACGCTGGGGCTGGTGTTTCCTGGTAGACGCAGCAAGAGTAGTTCCTTTGCGTGATAAGTTGCTTTCAAGTGCGCCGCCGTGATTGGATGCGGCGCAGAGAGTGATTCGTTTCGCCTGGTGGGAGATGGTAGGCCTTGCGTACGAGGGCTCAGGCCTGTTGTCAGCATTTATTGGGCGGCGGAGATTTCCTGGCTGTCGCGCAGTCCTTCGTCGCGATGGATGCGATGAGCAAGATTCACGATGGCCTGAGCGCCGAGCCGTGGGCAGCTCGCTGTCTCGCTTGTCGCGAGATGCCATCATTGCCATGTCTGTTGTCGTGTGAGCGATCGTGTCTTACCCCCCTCAGTCGCGCGTACAAGCAGATATATGTGCTATGAAAAGAAGGTGCTCATTGCAGTATAGGCGTCATCGGTACGAAGTAGCATATCCAGGGTGCAGTCACACCCAACATGATTACCTTCTCCAGCAAGCTCCAAAGCTGTGGTTGAGGAGGAGCAGCACCGAGCGAGAGGAAGGGAAAGGCTACAGCAGGCACCCGGGTGGTAGGCGGTGGGCGGTGGGCATCGGGTGGTGGGCGCATCTTGGCTACAGCCTGCGACTCGACGCCATCTTCACATATGACTCTTGCTTATTCGAGGCTGAAAGTGTCGAGTGCTGTATAATCGCCTGAGGATGCACGTCAAAGGATGTGTGTCGAGGTCAAGGCAAGCTTGGCAGGGCCGGGAAGGAGTTCCCAGGAATAGTTTTAGTCGCGGAGTCAGATCCGACCCAATCACCGAGTTGGGCACAAATCAGTGGTAGATGGGCATGGGATGACATTACGCCAGACACAGAACACAGCACAGAAACACTGCGTCCAATCTGTTTCGTCCTTACAAACGCTTCGATGCGACCGTCACCGAATATCGCATGCTCGCTCTCGCCAGCTCATGTGATTGCGACCAGAAGCCACAGCGTCGCGCGAGTCTCCCCCTTCTAGCCTATCCCACAATTCCATTCTGGCACAGGCAGAGGGTTAACAGCACCGCGGAGGAGCATCGCAGTGGCGGCGGGGGCACGGCGACGACCGCAGTCGAAGCACAAGCGGCACCAATGCCACCGACCAGGACACAGGCCGAGCACGAAGCGCAGGAACGCAGAACCAAGGCATGTTCTCCATCCCTCTTGCCCGCATGTCCGCATACGCCCTGCGCATACGCATACGCATACGCATACGCCTGCTGTTGTGTCCATACCTCATATGCAGTGACAATTCGCTGACACCTGATACCACGTCAACAGCTCGCCAATTCCTACCAGTCGCTCCTTAACGAGTTCTCCTCACCTGACCTCCAAATTGTCGGCAACTACCAGCTTGGCCGCTTGATCGGAAAGGGCAGCTTCGGCAAGGTCTACTTGGCCACGCACAAGCTCACCAATGGAAGCAAGGTTGTCCTCAAGAGTGCGAAGAAAGACGATGCCAATCTCGCGCGCGAGATCCACCACCATCGCCAGTTCCTACATCCACATATTGCGAGACTTTACGAGGTCATCGTGACCGAGAACTTGGTATGGCTGGTGTTGGAGTATTGCCCTGGCGATGAGCTGTACAATTACCTGCTCAACCATGGCCGCATGGAGACAGCCAAGGTGCAGAAGATCTTCACGCAACTGCTCGGCGCAGTGAATTATGTGCATGCGAAAGGCTGTGTGCATCGAGATCTGAAGCTGGAGAACATATTGCTGGACAAGCATGAGAATGTCAAGCTGGTTGACTTTGGTTTCACGCGCGAGTATTCGGGATCGACAAGCTATCTACAGACTTGGTGCGGCACTGTGTGTTACAGTGCGCCGGAAATGCTCAGGGGCGAGAAGTATTCGGGCGAGAGGGTAGATGTCTGGAGCCTCGGCATCATTCTGTTCGCGCTGCTGGCCGGCGAGCTCCCTTTCGACGATGATGATGATTCTGTGACCAAGGCAAGGATCTTGAAAGAAGATCCTGTATACCCGGATCACTTTCCCGAGCCTGCAAAGGACCTTATCAAGAAGCTGCTATCGAGACGACCGCTCCTCAGACCTTCGCTGGCAGATATACTCCGCGATCCATGGCTCTCTGACAATGCTCCGCAACAGCAAGAGATACTCAAGTTGCAACAACCACCGCCCTTCACGACCCAGCTTGAGAAGGATGTCCTGCAGCGACTTCGCAGTGCTGGTGTGGACATCGACATGATTATTGAACACGTCTTGTCTCAGCGGTGCGATTCGTTGGCTGGCTGGTGGGCACTCCTACTTGAGAAAGAGCAACGAAAGGAGAAGCGGAGAGAGCGTAAACGTAAGGAACGAGAAGCTGAAGCCAAGTCGATTCGGAGGTTGAGCGCTGCTAGTGGCAGGTTGCTGGCCAATCTTGGTGAGATTCACGAAGGAGAGGAGAACGCCATCCATGATTCACCGCGTTCGAGGGGTAGAGTTCGTGAGCGCGCAAACGGCAATGCGCTGTTAGCTCCAGACCTGCCCAAGGTGACGGAGACCAAGTCGCCCGCGCCTGATGGCGAGCAGTCGAATTCTCCCAGGCCGGCCTCAGCACACAGCAGATCGCGAAGCAGACCTCCACTGCCTCCTAAAGATTACGGGAACCTTAAGAATGCTGTCCGTTCTAACAGAGCATCTTCGAGAGGCAGTCAGAGCATGCTGCGAGTTGTTACTACTAACCCAGATCTGCTCAGTCCTGCTTACGTGCCGCCGGCGCAGCGCAAGAGGAATAAATTTGCCCCTCCTCTACGTCAACAACTGGCATGGGTTAAGCATTTATTCACTGGCGAAGCGCTCAAAAGAGCCAAGTCGCCGGCTAATGCAGACAAGAAGGGCAAGGGCCTCGATCCCAACAATTTACCGAATGGCAGAGTCGGGCAAGAGAGAGGCGACCTGAGGGACCTTCACAGAGTCTCCACCGGGCCATCCACGATAGCAAGGCGGAAAAGCGTTGGTCAACGCCCGGAACTCCACGCAAGCAAAACCTTTCCAGCGAGACCACGGATCAACACTACTTCGTCAACTGGAAGTGGTGCCAGTGTCCGCGCCAAGAGAACCAGTCTGAGTCCAGGCACTTTGACACCTCACTCTTCATATCGTCGATCCTCTGTCGGTCTCAGAGGACGAAAGTCGACCTCTTCCTCGGTTTCGTCCATTCGTAGCACATACAAAGGTGGTCACCAGCATACACACTCGAAGGCCTCGAGCACATCTAGTAATTCTGTCGCGTCGCCTTCAGGATTGTCGTCCACATCCGGATCTCGGCTAGCCCGGTCACCGCATAGCTCAGTCAAGGTCTTACCATCGACACCTACAAATACCACCTTCCCGTCTGGCATGAGGTTCCAGAGGCGCCCGCCACCATCCGACATTGGCTCGCTGCCAGGCCTTGGCGTCGAAGGCAGAAGCGCTTTCGGCGCCATCCCTCCGCCATCATCGCCCGGTCTCCCCGTCTTTGCGAGGAGGAAACGCTCCATCTTCAAGGGGCCAATGAGTGGTTCCCCAAATGCCCACCCTCGCGCTCCTGGTGGCAGTCGGTCCGCCAGCGTTCCAGGCAGACCTAGTAATGAGCTTATGCCTGGCGTGACCGAAGAGGACGAAGAAGAGGAAGAGGAATACGAGGACGAGCCTTTCGGTCCAGAGCTGAACACAGCCGTCGATCAGGGTACGGAAATGATATCGGAGCCCATATCACCGCTCAGTGCTCTTCCTGGAGAAGACGACAATCTGCTCGAACCGGTAGATATCAAGCCTGGCGGTGTACCGCTCACGGCCGAAGCACTAAAGCGACTCAGCGAAGACCAAGCCAAGAAAGAGGCTGAAGAGGCTTCTCTCGAGGAGGAGAAAGAGAAAGCGGACAGCTTGTGTAAGGCAGCTGCTCCTACATAATGTTTTGTGTTTGCTGTATGCATCTTCGAGCATTGGCGAGGCGTCTTTGTACTATATCTTGACTCCAGCGTGGAGTTGGGAGCAGCGAAACGAGTTTTTGAGCGTTGCGACGTGACGGCCTAGGTCCTGCACACCTTACATTCGACCTTCCGTCCTGACGAGGTCTGTGCGTGTACTTATATAGATACCCCTTTTACCGCCCTCAACTCCCTTTGAGGCGGAGCGCAAATGAGATTCATTCGAAAGAAGTCGCCTGTACGCGCGCGCGGCTGCTCTTTCCACTTTCCATTCTTCCAGCAAAATCGTTCTTGCCTGCTCAAGGTGGCTGCAGCTGGTCTTGGCAACGCTCAGGAAAACAACACGGCTCGAGGATTTCCAAATTTCGGTCACATTCATCGTGTTCATCGCTCACTATCAGCACTGCAACAATCACCACCATCTACAAAGAAGAAAAGGTACCGATCCGATATGAATCGGCCGCCGTCGCCCTACAATCCGCCGGCTGCGTGGCTAGGCTTCCTGGACTTGATTCCCGAGTATTTGCTGGACGGCTCCGCGTCGTCTAGAGGCAAAGTCATAGCTTTCCTCGACATGACGGCGCGACATCTGGAAGCACGAGATCTGCCAACAGCGGCCACAGCGTTGGAGCTGCAACAAACCATCGAGGAAGGACATTTAACAGTAAGCAATCCCAATGCGCGACCGCATCTGAACTCACCTGCTAACATGTGCATAGTTACGAGGCATGACGCCTCTATACAACCTAACATCTCAACGCGATATAAGAACGAAAGCCGTTTCTACAGCATTACGCGCGCCTGGCAGCATACAACACAATTTACCATTTACAAGCGATTTACACGCAAGCAACCTAACATCTGACAACAAACTCTCGGCACCCGGGAGCTTGACATCTAACATTGACCACCTACCTGGTCTTATCGATGACATCGTTAACAATATTCCAAGTCACATGTGGCGTGGGCGTGGGCGTACAGCATTTAACAAGATCGCCTTCTGGCTGGCAGATGTCGCGGAAGAGATTGTGGAGAATAACAAGAATGTATTGGGAGGGGAATTGCTGTTGGAAGCTGCGGCCAAGTTCAATTCTGCTGCAGGAAGCCTTTTCGATCTTTTTGAATGGGAGGCGTGAGAAACGATCGAGGATGTACAAGAAAGGATGATGGCGTGTTCAAGTTTACAGACACCTAATCAGGCTGGGTCTTGGCACAGGGTGCCCAGCCTTGTTGGCTCGAGACTGGCCCAGCTTGCACGTGCACGCCGCAATGCAGCTTGTCTTTGAATTGATGAGAAAATTGAAGCGTGTAGGATGGTTTCTCAGATAGACCCGAGAAGAAAAGACGAAACCCTTGTTTCTGTCATAACGTCCAAGTTTCCGTCTTGCCCAAACGAGAACGCGTAAACACTGCACCAAACAACAGCAACGCAACTGTCAGCAAATAGACTTCTGAGGACAAGAAATTTCAGATACTAATCCTCTTCTACGTCTGCGCTCCTACCCCAACCCAAGTCGGAAACCAGGTCACATCATCATGCCAAACATTCGAGCGTAGAGAGCGGCTTCCATCCTCAGCCTCGTAAGGAAAGATCTTCCTCGCCCCTTCCGTCCACAATATGAAGTCTGCAACTACTTCAAACTACGCCGAGTTCCTCGGCCATTTCCGGAGCAACTTGGAACCACCACCAAAATATCCGTCCTCTTCACTACTCAACAGCCTTTTCATCCTCTCCGACACCTATAACTTCGTACTCCCATCTCTAAACCGCATACCACTAAAACTAACGTCCGTGCTTCCTTCTCCACCGCAAAAGCCCAACTCAAATGCGAGCCCTCGGCCCAGAATCCCACGCAAAAAAAAAATCATCCTTAAATTTCCTTTTCCTTTCCTTCCAAAGAATCAACGGCGATTGTGGGGGCGGAAGGCAAAGGCCACCGCACATAAGATCTGCCAGGCATACCCACCAATAGCAACGTGTAGTCAACATTAACACGCTGCGAAGTGGTCGCTATCACAGAACAAAAGTTGCTTACTCCTCATTGCAGTGCGGACTTCTCACTCGACGTAAAGAATGCGTGCCTAGTCAACTGGTACCGCGAAGAAGAAAGATATAAGTAAAAAACCACTTCCAGACCAAGAAGCGACCTAATGCTCTAATGTACAACACCATTAGTACAGTGCAGCCACGTCACTTTTTGCTCGCTTCACAGTCTCTTCTTTCACAAAAAACTCCCGCTCGACCCATCATGCGAAGGCGATACTGGGGAATCTGTCACAAAAGCTGTACCAGCCTTCCTACACTCATTTCTTTCTGCTCACGCCTCAAAAATGTCGCTAGCTTCTTATCGGAAGCCGCCTTGTACTGGAATGCCGTTGGGATGCCCATAGCCCGTAGGCTGTGGGTTCATGTAGCCCGTTGGCTGTGCCTGGATCGGTCCTTGGGTAAGCATGAGTCTGCTTTGTCCAAGAATTGGACCGCCCTCCTCCTTTGGCGCATTTGCGGCCTCCCTGGCTTTTCGCTCGTCGTTGTCACGCTTGAGCTCCGAAATAGTGGCAGCTTGTTGTGACATGTAGTTGATCATGAATGGCATCGTGAAGTCGTTCAAGCCGTGGCGCCATGAAATCTCCATGACAGTGTGAAGTGGAATGAGCTCGTAGCAGGCGTAAAGCATGCCGACGTAGCATTCCTTGCTGCCAATGTCGACGAACTAGAGAAGTGGTCAGTAGACGTCACGCCAGTATAGAGTGGACCAGAACTTACATATCGCAGTAGCTCCTCGACGACCTCGGTCTTGCCAGAAATTGCAGAAGTCTCGATGGCATCCTTGTAAAGCTTGTCTTGCTTGGAGAGGGCGATCGACTTATCCCATCTCTTGTTCTTGCGATAGATGCTCGCTGCGATTTGTCGGAAGAAGACGAGGTCATGCTTCTCTAACCGCTGAGCAAGAGCGACAGCCTCGTAGTTGTCAAAGTTTTCGACGCTGTCACGGAGCTGCTTGTAGTCTTCCTCCTCGATGAGCAGGTCGTTGATCGCGTCATTGACAGCGCGCTTGTTCTGCGACTGCACGTTGAGCAAGAACGGCTTGATCAAAGGAATGTTGTCCGACTTCTCGAACATCTTCACGACCCGATTGACGTCGATGCGAGGAGTGAGGGCCTGCAGCAAATCTGTGATCAAAGATGGCTGTTCTTGCAGATAGAAGTTCAATGCGCGGTAGTAGATCTCCAAGTTGGCCACCTTGACAATGATCTCCTTGAAGCTGTGGTGTTCCCAAGCATCGGCAGCGCGCTCCATCATGGCCAACGCGGCGTTGTCATGCTCGTCGTAGTGAGTGTAGAGGAAGACAAGCTCAGGCCAGAGATGAGCTTCCTCACAAGCGCGGATCATCTTAGGAATGTTGATACGGCCCCAGAAAATGCGCAGGTGCTCCATAACACGGTCTGGGTGGTACTTGCTCAACGCAATGCCAAGTTCCGTGAACATACCCATGTGGGCACGCTCGAGACCAAGACCAGCCTCGAGAAGCGAAATAAGCTCGTCAAAGTAGCCATTGCGCTCGTATTGCTTCACAAGGTCTGTGAGCTCCTCGGCGTGGACAATGAGGTTGAGGCCACAGATCTGGGCGAGACGGAATTCCTTCTTCGCAACACAAGCCTCGTTGACCTGTTTCCATACCTTGACGCTGTTGGCCTTGCGTGCGCATTCCACAGCAGCTTGGTAGTCCCCAAGATGCACAAGAGTGGTTGCGAGCTTGGCCCAGTTTGATATCGAAGAGAAGAAGATCTTGGCAGCCTCGTGGTAACCCTCTGCGTATGCCTTGTCACCAGACTCCTCAATATTTGCGACATTAGTGCCGCGCAAAAACTCTTCAAGCTCTGGCAGCTGGTTGGTGCGTGCGTAGCAGAAGGCAAGAGCAGTGTCGATCGGTGGCTCGCGGAGCGTCTTTCGCGCCATGCGAAGGTACTTGATCAGATCTTCGTCCTTGCCCGCATGTGTTGCGATCTCGATGACTTCGTTGTAGTTTGACGGATCCTGAGCACGAATGTAGGATTCCACCGAGTCAGTGATACGCAGACCATCGAGCTGAGCCTTGGCGACCTTGCTCCAGACCTCTGGCAGCTCAACCTGCTCGGCGTACTCTTGAGCGCGGTCGATGCTGACAACGTGGTCAACAAGGACGTTGGATGCATCGAGATGCTTGCCGGCCTTCTTGTAGATGAGGAAGGCCTCTTCGTACATCCCGACTTCGATGCATTGTTGTGCAATGTCATCAGGGGTGTAGTTGTCAAGCTGCTGGATGTAGTTCGCAACACGACCACGGTCTGACTTGGCAGCAGTAAGCATGAGTAGGTTCTGCAGGTTCTCGTTGTCGGAGAACGTAGATGGCTCGAGGATGATCTTCTCGAGAAGCTCAATGAGCTCAACTGGCATGTCTGCGTCGATGAAGGCCTTGACTGCAATGCTGACCGTTTCTGGGTCGGTGCTTTCAGGCACAGCAGTCGAGATGACCTGATCCACAAGAGAGCGACGATGAATGTTGTTGTCGGACAGCACGTAACTCCATATTTCCGGATCGCTTCTTTGAAGCAAGTATCGCGCTTGCGCTCTGAACATGGCGTTCTCGTTCGTGATGCTGATAAGCTCGAGATCGTTTTGGCCCTTCTGGTAGGCAATGAAGGCAAGATTCGGATCGCGCTTCTCACAGTACTTTCCGACAATGAGGGTGTCGTACTGGTCGTTCTGCTTGAGGAATGCCTCTGGATTATTATTACCTGGAAGGAGTCAAATGTCAGTGTCCGGATTACAGCAATTAGTCATGTTAGTGGAATTGAACTTACTATCGATGTAGATCTTGGCCAGCGCATTGAAGACAGCTTGCTGCTGAGATCCTTGGGCCAAAGTCTGCTCAAGGAACGGCAGCAAGAGCTTCAGGCGATTGCGTGACTCAACCTCGGCAACAAGCTCATCAATCGGAATGCTCTGCGGTGAGACAGAGTTGAGCAAGCCCTTGATGATGTTCTCGTCACAGTCGACATCGAGAAGGCCTCCAATGACTCCTGGTGTTCTCGCAGGGTTCACGCGTTGGACGTACACCTCGATAGACTTGAACTGTTGGTTCTTGTAGAGATAAAGGACCAAGTCGTGGACGAAGTTGAATCGGTCGCAAACGATGATGAGTGGGAGTTGCTCGGTCAGATTCGCCTCCTTGAGGAAGTTCTTGACCTTCTCCGGGTCGTAGTGGTTGCTCTCTCGGCAGACGCGCTCAACCTCCTGCAATTGACCCATAGTCGTGGCAGCCTCGATGTACTTGAAGGTGACTTCATTGTCTTCGCTGAGGTTGACGATACCACCAAGGTAGAAGTAGAGACCTTCGGCTGTGCGGTATTTCTCGAGCAGGTCAATGATGCGGTTTGGTCCGAAGAGATCCGAATACTTCTTGGCGATGTTGATGACAGCCTGGAGGTTCTGTCGAATGTTAACCTTCAGCATCTCATCCATGCACTCTAGTGCAAGGTCGACTGTAAGTCGGCCGAAGTAGTTGATCAAGAACTCTTCGCTCAGCTTGTCGGTCTGCACGATGCAGCGCTTGATTGCGACTGGATCATCATACGACTCTAGAGCTCGAGAGAGCAGGCCTGCCTTCTCGCACAAGTCGGCGATCCTGTCCTTGTCGTAGTATGAAAACATTTCGTTGCCAAGGATGGCATCAGCGACTTGAGGTGCGTTGACAAGGTTCATGGAGAGAAGACGAGTCTGCAAAGCTCCTTGCTCCGGCTTGTTGGCAGCCAAGACATCAAGCAAGAAGGCAGTAGCCTGTTGTACCATTCCTTGAGACTCGAAGATGTCGACTGTTCGGTCGATGTCGATAAGGCTTGGGTCCTCGCGAGCAATGTTTTGAGCTAACTCGGCACCCTTGTCCGGCGAAACTCTAGTCACATGCTGCACCAAAGCAGTGAAATCTGGGTTGTAGCCGACCTGGCGGGAGTATGGCAAAATCTGGTCAAAGTTGCCAGACTCTGCCATCGCAGCAATGACCTTCTGGGCTGCACCAGCTTCTTGGTAGATTTGCTGCGCAAGGGCAACATCATGCATGCGCACAAGATCACCCAGTTGTTCGGAGCAGCCGAGCTTGCCCTCTTTCATCCATTTCTCGAGCAGATGCTTGCGGTTCTGCTGGAGCACCGGTCTTGCAAGCTCCATTGTCTCGTGCTCGTTGAGCTTGCCCTTATCCAAAAGCATGCCAAAGTATTGCAGGATGACTGAGAGCTGGCCTTGCTGCGCAGGAAGAGCCTTGAAGCGCTCGATAGTCTGCGCTGTCCGCAAAAAGCCTTGTGGAGAGTTCGCGGCAGTCTTTGCAGCTTGCTGGTAGTCTCCAATGCTCAACAGCTGATCGAATCGCTGCTGGTAGAGAGAGTCTGCGCCAGGAAGTCCAGCTCTTGACGCCAGCTTGTACGCAAGCTCTGCATTCTCAGGATTTTGCAGTAAGTATGGTATTATGGTGCTCTCGTCAACGCTGACTGAGAGCACCTGACCCTTCCTGTTCACACCGACGATGCCCAAGCCATCTCCGTCGCCCGCGGTCGTGAAGATCGTGTCGCTCGAAATACGGTTCATGAAGATTGTGGTGCCGGTCTCGAGATCGAAAAGGTGGATGAAGCCATACTTCGTCACAAGATAGATGACTTTGTACTTCGGAGAGACCTGCATTGCAACCGGGAAATCGTTCGTCGCCTCGGCAGGGAAGTAGATGTCGACGGCGCGCTTGGTGAAGGCCGGGTTGGGTGCTTGGTGGTCAACCTCGACAATGTGCAGCTTGGCACCAGTTGCGGATCTGTTAGCAAAAGTGAACAATTTGGTATCTGCTGGCGCATCCTCCAGGTGCAGAGTGCCGAAAGCTGCCGCATGGCCCTCAATAGCCTGGCTAATCCCACGGTCTTTGGAGTATAGCTGCATTGCGCCAACCACACGGCCCTGCTGCTGGGAAATGCCCACTACAACCATCCACTTCTCATCATCGCTGACGCGGTAGTTGATGATTTGGCAGCCAGAGAGATTCTGGTTGCGGTCAAACATCTTCGTGGGCGTCACAGCTGAAGGGTCAAAGATGTTCCAGTGGTAGACGCTGGTGTCTGTCACGAGCCCGAGCGAAGTGTCATTGAACCACTTCCAAAAGACGACGTCTTCTGTCATGGTAGTGCTCTTGATCTTGCTCTTTTGCGCCAAGTCGAATATTTGCAGTGTCTTGCCGCCAGCCTTCAACGCAATGATCTCTTTGCTCCAGTGCATGATGGCACTGTCTGCCTTGATCGGCCGGCGAATGACACTGTTGTTGTTCTTGAGGTTGATGATGATGACCTCGGGTTGGGCAGCGCCCTCTGTTGCTTGCCGCACACATACATAGTGATCGGATTCGAGCGTGCACGAGTTGAAGCCTATAGATGCTGGCTGTGTAGGAAGTCAGCGGCTGAATTGTTTGGGCGCAATTGATAGCGCCCTTGCATGGGATTGCATCTCACCAGTATGCCCACGGAGGTGAGTTGGAGATTCTCCGTGAACTTGATTGGGAGCGGCGCCATGGTCGTATCAAAGTCGATGGAGCGACCTCATCCGATGTTTATGGTTTCCGGCGCCGCGCTGTTCAGGAGGCCTTTGGATGTCGTAGCCGCGCGCGCTCTTTGCGCAGATAGTCCAATCTGTCTATAACGGGTTGAAAAGAGCGAATGGGAGTCGTGACGGCGTGGACGGAAAGTAAAGGTGGAATGCTGGGGAGATGGAGTACGCAAGGAGAATGCGCTGCGTCGTTGCTTGCTGTAGACAGCTTTCTCTGGGGCCTGCCAGTGAGCTGCCGCGCGCGCCCAGACACGAGGCGTTCGCAGTGCACGGGAGCACCCGCAATGCCGTCACCGTCACTTTCACAAGATTGACATTTCAGAGCCTTCACCGGCTGGAATAAATGTTCGGTATAGCTTTGCAACGAGGAGTTTATGGATGCTAGTAAACGTTGCTGCAGGCGGCTCGGCTTCTTGTCCAGCTCAGAACCGGAATGAGCTCAATAGCCAACTCTTTGTCAACGAGTTCACTTCACCAATTGAAGAGGTGAAAATTATGAGCCCTCATCTAGCCTGACAACACTCAGCTTCACCTTTCTACCATGTCCGCAGACGGTAGCCAAACGGCCATAGATGTGCACTCCATTTCCGAGCAACGCACTGTCCGTCTACTCATCATCGTGTGTGCTTTACGGGAGCAGGTCACCACATAGATTCGCAAAAAGAATCCGTCTCGACTGCTGCTCCAACCATCATCGGCCGCCGACATCAGTGCCTTTCTTCTGAGGAAACCTGAGGGTCAACTTTATAAGAGAGGGTGTCTGATGTTATCTTGTGGACTGTGGACGCAGCTGCAGCAAAGGCGCTGTAATAGGGTCTGGGCGATGCTTCCCTGACGACCATGAGCATGTACGCAAACTTCAACTCAATTAATTCCAGTGTAGTCCTGTAACTCGTCGTTTGCAAGCCGGGCTGATAAGCACGTGACTGGCAGACACGTTCACATGCCGATTTGCCTTACCTGGTTGTCAGGCCACTGGAAATGTTCCATCGCCCGACAGTGCCAAGGTAGCATCTGCCTTAGCCGGTATCTATTAGATGGGCCGCAACGAAGAGACCACTCTGGTTGTTGTAGTAGAAACGTGGCACATTATTGCTTCACTTTTTCGACCTCATGTAATATTGACGACGCGGCCGCGACGTGACAGGTAGCGCCCAAAGAGCTGGAGCTGGTATGCGCAGCTGAGGTGGCTGATGGAAGTGCCGGGATGTGTTCAAGATTCCAAGATGACGAGCTAGCAGTGCTGTCATACGTCCCCGTCGACAAACATGTCCACGTATGCCTGTTGCGATATGCGCTGTTATGCAAGTCGGGCGCGAAAGAGTGGTGCTGCGGCGTTTCGTTGGTCGATTCTTTTCGTTTGTTAGGGAAGGGAAGGAAAACGCTCAAACACAGTTCGACAGTGAAGCTGCAGCCGCTGAGTAAGTCAATTTTGGACCCCTGTTCGCGCCTTCCTTGCCGACGAATCTTGGCGCGGTGACAGACTCCAACTTGAGACAAACACAACGAAGCTCATAGCAACACACTTCTCCTCCGACCCTTTGCGCGCGCCGTATCGATCAATACAACTCCGCAAACCTCGACCGATATCAACCCCAGCAGCAGCACGAGATGGCCACCGAGGTATGTTAGACACACCCTCCGACAGCTGGGCAGATTGCGCAAGCACACATGCCTGTTGAGCAAACTGCCTCAACACGACGGCTTCCATACATGAACAGATCGCTGACTTTTCCGTGTCACAGCGCGAGAGGTAAACACTCTTTCGACGTCGCGTCCGCTTCCGGAACGCCCACTGACACCTGCCACAGCAAGACTTTCCTCGCACGATTGTGCGAGCAGGCTGAGCGCTACGATGGTACGTCATCGCGATATGGAGCTATGTGCGACACCTGCTAATTCTGCGTTGTAGAGATGGTCCTCTACATGAAGGTATGCGAGGGAGCGTGCGATTGTTGTGAGGAGTCTGATGGCTAACAAATTCGACAGGAAGTCGCAAAGGTACATTCACTCCTCCCGATAAGCCCAAAACGGCCACCACGATCGCGAAAGCAGGAATATTACAATCTGCTCCACACAATCCATCAAGATGCGTCCAAACATTGACATGAAATACAGCTCGGCGGTGAGCTCACGGTCGATGAGCGCAACCTTCTCTCAGTCGCCTACAAGAACGTCGTTGGTACGCGTCGTGCCTCGTGGAGAATCATCTCCAGCATCGAGCAGAAGGAGGAGGCCAAGGGCTCGGACAAGCACGTTGGCATCATCCGCGACTATCGCCAGAAGATCGAGACCGAGCTCGAGAAGGTCTGCCAAGATGTTCTCGATGTGCTTGACGAGAGCCTCATCCCCAAGGCAGAGACCGGCGAGAGCAAGGTCTTCTACCATAAGATGTGCGTATTGGCTGCGTTGGTCTTTGAAGCGCGACCATCCCAAGTACTCTCGATCAAAATACTGACCATGTGACTCACAGGAAGGGTGACTACCACCGTTACCTTGCCGAATTCGCATCTGGCGAGAAGCGCAAGACCGCCGCGACCGCTGCGCACGAGGCTTACAAGGTACGTCGTCTCTGTGCTACTTTCCACGTGCATGTGATAGGCACTGACTGTTGCTCTAGAACGCCACCGACGTTGCTCAGACCGAGCTCACCCCAACCCACCCTATCCGCCTGGGTCTGGCCCTCAACTTCTCCGTCTTCTACTACGAGATCCTCAACTCGCCCGACCGTGCATGCCACCTTGCCAAGCAGGCCTTCGATGATGCCATCGCCGAGCTCGACTCGCTGTCTGAGGAGTCTTACCGCGACAGCACTCTCATCATGCAGCTCCTCCGCGACAACCTCACCCTCTGGACGTCATCGGACGGTGGCGAGCCAGACGCCGCTGCAGGCGAGGCCAAGGGCGAGGAGAAGGCGGCAGAGCCAGCCACCGAGCCTCCAGCAGCTGCTGAGGAGAAGCCAGCGGCTTAAGCACATTCATCAAAGTCTTTACCAAATCATCAGCGTACGGCTTTTCGGGCGTTGGCGTGTGTGTGGGAGCGTGGAATGACGATGCATCTTTTCTCTCAACTCAAACAAGATTGAGCCAGAGATGGGATGCAGCATGGGAATCTTAACGCGGAGAGAGAGAAAGGAAAATTGTGAAAGCAGCGGAACGCCAGCACCCGAAGTCGCCCACAGCAAGTCTCTTCTGGGTTGATCTTTGTCTGACCTGGAGACACGAATGCAGCTTTTCCATTTTCTTATCAACACTACAACAACAACAAAATCTCTCCTCGCCAAACAAACCACCCCAAATTCGTGTTTTGTTGTCTGCTTTTGCGAGCGGCTCGGTGCGGTACTCGAATACCCTTGAGTACCTTGTGGCTTTTTTTTTTAGTTTGCGTCTGTCTTGCTTTTTTCGTATGCGATGTATGTTGTTTCTTTTGTAAAAATGTTTCCTCTCTCGACATGGAAGAGTTACATTTTTTTCAAAAAAGACGACGGATTCATTCTGACGGTCCCTACCACCCAAAGCTAGCTAGCATATATAGCGTTGAGCAGTATGCAGCGAAACGAATATGAAACAAAAAATCTTAAATGAATATTTGTATCAATCAGATGACTCGGAATTATGTGAAACTTTATAGGTCTGCTTTTTTTTCTCTGGATAATTGGGTTGAGGAAAGATGGATACTATTACTTTTATCTGTTTTCGGCACACCATTCCAACAATCTTCACGACAACAGCTCTTGCCTGGTATACAACGCCTACGGCTCCAATTACTCGTCCACAGCGTTTCGCCCACTTGCACGTCGTGTCTTGCGAACAGGTATACGATCAGGCGGATACGCTCGGCTCGTAAATCAGCACTTCGTGTGGTGGCGTAGCATCTACAGTGGAATACCAGACGTCAGCACGGCCGGCCGGCAGCTGGAGCGAGCGACGGTGACAATACTTACTCCCCTATCGTTGTTGGCTGACATGGTATCGTCGGCCTCGTCAGCCTCGCGCGTTGACGCCCATCAGACCGGCCACGACTTCTCGGACTTGGACTACGGATTTCGGTCTTCTGCAGAAGCTGAGGTATGGAAAGAAAGGTGCAGCATGTGATATTGCAAGAGTCACCGAGTCCAAAAAAAATGCGCCGGTCAACTATACCTTATGTACAAGTCAGGCTATTGCGGAGACAGGATTTCTAGGATCCTGTTCCTCCTAATGGACTATTCTAGTCGCCTGCGATCTTTTCTGCCCTAGCGAGGAAGGCTGACAGCTTAGAAGAAGAAGAGGACGACCATCGGATGACTTGGTTTCGCTGAAGTGGCGGAACATGATGGGCTGGTCTTCTACTTCTGAACGTCAATACATGTACGCACGCAACGGATCAAACACAATCAATCAATGAAACCGCATTGGAAGTCTCTCTAAAATTTATGATGCTGGTTGGTGCTGGTCGTGGTCCGTTTCCAAGGCATGTCGTACAGCTAGCTCGTGGCATGGCATCTAAATGTATCAGCGCTACTTTCGAGATTCTCTGCATTCATTCTTCGGCAGAAGTATCCTCTTCATATAGCTACATACATCATGCTTAGCTTGAGTACATGTAAACACTCATATGTGTGGGGGAAACAAGTCAAGTCGAGAGCTTGTAAAGCCAGGGAACTTTGGATGAACGCTTCCAATTAGACAATTCTCCTCGAATCTTAAAGGCGTGTCCATGTCACAGTCAAGCTTTCTAAGAATCAATTGGCTTTGCTTTCCAGCTGAGGATAGATACGTTGCCTCATTCAGGAAGCTAGATGGAGCGACTCTTACAGTCCACTTATGTAGGCAGTCCTTAAATCCAGCCCGGCTTCGATCATTGCAGTCCATTCCCTCTGCCAGACTCAACTCCATCGAAATGTGTAAGAAGTCATTAAGGGAAATCGAGGACACTACTTTCATCTCGATCTGAGCTTCTGTTTCTCGGGCAATGGTGTGAATCAGGACACGCACGTTCACGAGAACTTATCTAGCACGTCAGAGATCGATGCTAGACGGTATCGCAAATGGAACCTACTGGCTCCACTGAAGCACATTACACTCGATGCTGAACGATCCTCACTGTCTGGCTGAGAAAATCACCTCTTACTCCTTTTCAACGGCTTCAGTTCTTGAAGCACAGTTCCGTCCTTTCTCAATACGCACCACATCGTTCACTCTACCTTTCTTGCCCTAGCCAGGAGACAGCATGAGTTGGGAATCGAGCCTCTGAAGTACGACAGGGGGCGATGCAGCAGACTTCGAAAAATGACTAGAAGCCGAGAGCAGCGAAGTGCTAGGTTGGATTGCGGGAGGTGCTAAAAAGGAGGAGAGATGCTAGAGATCGCATGCGCAGAGGCTGTATGAATGGCACAGCGTCTTGAGATCTTGGTGAGCTATAGGTACCCTAGCTTCTTTAGTCCGTTTTTGCCTCCAAGGTACAAAAGTTCTTGAGAAGTGCGAGTTGTGGTCCTTCGGTGAGGCAGGATCATGGATCTACGGAAGGCTACGAGGATTCGTGTGTCGCAGTCTTTGGTGCGTTGCGGGAGGGCTGTGATGTTTCACGTTGTTTCTTGGCGCGAGGTTTGCGTACGGGAGCCAGGACGATCAAAACAAGACTGAAAGATGTCCACGTGGCTCGAGTTCAATGAAGGCAAGCCTTCGTGATGAAGATATCTGACTATGGACGAGAGATATATGAGGGTGACCCGCAAGCAAGACTAGTAGCGGCTAGCTCTGCGTTGATCATTGCGACTCACCCTCTCGGTCTCTTCGACGAAGTCGGTACTCTCACCCACATCTTCATTAGAGGTAGATCTTGAGTTGCGGGAGTTGTGAGCCGAGGTGCCTGTGATGGAACGTAGCGGTCTTCGTCGTTGCGCGGAGTTGTGGATGCGATATGTGATCTGCTGACTACTGTCCATTCTTCGATCAGAAGGTCCTGGGTTCACGTATTGCGTTGCACTTGACGTTCGACGGCGCGGCGGCGGTCGAGGAGCGCGACTGTTCTGCTGGTTGGATTGGTCTCCATTACGACTCACGTCGAATCCACTGACGCTGTCCAACTCCGTGAGCTCTCTTGCGTACGGGTACGTAGAAGGCAGGACCTCTCTGCCCCAAGTGTCGAGCACGGATCCAAGGCCGGAAGTGGGACCTGTTCGGGTGTCGCGCCCTTGTCCCAGGCTATGCAGTATCTGGATCTGACGATCACCTGGCCGAGGTCAGTGGAATCCGACGGCCTCCTCTCGACAAAATTTTACTCACGTTGGGCCCTTGCTTGCTCGTCCCGTAAGTAGCGCCGCATGCTTTCATGTTCGCTGTGGCTAAGCAGAGTGTATCCAAGATGGATTCTGTCCAGGCATGTTTGGCAGGAGAAAAAGCGCTGACCAGGTTGCCAGTGGGAACAGACTCTGGGTTGGTCACTGGGTGCCGACATCTTCGTAAGGTGCTGGATCGAGAATGAGTTGATTCTGGGACGATGGAGCAGATGTTACTGGAGGTGCAAGTAGAAGAAGTTGGGTGCAGAAGATCAGGTAGGGTAAAGTGAGGCGGTAGCGGCCACCAAGCTGGCTGCAGTGACCGTGCGAATGCAAGAGCAAGTGGTGAAGGACCTTTGCCAGTGCTGGTTTGCAAGTCTGATGCTTTTTTGTATTTTCGGATCATAAGAACATGAGCTTAGCACGAATGATGCTGAAGACTGCGAGGCCTCGTTGGCGGTGAAGACGACATACTTATGGTGCCCGTGGATATCGTATGTCACCGCGATGACGGTGTTGCTATACGAACCCAGTGCGGGAAGCTTGTGTCACTTGATCGGGCATGCGAGGATGCCTAGGGAACTTCGCGGGCCACACGCAGTGCCCTAAGTTGCTGGCGGCCAAGCGCTGATTGCCATCTTGAAGTCTAACGTGCGACAGCATTGTGGAATGCTTGTCTGGCGAAAGCATTGGCAGGACATGCTGAGCACGATGGTGCCAGACTTGTATCCCTCGACCGCTGCGTGGCATGTGAGGCTGCCGCATATTGTGGTATTGCAGTGATCGGCAGCTGTCAATAGCACGTGGAGGCGTTATTCACAGCTTGGACCACGGTGCTGAGGCATTGCCTTGCGAAGAGTCGTTGGCAGCGATGTCGGGCGATGACTGGTCGAGAGGGAGAGGAAGGCTGCAACAGCACGTGCGATGTTGCATGCTCAGGTATTGCTGTGTCCAGTGCAACGGTGATAGGGCTGGAAGATTGGGTGAAGTAGCGACTCAGGACTGACAGGGACTGTGACAACGCACTTCCAATAGTGAGACGAGGAACTCAGATTCCGGCGGGAAAGCATCTCTATTTATCATCATTTGACGCGAGAGCGGCAGCACGTCTTGCTCGCACACCCATTCCAATGCTTGTGGCGTTCTTCGTCAATGCGTACCGCCCGATTTGGCCTCGACACGGCCTGCGGATCCACTTCACCCACCACCAAGGCGCCATATTTCTGCAGCCGAGTATTGATCTGAGATCACTGTCGGCTCGGTAGTTGAGAGCATTTATATGTCTTTCGAACCACTTGCAGGCTGTCTGCCAGCCTTGCAGGGCACCTTATCTTGACGACTGTCGCTCAGAACAGCTGTACATCGAAACGCTCACTTCCGCGAATATTGTCGTCAAACCAAGAGTTCCAGTTGATGACTGGCAGCACGAGATAGTACAGTCTTCGTTCATTCCCACCCTGTGCATGTAAAGAGCTCCCAAAGGGGTGGATGTGAGCTGTGATATGACGAAGGAAGTCGCCAGGCCTCAGCCTTACCTTCCACTGCCGGGTGCAACGAGTGAAGCAGATGAGTAACGTCCTGATCGACCAATGTATATCTAAGTGCTTCCAGTGATGCAGGCACCATCGAGTGTTATGTGAGACAAAAGCTGTCAAACGCAGCCAAGACCCAGTCCCTGTGAGCCAGAGAAATGTCAGAAGCGAAGTCGTAGCCACGATGCTTGGAAGGCATAGTCGCATGCTCCCAGTACGACAGATGCACAGCTCCATGATCTTGCCGACGCCGTGCTCGTCGCCGGGTGGAAGGCGGACCTCGTCTCATACATGCTGTGAAGCGCTTCTAAACGCAAATCGGACCGGAAGCATGAGCCGTGGAATACCATCGGGGTCTCTTTCGGCGGACTGTCATAATGTTCTGACATGGAACTTCTGTGCTTCGTCAGAACTTGTCTGAGGTCATCTCGTCACTCAGGACTTGGCACAAGAAACGCGCTCGGTCGTGCCACTAAGGCGAGCAGCCCGGCGCCAGGACTACTAAATCACATGCCAGGTGTTGCACTTGCATCAGCCGCTGCAGACCGGTAGTCAAGAGGAGTAATCGTAGCCGTTCTCCCGGCCACAAGCATCTGTCTACTCATCTTGCCAGTGCAGGAGATGCGCACAGCTGGAGTGTTGCCCGAGTACAGCGCAAGAGACCTTGCACGCTGGCTAAACATGAGGTCGTGCCTCTAAGCTCGGCTCAATCTCCAGACTGGCTGAGAACCAAGGCGATTGCGTGAAATTGGAAGGCGCCCAAATCCTGCTTCTTGCACATATCATCGAAAATCGTCCGCGGTAACAGCGAGTGGTTGAGGATGTTGGCGCCGAAAGAGTTGGCAAGAGTGGAAGGTAGAGAATTCAACAATCGCCAAGGCCAACAATTGAAAGTGGGTGCCAAGACGTGATGTTGCTGAGCGTAGAAGGCGAAGGGGTGGTGGTCGTGGAGATGGAGGTGGAGGTGGAGGTGGACGAGGAGGGAGGGGGGGGAGGGAGGCTGGCGGAAATGAGAAAGCACGGACTGGTCTCACCCAATTCGACTTCCTTTCACGCAGCACACCACACCAGCTGTTCGTCCCGCATATCGTACGAATACAATCCCAATCTATTTACATGATGCAGTCCGGGCTGCTCTTCGCCAAAATCACCATGGACCGTCGTAGCATTTGCCGAAGTCTGCTTAGAAATATATGAATCATGGCTGCTGCTGGCCTCCAACTCTTGACGTACCTGCAGTAGCTCACTTGCCGAGCTCTACATGATGCTCTCCCCACCGCAGTCCCTCTTCTGACGCAATAAATAACCCGGGACTATGACCTCTCGAAAGGCCTACTAACACCTCACTCACCTCTACATCTCTCCAAATCCAGACCAAAGCACCAACAACAATGTCTCCCAAACCCCTAACCCTCCACGCCCACGGCACAGGTCCAAACCCCTACAAAATCGCCGCCGCCCTAGAATTCCTCCAAGTCCCCTACCAAGTCAAACTCTGGCAATTCGGCGCCGCCAAAAACGGAGTCAAAGGCCCAATCTTCCTCAAAATCAACGAAAACGGCCGTGTCCCCGCCCTCGAAGACCCAAACACCGGCGTAACAAGCTGGGAATCGGGAGCAGTGATGAATTACGTCCGTCGAGTCTACGACACGCAGAAAAAGCTAGGTCCGAGGGGGAGTTCCGAACAGGACATCGTGGATTTTGAGAAATGGGAGTATTTTTTGTTGAGCACGTTGGGACCGATGATGGGTTCGTGTATTCATCCAATCCACTTTCCCCGTGCTGCGATATGCTGATGTGTATGGATCAGGACAAGTGAATTGGTTCCGTCATTACCATTCCTCGAAGAATGAGGATGCGTTGAAGAGGTATGAAGAGCAGGCATATCGATGCTATGGCGTGCTTGATGGGCAGTTGGAGAAGCATGGTGGTCCGTATATTCTGCCTGGGAATACGCCTAGTGCTGTGGATCTTCACTTTTATCCGTGGGTCTATCAGCATGGGTTTGCTGGGTTGAGTTTGGAGTCTTATCCTAATGTTAAGAAGTGGTTGGAGGGTGTTGCGAGCTTGCCGGAGATTAAAGCTGCGTATGAGAAGATTCCAAAGGGTGAGGTGGTTTGAGGATGGTTGAGATGTATCCGATTGCCCGGATATCATCGTGGCAACTCGTGGTTTTCGGGTTGCTGAGATCTGCTGAGTGTTTATTGATCTCTAAGTACCCAAACTATTCACACCTTATCCATGCTCTTTACCAACCCCTTCCTGCATAATCTGTATTGACTACTCGGAGTCCTCTCACAAACATCTCTAGGTTTGAATCAGCCATTAATTGCAGCTTGGAAGGAAATCACATATTAACTTACTATAGCGAGGGTGTGCGTTTTGCTCTAGATCTTAGGAAATTCAGAAAGGGCTCATTGACAAGAGAGGAAACGCCGCGCGATATCGATACCGACCTACATGTGCGGGTCTGTGCGCAATCTTCACAAGACAAACGCGGACTTCACCTTGTCAACTTATACCACAATTCTGAGCCTCGATACTAAACGATTCAAGCCAGCGGAGGAAAGCATAGACGCGCAGAGGAATGTTACAAAGTTCGTGAGATGGGTGATTTGAAGATGAAGATGATTATAAGTAACTGCAGGTGCAATTGTCGCACTAGTAAGCTGCCTTAAGCACCAGACGAAGAATAATTCTAACACCTACCTCCCAACTCGAACTACATCAAAGACTATACTCATAAGCTTAAACAGAGTAGTTAGAGCGTAATAGCTTCAAACCCGTCTCTTTCGTATCCAGATCCTGAACACAGAAAATCCAAATACCGAAAGTTCGAAAGTTCATTCACAAATCTTTACGAATGAAATGGTGAAACTGGTACGCAAAAGGGCCGTCGAATTTTGAGCGTCGGGAAGGCGGAGACATCGTGTACTGACCGAACCAAAAGTGCCGCGTCGTAGATGTATGTAGATGCTTGGTTGATACTCTACTGAAGAGTTGGTTTGGGAATCAAGTCGGAAGAATGACCGAGGACAGCGGAAAGCAGAGAAAGACGGCGCATCCCTAAGCAATCGTCAGCATGTGCTATTATTCTCTGGCTGCATAAGAGGTCTATCTTCTGCGATCACGTCGGTCTCTGCCGTCTTCTCGGTCTCGATGATGGCGTCTGGAACGGTCGCTGCGATCATAATCCTCCTCCTCACGCTCTCGTCGCTTACGTCGCTCTTTTTCTTTGCGGCGATGGTACTCCTCGTCGCTCTCGGAGTCGTAATTGCGCCTTCCTCCATCTCGATCGCGTCGGTCGTCCTTCTCTCGCTCTCTACGCTTGCGCCTGTCGCGAGAACAGGCTCGGTCCTTCTCCCGACGGCGGTCACGCGAGTCGTAGTCATCGTCATCTCTACGCTTTCGTTCTCGATCTTTCTCCTTGCGGTCGAATTCCATCTCATATTTCCTCCGCTCGTCGTCTTGCTTCTTCTTCTCAAGTTCCTCCTCAGTATACTTGGCACCGGTCTTCTTATCGCGGAGGAGGAGTGGGTTGTAGATTTTGGCATCTTTGCCCTTGGCTGCTTTCCCCCAAACGCCCATCTCCTGCGCAATCGCGGCATCTTCTTTGGCACCGATACCCAAGAGGTTTGCTCTTCGCTCTGGGATCTTGCCACTGTCCTTGGGCAGTTTCTTTCCCTTTTGGCTACCAATACCTTCACCTTCCTTCCACCCCATACCTCGGAGCAGGGCGGCTCCAAATTGCTCCACTGGCACTCGCGCGTAGTCATCGAGAGATGCCATAGCGGGAGCAGATCTAAAATCGTGGCTAAAAGCGTCCGACTCACTCATAGGCGCGCTGGATGCTGCGATAGTCAAGGTTGTATCTTTGGTGGTCTTTCCAAGTAATGCATCCATGGCCAGTTCGTCGTCAGTCTTCTTCGATGCGCCCTCTCCATTATCTTCAAGCGCACTCTTGTCCGCCTCTGCAGGCTCTTCAACATTCTCATCTCCATCGGTCATCGCGGTGTCTGCATTTTCCTCGTCTTCAATTTGCTCCTTCTTGTAGGTGTTGAGTCCAAACTTGGGCTTGCTGGCCTCCACTTTCGCCTCTACGGCCCTCATGCGCGCATCCAGTTCTGCGCTGTTGCCGTGGCCTTCAGGAAGTCCGCTCTTCTGCCGTTTGCGCTGGTTCGCCTTTTCTCTCCAGTCGCGATTTGCTTGCGCTGTGATAACTAGCGGTCCGGTATCCACCTTCTTCTTGTTGCTGTCGATTGCGCCGCCCGCAGTCTTGTCAAAGTGTGAGACTTGCTCAGATTTGCCAAATTCGACACCGTCATCCTCATCGTCCTGTAGCGCCGCGCGTGGTCTCTTCACTCCATTACTTGGCGGCAAAGGCTTGCGCGATGCGCCGAGCGACAACGATATCTTGCTGCCGCTCATCGTGGTTACGTGGTGTTGTGATGTGTCTTGTGCGGGAAGCGATCGCCGTGACAGATTTTCGGAGCAGTCACGATCAAAAGTGGCTAGGGTGCCTCGGTTTCAAGCGCTCACGGAGAACACTCACTCACCGCTCATAATAATTATTGCGACGATGACGTTGTCTTGCAGAGCAGGTATGCGAGATATATTAAAACCAACCGATTCTCGTGATGCGCATCAAGGATGTGGCTGGACAACATCTACATATTCTGATCAGTTCCAGCTGCAACAATTTCTCCAAAGAGCAGACAAGGCATATTCTTCTCATTCACCCACCTCCGGTTATCATATGCGCCTATTTGGGGACAAGTATCCGTTGCCGGTCCAGGCAGTCTCAAGGCAGCGGCACCGCCCTCACGTCCAACACGCAGTCACGAAGTGAAAGACGTCGCGAGTTGTTGTCGTGATCGAAAACAACCGCGATCAAACAACATTCAACTGCCACGCGAACATCGAGTCGTGAAGCCGGGCACCATTGCATCATCTCAGACACTTTCACGTTTGATGTCGCCACGGCTATCGTGAATCGACAGACCGGTACTCCACGCCGCCACGCTGCAAGCCGGCCGACCTCCACGAATCTTGAATCTGTCAATATGACAATCCCACTATTGCATGATGAACTATGCACGAAGCCTTTCGACAAGATGTACGTTGCACATCATCAAGGCTGGCTGCATGACACGAGACTATCCTTGCGTCAACTCCATTACCTTCGGTACCTGCTGCTGACTACACAACCCAGAAGCCGGCCACGTTCTTTGCCATCGCGGCTATGAAGCAGCACGATTGGCTTGTAATATCGCAGCCAACCCTAGCCCAGAAGGCTGGACAGCAGGCACTCCAGCTACCCAGAGCGGCGGCTAATTTCTCCATCTCATCTCATGTTCTTGGCACGTGCAGAAATAGGAGAAAGGACAGAGATATAATATCACGACCTTGCCGGACCTGCTCTCGCAAAAAGAGCTGACGACGACCAGACAAGCTACAACCAGGACCGCGAGGGCTTCCTTTCCTCCGTGACGGCGTTGCATGAGAATATTGAAGGCAAATGAAAGACCGGGGACCATGCTCCCCATCAATGACAATCCTGGAGCTCCAATAAAACTTGGTTAAGGCTCAGCTCAACCGCCATCGAAACCTCCTCAGCATCTGACTACCTAGGCCGGCTCTTTAACGGATACCCCCATACCCCATTCGCTAGATCGTTGGCGATTCTACCCAACTGGAAATATTGTGTATCGTGGCTATCGCTGCCAAGGACGACCGTCAGCTTTACGGTTTCACGGCAAGGCTCCCCATCGCTTGAGAAACCCTTGATACGGCCACGACCATGACGTGCTGCGCGGAAGGTACCGAGGAACCACACCAGTATCATATACGGTTCGTACCATCCGATACCATATGGTTGTTGAAAGTGGGTCAATATCCTGGCTGGGACCTACCTTGGTAGGACAGTTCAGGCACATCGCTGGAGCAGAAGCCTATGAACCCAGAAACGCAGCGAAGAGTGGCCGCATCCATTAAGCAGCATGTGTGAGAGACAGTCGTGGTCAGGAAAGTGCTGGTCGTGGTCAGGAAAGTGCTGGTCGTGGTAGAGGGGCTGGATCATCACATTTCTTCATCTTTCCACCGGCCAGGATGTCGAAGGCAATTTTCTCAACGACGACGGAGACGTCGAAACCTGAGAGGGGCAGAGGCCAAGGAGTGGGTGACATCCGCTAGACAGCATAGCCCGTCTATTTGTTACTTCAGCCCAGATGCAACTCCGTATATTGCGATGCGATGCAGAGCTGTCGCGCTGCAGCATGCCACGCATGCGTACCAGCGATATGATGTTACGGCCAGATCGTGTCAAGCACGAATAGTCGACGGAAGTGCGGATGCTGGGCTGGCCAGACTCCAGTCTGCATGATTGTTGACTCGATAGCCGAAATAGCGAGTGACTTGCTTACACCATGGCGGCATCGCGTCGACGCCGCGGTCTTGGCTTGCCGGACCCTTGGATTCCGCACCGGGCTGCACCGGGTAAGGAATTCGAAGGCATGCGGTGCTTTTCACATGATGTGACACATCAGTGAACATCTTCCCGCAGGATGAGATCTTTTTGATGTCTCTGGACCCTGCAGTCCCAAAATCAACACAAACGGTCAGGCTGACAGCCAACGTGTCTGTGCCCAAGATGAGGCTCCTCTGTGGGCGGTCCGGAAGTCAATGATTTCCAGGGCGCCGCCGTTGTTGTTGCTAATAGACGAGCGTTGAAGGTCTACTTCCCATGTGGCGAATGAAAATCAATGACTATCAGGTTCAGGTGCCGTGCCGTCTGACCGAATTAGAATAGTGAACAGCACCGAAATTCGCAGCAGAGCGGGTCTGCGGTGTCGACAAATTTCAACCATGGCGAATTCTTCATGCATCCATTGGCGCGAAACCGATGCAAAGCACGATGCAGGTACAACCACAGCTGCATTAGCACTGCACCGAGGATGCGTGGGCTGCAGAAGCAAGGAGCAATTGTTTCGTGGCTTGTTTGCGAGGACATCTTCACGTCCACGTTCCAACTCTGCGGTGCTCGTGCGCTGGTGGGTAATGGTCCCTCGCACATGCCCACTTCCCACTTGTGAGGCGAGGCGAATGATACAGGACGCCTATCGTCAGAGTGATTATCCGTGGTCGAGGACGATCCACCGCAGCTCTGTGACGACGGCGAGGACGGCGCGCGGGAGCATCCCGTGTGCCCGCAGGTCTAATACCATTCCATCATCAAAGTGCGAGGAAGGTGGATCCCACGATTTGCCACCGAGGTACAGTAGTAGCATTGCAATGACCACAAACCATGGCTATTATCAACATTCGGTCGCTAAAGACATCTACGCACACCGTGCAGACCGGGTAAAGGTGTAGCGAATTATTGAGATGGGAATCGCGATCATCTCAGGCCGTCGGCAACAGCTCGACTCGCTATGCCTGCTTCTCGAAGCTGTTGACAACTCGGCACTTCGGCTGTTCAAGGGACGAACGAGCGGTCCAGGCAAAATCCCAGTTGGCGATCGCCCTTGCAAAGGCGAAAGTCGGGGTTCAGCAAGGCGAGCAGCAAGGTTCCCAACGCCAACGCCAACGCCCTTCGCAAGAATGGAGATTGCCATGTCCGCATCGAACCGTGGACGAAATCCCATGGCGAGGGAGGGGTGGAGTCTGAGAGGAGAGGGAACAAGCGCAGCGCGGAAAGAGTAGGTTTGACGCTCCCACGTCCGCGGCGGCGCAGTCCATCTCTAGTCCCAGTGACCAAGCCACCGTCACCGACAGCTTGTCACTGGGACTGGAGAAGGAGATGGAAGCGGGCGATCTCACAAGGGTTGGGATATAAGAAGAACAATTTCGTTTGGAATCGATGGGACAGGTCTTGGGGCGGGGCGCGACGGCGGAAACTTAGACTAATTCCCCGGAGAGCCAACGTCGGAGGCTCGGCACTATCATTCGGACGGGACTGACGGAAAGAAGCTAAAGATCCAGATGCCGTGTCCGTGTACATAGTTATTATTTAGAACACACCAGAGGAAAGTCAGAAAGGTGTGAATACAAGCCGTAAGCAGGCGTGAAGCCACCCTTGTGCTCGTGCGGCAAGTGAGTGGCCGAAGATGCGATTATTGATGAGAGCGATTGTGCCAGGCGATCTGTCTGGTTCTGTGATAGCGTTGACTACGAAGTTCCGCTCGAATCGCTAGGGCCACGAAACCATGGCCTTGCATTGCATGCATGTGAAAGCGATGCGATGCTGGTTCTGACAGCTGTCGGGCAGCAAGCAGCAGCAACAGCACCAGGTCAGGTCGGCTCCAGAAGACCACACTACTGACAGTCAATAATGGTGTGGTAGGTAACGGTAGGTCTATATTCTGCAACATCATGCAGAGCCGATAGCTTGCTCCCGTCAGACGAACCACTCAGTACCTGCAGCTGGAAATTGCACGGCCAGCTGCAGACAACACTTTTCTCAGTCTCACACAGGTACAGTAGTACGTACTTTCGACATTGTACCTGCAGTGGTTCTGCGTGGGGAAAGAACAGCGCTCTGCTTCTGCTTCCTGCGGTGCTTGCCGATGATCTTGCGCGAAGGCGGCGGCCCTCGAGCGAGCGTCGTGGCGCAGACCAGAGTTCACACGTATATTTTTAGCGACGCTTCCGTCTCTGTGCGGTGCCCTCCATCTCCACTTGGCACTCACTTGCGAGTCCCATGTGTGAGATCATTTTGTTGGCTGTGGATGTGGGTATGATTTCAGTTCGTTTGCATTATTGATGTGGGCTGCCGAGGTGAGGCGCTGCGACTGGAGGGTGTAGTTTTGCTATTCTACTGTACATCATGCCGTGACCGAGGCCTCGTTTGCACACGTCTTCTCGAAGGAGATGGCCTTCTAGTTGATACACGCAGTCGGTACACGACCCCAGCTCGCTGGGATTTGGACTTGAACAGAGTGGGCTGCCTAAAAGCCCGTCACAGAGTGAAACACTGATTGCGGGTGTCCAATGACAAAGCCGATGGAAACCCCATCCGTACCTGCTTTAGCCAGTGTTTCAGCATTCAACTTTCATGTGTGGCAGCTCTGCTCGGTGGCCAGCGCTCGTCGCCCGAAAAAGCTCTGAGACTGAACTTTGACGCGTCTTTTTTGACTCGGCTCTTGCAGCGTGGGCGCAGAGCCAGAAACGAAGGCCATGGTCTGTATGTCGATGAAGCCATGGAGTGGTGGTGCGACTTCACCAGTGGGAGCTCTGCTGCAGTGGCGACCAACTGTCACCAACATCGCGCCGTGTCTTCGACTGGGACATTATTATTGTCACCTCGCATTGATTCTGCGTGCGAGACGCAGCCAACATTGGAACAAGCTGCGCTACAGGACAGTATTGTGCTGAGGCGAAAAGGTGATGGGCGTCGCGATTGGAAGCCAAGCTCACACACATGTCTTGCCAGCGGAAAATAGTTCTGTGGCAGTATGCTTTCGGCAATAAGAATAGCTTATCGATGGGAGGCCATGCCGTGTGGGCACTGGGCACTGGGCAGCGTCGCCGTGGCCGTGGGCGTCGCAGCGACGATAGGCCCGGCGGTGGGCGGTGGCGCACAGTCTGGGCCAAAGAGACTGGCCATGCCGACCTTTGTGCCTCGAGTGGACGGAGGGTGCAGCGGTCGACACAGCGCAGCGAAACAGCAGGATTGCGGGAGAGGTGAGAGCGGCAAACAGCACACGGCAGCTCGCCTCTGACCTACCAACGAGGCGCGAGCAGACAGATGCAGCGACTGACTGGTCACAAGCGTAGACGAGACAGGTCGTCGAGTGGGAAAGATGGATGTGACGGTACAAGAGGCATGCCGCTGACTGCGATTGATTCACGATCATGGCCGCAAACGGGCCACTGACACCGCACGCTGAGCGTCTGAGAAGGGTCGATGCGGTGTCGCGCATGGCTTGCACCGTACCTCAGCCCACGGCGACAGCGGCACGACCGAGGCGTATCGCGGTCAGGCAGCGAGGGCAAAAGCAGAGACGGCGCATCATACCGGCGGCGCATCTCTGCGTGCGTGGACATCGACGACGCTGCGCGGGCGCGACACGACTTCTGGCAGCATTCACGGGAGCGGGCCAACCACGAGTGCAGCGTCTTGGTCTCGGTCTTGGGCCCCGCCCCGCTTGCGCATCCGCGTCCGCATCCGCTAGCGTGTGGGCCGGGGTCTGCGTACCTGCAGCGACGGTCACGGCAGGGCTCGAGTGGCAGCGTGAGTGGTCGTGTCGTGGGTGCGCGCGCCGGCCTGAGCGCTGCTGCATGCTGGCCCATGCATGCATCCCAGCATCCGTCGGGAGCGTCCCCCCATGAGCCCAGCCATGAGCATGAGACTTCGCGTTCCTGGCACTAACGCGAAGGCTTCTGCTCTGCGACTGCGAGCACGTCGCCGCCACGCTCCAGGGTTTATCTTAAACCTGAGCCTTCTTCTTGTCTCCTCCTCGATCGTCATCTATCTCTGTTCTTCGTTCTGCTGTTCCCTTCCCGGTACTAATCTGATCGGTGCAGCCCACCGCCGCGAGACCACCGTACCTCGTCACTCCTTAGGAACACTTCTGCTACACCACCACCTGCCGGTGCGCGCGCCCGTCGACGACCTCCATCCCGCCGACGACCCATCGTAGCCCACGAACGCCGCCCACCCAGACAGCAACGCATTCTCTCTGGAGCTCGATCTCTCTTGTATCATCCGACCCTGTACATTGTGCTACCATCAACTCGTCATCCACAACTTAATCGCATAACCTGACTTTCGAAACACAATCATCCTTGATGTTTCGATACTTCTAAATCCGTCGTATCAGAACAAGTCTCTGGTCAGTCCACGCTCGTCATCGGTAGCGATGCGGCCCGCGTCATAAATCGCGTGCTAACTGCTGCTCAGCCAAAAAAAAAACTCACAATCCGATGGAGTACGCACAGCAGACGACCCCTCCAATGGGTCAATCGCCATTCTTCTACTACAACCCGGAACCAAGCCCCGATAACAAGCAACATGGTCACTTCACACCACACCCACACCACCCACACGCTTTGCCAATGCCGCTCCTCCCCTCGACCCCAGAGCACATGATGCACTTCCCACACCACCCCGTCTACCACCGACCGCAATCTGCAGGATCGCAAATATACTACCACCCGCCCGTCCACGCCTATGGACCACCTCCAATGCTTACTCCACATGCTTCACCACGCCAGTTTGAGCGACCACAATACGTCGTGCAACACGAAGCGCACGTCTTGATGCCAATCAACACCGAGTGCCAGGCCTACTTTCCAGCGACCCCCACTCTCTCCGCATCAGGATCATTCAGCTCAGCATCTACACCTCCATCAACGTGCGGCATTCTACCAACTCCAGTGAACGGACAGGGCGGCGTGTTCTTCGCGAAGCCGCACACGCTTGCATACCCAGCTGTGAAGCAGGGCTGTGAGGAGGAGGTCTTTTCCGAGGTTTTGGCTGGAGGTGACTGGGCTCGCCCAGGATCACCACCTATGACCCCAGTCTTCTTGCACAACAACTCCGTATCCGCTGCGAGCACACAGTCTTACGAAATCGCGTCCGGGCCAAATTCGGCTCATGTCTCTCCTTCCCCGTCCCCGGTACCACGATCCGTGGCTTCCGAGCAAGATGTATGCGACCCGCGCCACCTCAGTATTGGCAACTGCGCACCCGAGCTCCCACTGTTGCCCACCTTGTGCCCCGGAGATGATGAAGAACACAAGCTTTTGAAGGGCGATGGCCAGGAACCAACCGTGCACATCGCTGCTCCAGCCGAGCTCGTCAATTATGGTGGCCTGCCAACATTCGAGCCCATCTTCGAGCTCGATGTGGAGGACGACTTCAATGGCATGGTCTCGTACCAAGGCCAAGAGGTGAACTACAACGGAGCTAAGCGTCAACGACTTGATCTCCAGACTAGCTTTGAGGATGACGGCTTTTTCAGTGAGGAGTCCTACAGCGATGATGACCTCGCTCAAGGAGCCTACTCCCCACCATCATCTGAGTTCTCTGCTCCCGAGTACTCGGCTGCCGCCCAGACCAAGTCGAAGCGCAAGTCTTCCAAGAAGGAGCCAGTCCAGCACTCAGCACCATCGACCCAAGAACAAGACTCTGCCCCAATCTCGACATCTCAGAGCGCCGAAGAAGAAGAGAACACCGAGTCCGCTGCTGCCTCCCCAGCCCAGAGTGGAAGTGGTGTGTCTCGCCGAGGTCGCAAGCAGTCACTGACCGATGACCCTTCGAAGACTTTCGTCTGCACACTCTGCAGTCGACGTTTCCGAAGACAAGAACATCTCAAGCGCCACTACCGATCACTCCACACTCACGAGAAGCCATTCGAGTGCTCAGACTGTGGTAAGAAGTTCTCTCGATCAGACAACCTGAGCCAGCATCAGCGCACCCACGGCGCTGGGACCATGGTCATGGGTGTGCTCTCGCAGCCTTCCGACCAGCACATGCACCAGCCGATTGACTCTGTCAATGGTGGTGATGCCGGTAGCGTCATCCGACCCAAGCAGGAGCCTCAATACATCCCTCAGCAACACCAATACCCACCCCAGCACCGGGTCAGCCCCGATGCCAATGAGCTTGGTACCATGCTGTACGATGTCACTGCTCAAATGGCCGGCTCGAGCTCGAGCAGTGTCAGCTACTCAGATGGTGACTATTCCCCTACCTCAGATCGCAAGCCAGCGAAGAAGAGGAAGCGGGATGAGTAGATGCAGACACTCAACAACAACAACAACAACATTTCTTACTCACCTGTTGATGTCTTTGCCGCACAGTGGGACGTCTTGACGAGAACACTGACTCACACCGCCGCAAAGGAGATTACGATACGAATGATGTCGTTACGCCGGGGATACCACGCACTAGAAAATGGGAATCATGGGGAATATAACTGGAGCTCACACAAAATTTCTTTCATCATCTTGGGTGCAACGAAGCTTTTGGGGGGAAGCAGGCAGGCACCTTTACCACCACTACCTTGACACCTGACCGACACATCATCACCCACACCTTCGCTTCAAAACAACTACTTTCGCTTCAACCATCGGCTTGGAACAGGACGGAGATTCGATTTGACCATTCTTACCTTTCTTGGACATGCTTTGTTACTTCTTGCCTTTCGCTTGTACAACACATAATACCATTCTTCACACCACACTGGATACTTTTGACAGGACACGCTGCAATGCGATGCGATGCGATGCGCTGCTGTATTTTTTTCTTGTTGTATATTAACATTCGAGACCAATTTTTCTTTCCTTGCGTTCTCTTTTCGACAGCAAGAATGGGCCTGGGGCTTTTTTTTTGTGTTTGTATATTATCTTCACCACCTATTTTGGGGGAAATTTTTCGCTCTCTTCGTCCTGGTCGATGAAGTAAGATGTTGTCGGGATGGGAAAGGGAAAGGGAAAGGTGTGCTGTTGTACCTTTTGAGAGGAAGAGTTTTTTCGTTGTTGACTCCTTGTTGGACTCTTGTATGTATGTATCACAATCACAATCATTATCAACTTGTACTACTACTACTACTACTAGTATTATGGAGAAAATGTCTGGGACATCTTTTTTTTTTCTTTTTTACAACCTCGTATTATTCTTAGCTTTCTTTATTTATTTATTGGTTCTACTCCATCGATGCTAGCTAGTTGCTTGTAAGCGGTGCTTCGCACTCTCAGCTCCCCTACCAAACAACCATAGAACTACCCAAAATCTGCCACGCCACCGCATGCACTTACGGTACTACTCCTACGCTATAATGGCGACTCCCCCCCCAACGCCCTCGCATGCATGCAACGAAACAACCAGGTTGTTGTTGTTGTTGTCAGAAACAAGCTCTCGATTATTTTTCGCGAGTTTTGGAACTTACACTAACTACTGACTCGACATGAGCGGCACCGCCAACGATTCAACCACATGTATGGTAGATCTTTGAGGCTTGATGAGGTGAGAGGGACAGCTAGGGCTGCGGAGAATCTTGTATGGTGATGAGGTGAGGTGGACTGCTTGCTGACTTGAGTTGGTTGGTTGGGCATGAATGGTTGGGCATGAACTGAACTGAACTGAACTGGTGGTATGTATGTATGTATGTAGATCTACTCCTAAGTTACGGCTAGGTAGAATGGTAGAATCTAGTGAGTTCGTAGGTTTGTTTCGAGAGCGAAAGAGACTTTTTTTTTTGCATCTAGTTATCTACTGAACTGGAACTGGGTGTAGTAGGCGGATTTCTAGATTCTCTGGTTTGGTTACCTATGAGTCAGCCAGTCAGTCGTGCGTTGTTCTTACAGCTCGCGACCGAAAGACTTCTACATCCGGCGGGCTATCACGGACGGAACGTATGAGATGAGATGAACTGGAATGGTATGTATGTAGATCTAGATTGTATGAGTCGCTGGGTGCATCACATCACATCACCGGCGGCAGTAGCAGCAGCAGCTCAAGACTTTGTTGTCTATAATCATAACAGGATGGATGTGACCAATTAAGTAGAAAGTTTCTAGGGAAAAGATTTTTGGAACTTGGAAGGTTGGAAGTGGGACTAGTCACTGTTTAGAAAGTTCGCTTGTTGCCTTAGAAGGTGTTAAGTTGTGATGAGGCTCTTGGGTGGAAATTCGCTTTTTTTTTCGCCTTGGAAGTTTGGAAGACAGGTAAATCTATTCTGGGATGATGAAGAGTAAGACCAACAAGACCAAGACCAAATCAAGGTGTTGCGGGATTAGGGTTTACGATTGTAGATTGACTTAGATTTGTGATGGAGATGAGATGAGATGGGAAGTAGTGTAGAAGAACTTGATTGAGGGTTTTATTCATAGGATAGAGAATTGGAAGATGCTGGGACAAGCAAGTTTTCTCCGGTTTTATCCAACTTTCGAAGTTTCAACACTTGACTTGATGCTCTATGAGTTCGAGAATCGAGCGCTCGCTCGGCTCATGAGATAACTTAACCAGATAGTGGCTTGCACGTGTAACCATATCCCAAAATCCGATGGATATCTATTCATAGTAGCCAGCCACGCCATCTTCCCACACAACCACACCAAACGTCCGGTACGTGTAGGTAAAAAATCAATACATACTACCCCCCAGAACTCCCCACCTCCCTCCCCCTCTGAAACCCCTCCATCTCAGCATGCTGTTCCCTCCAAATCGCCTTAAGCACCACATCATGCGAAGGATCGCCATCCCAATACTTGGCATGAAAACTCCTGGCACCCCCTCTCCAATCATTTTCCGTCGGCCAATTCACATTCCAACCATACCACAGCGGTTTCCAAGGCATATTCCCGTCCTGTCGATGCGCGTAATTCAAAAGATTCTGTTCGGGGAATCCGGGGTCGAAACGGTTGGGGAGTTTGAGGAGGGACATGTAGTAGTTGAATAGGACTAATGAAGGGGTGAAGACGAAGAAGCCGCAGTTCAGGTACGATAAGTCTGTGGGTGGGGGGTAGGGGTGGTCGTAGCCCCAGAAGTCGCCGTGGGTGGCGAACATGTAGGTTCGTGGGAGGTCGGCTTCGTCTTCTTTTATTTGGGCTGCGTTGGGGAGCGTGGCTTGGGTGAGGGTGGCTTCGTCGAAGAAGACGCCGTCGAGAGGGGCGGTGACGAGGGTGTCGCTGTCGATGAAGAGGATTTTTGTGTATTCGATTAGTTGGAAGAGGCGGAGTTTGGCGAGTACGTCGACCCAGCGGGGGTCGGCGGCTTTGACCCAGTCTTGTTCGAGTTTTTCGATGAGGACGATGGTGGCGCCGTCTTTTTTTAGTCGGTCTCTTTTGCGTTTTGAAACGTCTCGGGTGCATACTACGAGGAATGGGATGCTGTTGTTTGTGCTGGCTGATTTGGAGTGGAGGAGTTGGTATGTCAGCACTCTTGCGCCTTGGAAGTAGCCATCGTCGGCGTCGTTGATGGCGGCAGATTCTTCATCTGTTTGCTTCTTGTCTGGGTTGGCGTTTCCGGCGAGGAAAGTGGCAAAGGCGACTTTGTGCGTTCTCAGCGGAGTCTGCCCGCCATACTTCGGTCCTTGTCGCTGTGGAGGAAGCCAGTGCTGGTTGTGGTGAGTAGATTTCAATGAAAGTGTGATGAGAGCAGATGCGAGGAAAAGGAAAATGCAAAGACCAATGGTCTTGGGATTCGTGGTCATCGTAGCGACATTTTTCTGAGAAGACAGGAGGAAGTGAAGAAGTGGAAAGGTATTCTCTTATCGCGAAATCGATGGCATTCCAGTCTGAGACGCGAGCGAGGAGACGCGTGGTACGAAAGGGATGTGGCAGAACTGCACCTGGCCTTGAAGGCACGCCATAGGAGATCAGATGGCCATACGAATGAAGTTGTCGACCCCTTTCCGCGGGAGGTGTTCTGGAAATGAAGTCGTAGAAATGGAACGGTGTTGTGCCATCGGTCCGCTATCATAGCGCACGACTGGGCCTTTGCGTGTCATCTACCACTTCCGTCCCTTCTCTTTGCTACTCTTATTCTCCTCTCAAGGGAATGACCTCGATGATGGAGGAGACTTCACTTTCTTCCAGTTGATGCCTGAGCGGAGGCCTGGTTGCATGTGATGGCGTCGAAGCAGACCCTTGAGGCTGATGCGGCGGCCTCGCTGTCGCTGTCGCTGATCCGCACACGTCACCGTCGCCCTCTGCTGGCCTGTTCTTTTTGTGTGCGCTACTGTCGCGTTTCCTTGTCGACAGCGAAGAGTGCAGGTACAGCAAGTCACCGCTTCTGCAGCAGACAAAAAAGAGACAGGCTGGGATGGTGATTGGGCGACGCAGCGTAGCGCCGCGGTTAATTGCGCCGCCCGACGTCGTTCTACTGCAGGCCGTGCCCCCAGTAGTGTAGTGCAGCGTCGAGTGGACATGCCTAACATCCACTGGCCGAATCCATTCCCATCCTCCGCCGGCGACCTCCCTCAATGCCGCCCAGATATGCCTCCCTCTTCGCAAGACGGAGAGCGGAGGAGACGGCGGAAGCACGCAGACGACCGCGAGTCAACCAGCTCGCGCGACAAGATCCGATCAACGCATAAATCTTCCTCTTCGACTAAGCTCCCGCTCCATAGCTCCAAGCGAAAGTCTGGCAGTCGCGAGCGGGACGTCACGACGACGACAACGACCACGTCTGAGAGGGGGACACCTATAGTCATTCGCAGGACTGTCTCGTCTTCGATGGGCGTGCCGGAGATGGACCGGCGCTCCAGCAGCGGTGAAGCGAGCAAGCCTGCCACCTCATATCCCACCTTCAGCAAGGCTCACAGTCGAGAGGCGGTGGGCAGTAGGGAAGACATGAGCAATACGAAGAATGACATATTCACGCCAGATACGACAGAGGTGGGTGATGTCAAAGAGGCGCGACCCAGATCAACTCCCGCAAATACCAAATCTCACCCCGCTCGGGCACCACCTAGTCCTCCACTTACGGCTGATGAACCAGATATTCGGCGCTCAGGCAGCGGCAGCGGCAGCAGTAGAAGTATGCGCGGAAGCATGGAAGATGTTCGAAGCAAGCCGGCAAGTAATGGGAGACGCAGTGCAGATGGCGGACGTCGTAGGAGCCCCGTGAAGGGCAGCAAGTCGGGCAAGTCGGGCACCAGTCTGCGCAAAGAGGCTCGATTCGATCAGTCAGATATATCGAGTATGCCGGGTACATTTCCTGAGGAAGAGAGAAAGTCTACGCCAGCGAGCAATTATCGGCGGACCGAGTCTACGGCGTCACGCGAGCATTCGACACTTACACAAGACACCCAAGATACGACAGATTCTGATGCTACCTCAATAGCCCCAGACCGAAAACCAGGGAAAAGACCGCATACTGCTCCGCCAAAGGAAAGAGCATCGCCGCCTTCTGTGACAGATTCTCAGCCCAAGACTCCAACTCAAGAGCACGAATTCCCTCGGCATGTGCGAGCGACACCAGTGATCGATGTCGGAGCAGCGAATACGCACACTTCAAAGTCCATCGCAACTCCGTTGACCGCGAAGCACATGCCGCCTCCACCTCCTCCACCGCCCCCACCACCGATGGCAGGACCGAAAGAGGCGCCGCGGGTGGACTATCTCTTGAAGAACGGTGGTCTGCCCATGCCAGTGCCGAAGCGGTTGGTGCAGTCCAGCCTTACCAATCCGATCCAGCCCTACAATGTCTACCAATCGCCAGCGCTCAGCCAAGCGTCACCAATGGAAGAGTACACGAGGGTCTTTTCGAATATACACAAGCGATTGGACGATTACATGCAGGTACTACGAGGCAATGGCTCACTGGCTGTAGCAACAGGATACAAATCAGTCGCTCGCCGATTACTGGACAAGCTCTCGCAAGTCTTTGCACGAGACATATCCTCGCAAAGATGTGACTGCGTAGTGTGCAAGACCACCCCTCAGCCGGCCCTTTCTGACGAGGAAGATTCGGGCATCAGCTGGGGCGAGATTCTCGAATTTGTGGCAGGTCGTCGGGAGCTACCACAATGGCCGCCGTTCTCAATACAGCCTGACGATAGTGGACTAGGTATTTCTGGGGCAACACAAGTGCCAATGCAGAAGCTCGACATCGACGTACCGGAAGAGTACAAGGACCACTACATACGACAGAACCAGAAAACGAAGCGAGCAGTCCAAAGCTGGCTTTCACAGCAGCCAGATTTCCCATCGAGTCCCCCAGAGGAGGCTGACGAAGACACACTCATGTTCGCGATGATGACCAAACTTACTGTGCAGCAACGCAATCTGTTCATTGCATTGATGCACGGTCAAAACTTTATTTCTGAGGCCAGAGCGCCAACCCCTGCCGAGCGTCCCACCACGTCTTCAAATGCATTGAGACGTGCCAAGAAAGCTCTGCAGAGGCTCTACAGGCTGGAGAGACCCCCTCGAGACTGCGAAGCTGCCATGTATCTGCTTACGAACCCGCATCTGCATGGCATGCTGGCGACCATGGCAGAGGTAAATGAGGCCGAATGGGAAATTCTAATCTCTGGAAGATTTGATGGATTCTTATGGTCTGGCGCAGAGGCGGCATTGCCTCCTTCCGCATCTGCTTTCGCCTCTCCCGTGGCATCTCGTGGTCCGTCTCGTGGCCCGAATGCTACACCCTTTTCAAGAAACACCACTCCGTTCAGCGGCTTCAGCCCTGTCCCATCACGAGGCACAACGCCTTTCGAAGGCGGCGCTGAGCACATGCCCTCCATGTTCCCATCAAGAGGTCCGACACCTGGTGTGGGCGTCGGTGTTGCAGCGCCCGCACCCGTGCAGCTCGACGAAGACACCGAGATTGCTGTCGTCGCTGAGCTCGAGCGCAATCTCTTCATGGATATGGAACGCCTCGAAGATGCTTTCGAGATCCTGCATGGTCGTGCAGAAATGGTGCGGCAGATGCTACGTGAGCGATCGGCAGGCTTGTCCGCTCAAGCACAACTGCGTCGGGGCAGCGGCTTCGGAGATCCGGTCGGTGTACGACTTGACACCCCTGCAAGTGGAATGACGGAATTCGACGAGGAAGACGATGATGGTCTCGGTGACACAGCCAGTCTCGCACCTGACGACAGTGCCAGTCAGATCAGCACCCGACGCCATCGACATCGACACCAGCGCAGGACACCTGGTCCCGAAGCTGTTCCAGAAGAAGACGAAAGCGTTTTCGAGGAGCAAGCCGAGCGGTCGCGTAAAGAGCGCGTCGAAAAGAGCGGCAGAAGATCAAGAGGAGTGGCCAGTATGTTCCAAGGCACTTCTACGATGAAATGATGTGAATGAATACGTACATGCATGTGCGAGTATCGACAGCGTTCAGCGACAGAGTTGAGGTTTTTGGACTTGGGCCTTTTTGCATAGCGGGAGGAGTTCTGATGATTGGAGCGAGCCTGGAGAGCTCGCATGAGTATGGTTATGATGGATGTACGATCCAGTCGTGCAAGATGACGAGACGGCTGCAGAAAAGATATATTTGATGGTGCGAAGCGGCACGCAATCGAGAGGCGGGAAGGTTCCTGCTTTGAAATTTTTTTTTTGAATAGATGCTTTTCGAGCTAATATCTTGGCCGATGCCGAATAGGGTGCATCGGTTTCTTCCTTTCATATAAGTTTACCTTGCAGCAGTCTGGTGGTGAAGTAGAGGAGGATGATAGTGATTCGTGAAGCTGAAGTCCTTCAGTTCATCCCTGCTCGAACTCAAATTTAGGGTCCGTGCGGCTTTTCAGCGAACGGTAGGGTAAACCGACGCACACATGTCGAGCACACAATCTGAGCTGCAGAGCCTGAACAGAAAAGGATTTTGTGGTGGTTTCAGGTACCATAAATGCAATGCTCGCTCTACGCTATTTATGCAACAGTCATGAAACCCCGACAGCTCTGTATCTCAACCATCGCAGAGCTGAGAGCACTTCATCCGTCCTCTCGCGACAATGCCTCTACTTCTTTTTTCCAAAGCCCAGAAACTTCTTCATCTTCTCCTCCACACTGACCTTCGCTCCGCCATCCGACTTCTTCTCAGGCTGCTTCATCGCCTCCCTATGGCTCTGTTCACCAGCAGCTTGCTGAGACTGCAGCTGTACTTTGTAGTCTTTCGCGACACTGGCATACTCTTTCCTCAGGCTGGGGCCTTGTCTAGCCTTGGAACTAGCCTCCGCGCCCCACACGAGAGTCACGAGGACGCTGCCGCGGAAACCAAAGTCCTTGACAAGTTTCTGATCGGTATTCTTTGGAAGCGTCTGAAAGCCTTTGTGTCCAGTGAATTTCAATTCGAAAGGCTCCGGGGCTTGCGCCAAGGTGTCTTGGACCGTGGCATAAAGATTGGAAGCGGTTTCGTTTGAGTCAACCGTTAGTTCTATTGAGCTTCCGTCTGGGTACTTGACCCGTATCCGCACGTTCTTCACTGCTGCGAGCTTTTCTTGTCGCGCTGCTTCTTGCTCTTCTAGCTCCTTATCTGACAGTAGCCGCTGATTACGGCCCGCTCGATTGAGCGATGCTTGATGTGCTCGGGCGTGGTCTACTGTGGGCTCGTATGTGGTCGGATCATCTTCTTGAAGTGCTGCAGCAGGTGTTGAAGACGATGGAGGTCTGTACACCGAGATACCATTCACAACGTTTGATATGACCGGATCCGGTGTGGCGTTCTCGTCGTTCGTAGCTGCGTTCGAGGGCGGCTCTTCCGTTGGGGCTGCAGAGTCGGTGATTGTTCCTGGAGCTGTTTCTGAGGAGCTTGCTATTACCTCGTTCTCGGCAGGTTGTGCAGTTGTTGCTTCTGGCATTGTCGTGTCCTCTGCTGGCTTGGGTTCGGCAGCGCCTTCATCTGGTATTGCAGCGTTTTCTGCTCCAGCATCAGTTACACTCGATTGAGCGTACACAGACTCTGAGTGTGCACCTTCAGCTCCAGCTTCGTCAAGCATCTCCGACACTGAGCGCCCGGCTTGCGGCTGAGCTGCAGCGCCGCCTGCTGGCACGGAGTCAAGAGAGCTGAAATATTGCCCAATCTCGCTCATCGCCTCTTCCAGTGGTCGTCCGCTGCTCTTGTAAGATAGCTTCAACAGCACGCTGCCGCCATTGATTCCAAGCTGCCCTAGGCTTTTTTGCAAGTCCGTGAAGTTATCGAGGGTCCTGCTCATGATTTGCAGTACCGGCTGATGGTATAGCAAGCGCCCCGAGGAGCCACCAGATTGAGAAGCAATGCCTCGCTGTGTTAGATTAAGCTTTCTCTGCTCCTGTCCACCAGCTACACCATCCTCAAACTTCCGTAGCACCTGCCATAGACTCGTGTTGCTGGGAAATTTATCCTGTATTCTCGCACTTCCATCGCTTTCAGGCAGTTGCAAGGCCACGGATACGACACTAGGGCTTCGGCTCGCCTGCGTCAACTGGAGTTTCGCGCCTGGAGTGAGGCCCGACAGCCGCCATTGCTGCGATAGATCGAGCATCTTGTTGTTCTGCGTCTTGAGAGTGTACGAGTTTGGGTCCAGTTTCCTCGCTTTGCATGCTTCTTCTAGGATTTCGCGCAGGTATTTGGCAGGCGTGACCTTGACAGTTGTGCGCTTGAGCGAGGAATCGACGACGAATACAGTCGACATTGTTGTGGTGCTTATTAATCGGCTTCTCTCCGCCTTCGATCGCGGTCTTCGGCTCTGATTTGTCTTCGCAGCTCTTCAGCGGTGGCGATGATGTAGGAGAAGAGTTTCCTTCCGGAACGCCAAACGACAGGCGCGGTGAACAGGTAGGAAAGCGCAAGCACGACGAAGCGTTCAGTTTTGGTCAGGCGAAGTCCGGACAAACGATCATGCGACATCGAGCAAACTCCGCCAGATTCGAGCGTCAACGGGCCCGATTGGAAACGTGGAGGGCGAGAAGGGATCGAAGTTTCTCGAGTTGATGAACACTGCTGCACTCTTGACGCGCATACTGCCACTGCCTGCTTGTGACAAACTGAAGCTCGGCCCCCCCGAAAAGTCGCCCCTCCACCCCACCACGGACCTTCCACGCGTTTCTCATCAACAAACATCACCTCCTCCTCCACCAACACCACCACGCTCCTTTCACCATTCCCGACACCCGCCCAACATGTCGAAAACAGTCACAGTAACCTCAGCCCAACACTTCTCCCAAATCCTCACCTCCTCGCGCGTCGTGGTCACAGACTTCTACGCAGACTGGTGCGGACCATGCAAAGCAATCGCTCCCGTCTATGAGGCTTTAAGCCAACAACTCTCCCGCCCAGGAGCCATCACATTCACAAAAGTCAATACCGACCAGCAACGCGAAATCGTCCAAACATACAACATCTCTGCCATGCCTACCTTCATAATCTTCAAAGCTGGACGCGAGACGAAGAGGATCAAGGGCGCTGATCCCAAGGGACTGGATGCTGCGGTTAAGCAACTGGCACAGGAGGCTAGTAGTGCGGATGCAGGAGGAGATGCTGGGGAGGGTAGCTCAGGAGGTGCAGGAGGCTGGACTGGAGCTGCTGCGCCGAGAGGATATGGGGAGGTGACGGAACAGGTTGAGATTAATGGATTGGATTTTTTGAATCTTGATGGCGAGGCTGGGGATAAGAGGACGATCTTTGACCCCTCAAAGCCCAGCGCACTGGATGCCAAGGGAAAGAGCTCGGAGGGCAAGAAGGACTACATCGAGAGCGACACGGATGAGCAGCTCATGCTCTACATCCCTTTCCAGTCTACGCTCAAGCTCCACTCCCTACACATCACGTCGATACCAGGCGGAGAGAGCATGAGACCTCGCACGATACATCTTTACACCAATCGGAGTCATGTTCTGGGATTCGATGAGGCGGAGGATACGCCTGCTACGCAAACGATTGAGCTGGAGGAGAGTAGCTGGGATAGCAAGACGCATACGGCAAAGCTGGAGTTGAGATTCGTCAAGTTCCAGAATATTTCGAGTGTTACTGTCTTTGTGGCAGATGGTGAGCGTGATGCGGAGAAGACGAGAATTGATCGGATACGGCTGTTTGGCGAGACGGGAGAGAAGAGGGCAATGGGGAAGCTGGAGAAGATTGGGGACGAGCAGGGAGAGTAGAAGAAGCATGGGGCTGAAGCATATGGCATCGAAAGCGGCGATCATGAGCACCATGGAAAATCACGGATAGAGGTAGTTGAGCTACTTACTCACCAATGAATGATATGCATGAAGTCACTTTATCGTGGCTGATACGAAACGACATCCTGCTAGTCATTCCTACTCGCCTCAATCATGTCGCAAGAAGACGATGAATGTGATCGAGAGCTGATTTCGAGGAGCGAAAACGTGAATCTCTACTAGAGCCATGACTTCTATGTTCTCAATTTCAATTTCCCTTCAATCCAAGATTGTAGCCTAACTACTTCTCCATCTACATAGAGAGCATGAAAATTAGGCGGCATACGGGCGATTGATTTGTGAAAGCATGCTTGAAATAATTGTGTGTTGTGGCGTGAAGTCGGTGCTGCCGGAGAACCAACGCGCCAAGATCTAGAGACCTTGGTCCTTTGACTTTGCTCTTTCTCACAGCTCCTGTTCTCAAGCCAAAATTCTGCAAAAAGGAGGGAGTGTCATGTCCTGCACGTAGGTCGACTCATAGGTGCAGGCGTCCATCTCGATAATTGTGCCGATACAAAGCGAACGCGACTCGCTTCCAACATGCGCGAAGAGGAATGAGGACCAGTTGCCTAAGCCATATTTCTGGAGCAAACATGAGCTGATGCTACCCTTGAGGCCATTCGCCGTCAGAAAGATCTGAAAGACATGTTGGACGTAAGCAAGCGGACCAAACTCCTTAAGAGATGTCAAGGCGAGTTGGCTCTCCTGGTTATTGGAAAGGAACCAAAAGATAATCGCCTCCAAGCGAGGGCTAGAAGTCGGACCAACCGCGGTCACCGACAGGATAGCGTGGTGGACAGGCCACGGCAGATATTCCCGGTGCAGGTACGACTCAAGATGGAATTTCCCCTATACTGATCCAATGAGCTTGGGTATATATACGAGCAGCAGCGTTTCTGTGCTACTTGAATCTTTTGTGCACGATTCAGCGGCTTTAAAAGCACCATTCTGGCTGCTCTCAAGGCAGAATCTCGTTCACGTCAGGGTCACAAGTGGGAGGACATCATAGAGGACCTCTATCAACAAGGAGAACTGGACTATCCTCGCAGATTGCCGCCCGCAAAGAGAATGAGTACAAATCCCTGCAGGGTCACGATCACATCATCAAGGTCAAGGCCAGTGGGTTGAGCTGAGACCGTCAGGACTCGCTCCTGGGGCGCGTTGACATCTGTGTCACTGCCGAGTCTATCGAGAGCATCGCACTGCACTGAGCAGTATTGCTTCTTGTGAGACTTGTACTGTTGATTCGATCAGGGTGACAGCCTGCCAACACCACAACGCGACGTGAAATCTTGCCGTTGCGCGATTGCGGCCACCACAGCCTCACATAGCGTGACAGCACATTCTTGATGAGCAATCGAAATGCTCAGTGTGGCAGCCGTCACGCTAAATGAACTGAGGTTAGCATCCCAAGTTTGGAGACGAATACGAGCCGTTTCGCAGACTACAAAGCAGGCCTCAGTAAGAGCTAACTGACTGGGCTTCAGGTCCATCTCTCCGAGTTTGCTCACTATTCTGGCTGGGGACAGCGACAGGCACATTTGATGGGTACACTCGAAAGAAGGCCTTTGCGTGACTGAGGTCTTGTCTTGGAAAATCGGACCTGAGCATTCATAGCCAGCTGAGTCTGACAGACTGTGCTTTCGGTGTGACCTTCACGTTTTGAGACCTTTCTGACTACAACTAAACTGCAACTGTACCACTTCATCTCACTTTCCCGCCCGAGCGTTTAACCCAACGGTCTTGCATGAAAGCTGAAGCTTCACGCCGACGCCAAGACCCACAAGCTCAGCGGCAGACATTCCCCGACTTGGTTTGCTCTTTCCTTCCGTCACTTTGCTTCGTCCAAGCATCACACCACAACATTGGAGTTGCAGCCATGGATGGCTTCAAGAGCGCTGCACAAGCGTACGCCTATTCTGCGACATCACAAACGCGTTTGCTGACATGGCTGCAGTTACTTCAACGATGAGAAATTCTCAGACCTCACCGTCGTTTGCGCCGCCACGGGAAAGACCTTCAAGTAAGCACCAACTCAAGCAGATTGCATGCATTTCCCGCTGACGCCTCTGGCTGGTTCAGATCTCACGATCTCACCGTTTCCTCCTATGTGTCCACTCGAAATGGTTCGAACGCTGCTGTGCTGGGGCTTTCGCGGAGAGTGGTACCAGAAAGATCGTGTTGAAGGGCGATGTGCCCGCTGCAGTCGACAGAATGTGAGTCAATCACGTTTCCTAGTGAAGGCTGCCCAGCATTTTTTGCAAAATCGGACGCTGACTTGGATGCGGCAGGATTGAGTTCTTCTACAAGTTCGACTACAGCAGCGACATCCCAATCGCCGAGGAACTCGCACAGGGAGTCAAAGTTGACCCGGAAGAAGAGTTCGCGACGCAAAAGATCGAGTGCAAGCTTGAGTTACATGCCTGGATGTACTCCATTGCTGATAAGGTATGCTCAGGCATCTCTTGCTGCTATCTAATGCTGACACCAAGCCCAGTACGAGATCTCGGACCTTAGGAACCTGTCTCTCGCGAAGTTTAAGGAGGAGCTGCGAAATCCGAAGATGACGCGCACCGACGTTGAGCTTGTGGTCAGTCTCATATACTCTGTTCTGCCACTGCCGGAGGGCGACACATCCTTACGCGAAGCAGTCGTCCATCAGGGGATCTGCATTGTGATAAAATCACGGGAGAAGCTTGATGCGAACGAGCTTCTCGCAATCTCTCGCAGCCATCCGGTCTTTGGAGTCAGTGTCCTGCGTCGCTTCATAAACTCATTCACAGCTGTCTCCTTCAAGTGCACACATTGCCAGAAGGTCTATGAAGCATCTCGCGTCCGGGATCAGTCTCGTTGTCCAAATTGCTATAGCCAGCGGGATTACACGTCCATCAGGCTAACTGGCACTATCGATATGGACAACGTCTAAGCAAGTGGACATTAATGAAAGCGCTTGGACAAACGGAGGAGATTCCTTGCCTTCTGAAACTTTGCTGGTGCAAACATGCTCTATGAAATACAGCAGGACTGCAACGATGGAGCGGAGTGCGGCGCTATCAACCAAAAGAGAACATCAGTATCAGTAAGGTCTGCACATGAACGCATACTATTTTCCAACCAATTTTACTTTCCTTCTTTTCCCTCCCATCTCTTTGATTCCCACGCCTACGAAACCTCCTAGGATGATCACAACCCATTCACCACCTCCCAATTCTTCGGACACCTCAACCCCAACCTCTCATTCTCCCCCTCCGTCTTCCTCGCAAGCTCATTAACCCTCGACAAATCAAACCCAGCAATCATCTTATAATTCTTCCCAATGTCCTCAAGCTCCTCGTTACTTATCACATCATTGATATGCCCAAACCCTATTCGAGCGTAAGCGAGCAAGACAAGGCTGAGCGAGCGTCCTCCTTAGTCGGACTTACCTTCCGGCGCCCTCTCATACACAACCTGCATAACATGATCCGGCCCATTGCCACGATTCGCATACACGATTTTCGCAGTCGCTGGTAAACGCTCGTTTTGATAAGCTTTCAAAGCTTCACGAATCGAAAAGACTGGATTCAAAAGGTGCTGAACAAGAGATGCGGAATCGAGAATTGCTTGGGATGCGCCGTTGGAGCCGATGGGATACCTAGTGAGCGTTAGCGAAGCAGGAAAAACACGAGGCTCACAAACTCGCTACTTTACTCACATGGGGTGTGCCGCGTCTCCTAATAATGTCAGGTGCCCAAACGTCCATCGATCGACCGGTGTACGATCACACATGGGAAACTCGAAAACTTTCTCCGTCTTCTCGATCAAATCCGGAACGTCCAAGAATTTAAAACTCCAATTTTTGAATTCGTGGGAGAAACGTTCTTTGGGTACGGACTTTAACCAGTCGGTTTTTTCCGGTGGTGTGGGATCTTTGAGACAGTCTTCTTCGGAACGCGTGCGGAGTTCGGCGATCCAGTTTATTAGAGTCTTCCCAGTAGGCGCATCTCCCTGCTCGGTATTGCTGGTAGGTGTAGGGTATTTTAGGATTGGGTATGCGATGAATTTCTGGTTCGCGTAACCAGACCAGATCATACTCGCACCTGTGAGGAAGGGTTGATCGGATTCCAAACATCCTCTCCAAAGAATCCTCCCGGAAAAATGCGGTGGTCCTTCATTCGGATATAAGATCCTTCTCACAGTAGAATTGATCCCATCTGCTGCGACGACAAGATCCGCAGTTACGGAGGCGTGAAGAGCAGGGGATGAAGTCTTGCGCTGGACGAATTCAAGTCGAACTCCATCACCCTCATTCGAGAACGTAGACAAGCAATGATTGAGATGACTTTCTCTTCCCCCAACCTTTCCTTCACAGCATCAAACAACAACATCTGCAACTTCCCCCTATGAATCGAAAACTGCGGAACCTCATATCCCGCATACCTCCCCCTCTTCTCCCGTAAAATCTCATTCCCAAACCTATCATAAAAATTCAATTCTTGCGTCTCGATTCCAGTGTTCTGTAGAGCTGGTAGTAATCCTAAATTTCGTAGAATCAACACGGCTGAGGGTTGGACGTTGATTCCGACTCCTAAACAGGTGATTTGCGAAGCTGCTTCGTACAATGAGATGTTTTTGAAGCCTTGGGCGTGGAGTTGTAGCGCTGTCACGAGACCTCCGACTCCGGCTCCGATGATGGCGATTTTGGAATCAGGCTGTGGGGAGCTGGTGTGGTGATGGCCATTGGTGCTGCTGGTGCCGTTGGGAGGAGTCGCCATGATTGGTTGGCCTGATCGGCTTCGATAAGGCTGCTGGTGTTCAGTCAATTGAGGATATATGCTTATCCAGCTGAAGTTTATGAGATCGAGATTGAAGCGGAGTCGGAATGTGTCTGGTATGGTGTTCTTGTCTACCTCCACTTGTGTTCGAAACTAAAATTTGTTAGCGTCTCGGTACTTGTGAACGGCAGACAGTCGGCATCTGGAATTGAGAATGAGGAATCCTCTTGCGTGTATATTGAGTTGTCTGTACATTAGGTCTCGTCTCTCGTGAATCTATACAAATAATACACACCCATGTCTTTGGTCGCAGTTCTTGTGCGATGCATGTAGGGAGCTGAAACTCCCGTTCCTCTTTTATTTTCCACACGCCCAAGATCCTTTGAACGCCGAGCTCCCACTGCAATGAAAATGAAGTGTAACGATCCAGCTTCCAAGGATATGGCGAGCTGTAGGTCGATCTCTACCGCTGAAGCAGTGGCGCTCAAGCCAGCTGCCCAGCAAGGCCGATGAAGAGTGCTTGAGCGGCGACTTGAGCTGCCCAAAGACCGACCTTCTTGATGCGCCTCGTCTGCTGCTTTCGATCTGTGATGTCTCGTACGAAAGCGTCGTACGTTTCTCTGCTGAGGTCGTCCAATAAGCCGGAATCGAAGATAGTCCAGGATCCATCAAACTCACTCTGTCGCTTTACAATTCGACAGGTGATGGGTATGAAATTGCTGCCTCTGTGCGAATGTGAATTGATGTATGCAACGATAGGTCGGACTGCAGCATTGTTGACGTAAGAGAGGTCTCTTGTGAAGATGGGCACACTCGCGCGCACATCATTGAGATGGATCTGGATGTCCATCACCACGAATCGGTCGTTGTCAGGGCTTTCTTGCTCGGTCTGAGCTTTTTGCTCCTCAGGAACGTCATCGCGGTTGTCGATGATCTGGCTGTTATGGTTTCCATTACCATTTTGCGCGTTGGTGACAGTAGCTTCCATACGGTCGTAGAAGTCACTCATGACCTTTGCAATGCTACCATCAGCATCGTTAGGTATCATGACATCTGTCACGATGTCGACGTTGCCGTCATGGATCCACGAAAAGGGACCTTCGACACCACGATTTAGGTGATCGATCTTGAGGCCGTCAATGCGGATCCTGCTGTGCTTCTTCCACTGCGAAGCTTCATCCTCGTTCCCATTGATAAGGCTAGCCCCAGTGATGCTGTGTACCTGCCTAGGGTGGATTGTGAAGAGCGATCCGTCAAAGCTGCCACTCATGTTGTTGGCGCTGAGGAAGTCGTAGAATAGCCATTGTTTGCGAAGTCGAGGAAGCTCGCAATTGAAGACACTGACTGTGAATGGTCGGAAGTCCTTTGGCTGATAAACTGTCAGGAGCACGTCTTCCATTTTGAAGTGCTCAATTTCGAAGTCGCCAATGCTATGCTCGTGGCGATAGCTTTTTGGGTCGATATTCTCATCGCCAGCTCGTGGTGTGACGTGCGTTCGATCGATTACACCACGAACCCCGCTGATTCCCACGTCACGTAGCAAGCCTTTGCCGTTGAACCACTTGGCGAAGGATAGGGATACTTCCACACTCTCGATGGTGACGTCGAATTGTGAGTAATTACCGTCGTCTTCCACTTCGGTGTCCTCGACGGTGGCGATACCTTGGCTTTCCTTCCCAGCCTGTATACTTGCAGCAGCGGCGGCTGCAGCCGTCGCCGAAGATCCTTGTGTGACGGCTCTCTGGCTCTTGTCATTGCCAGGGCGTCTGCTGACGAAAACCTTGTTGAAGCGAATGACACCATCACCCCATTTTGGAACAATGGCGCTCTCGAATACTACTTTCAAGCCGCTGCTGCGCGTGAGGTAGTTGCCGATCCAGCCTGCCAAAGTGTCTTGAGCGAAGACAGAGTTGAGGGCCAAGATGGTTAAGCTCACAAAGGTCGTTGTACCGATCACGAACCAGAGCACATGGCCCCAAAATATCCAGCTTAAAAATGCAAAAATCTCTTCGTGGTTGAACGGTCGCACGCTGCGGATAGAGAACCACTTGAAGCGAATCTGCAGTCGATGCCAAAACCCGTTCGCCGCGGCAAGTAGCTCTTCTTTTGTTGGTCGATGAAGGTGTGGGAGATGTGGAAGATGATCGTAGATGTATTTGCCAGCGCCTCCTACTCCCGTCGCCGCGGCCTTCGAATCGTGATCTTTTTCTGCCTCGCGCTTTCTCGCGCTCTCATCATGAAGTCTCTTCTCATGTGACTGTTTATGCTCGCTATTCCATCTCCTCTGCAGTATCAATCGCACAGCCAACCGATCGAAGTCTTGTGATGGCCTGAGCAGGTTCGTGCGCAAGCCAAGTTTTTCAACTCCTACCACCGCCTGTTGAGGCCAACGTACTGTCGTATTCGAGGTTGCAGCATGGTGTATGACACGATTCCTTACTGTCGATGGGAGTGCAGGCTGTGGTAATGATATCGCAGATCTCGGGACTCTTGCGGAGAACGAATTTCTTATTGCCAGCGTTAGACAGGCGAGATTGGCGTTGGAGAAGTTTAGACTGTGTCGCCCAACGTCCACTACATGGCGGCTCATATTCATATGCACATCGTGACCAGACTCGAGGTCGCTACGATGTCTGTACTGTTGAAGTAGGGAGAGCGGTGTTGATGGAGACGGAGACGGACAACGGGAAGAGTGAAATTCGTTGACCGGTCTCGACAGAAGCAAAGCAAGCTTTGAATGGCGCTAACCATGTGAAGAGTGTCTGAGGTCAACGCCAAGCCGGCTGCTCAACCGAGAATGCCGCTGCGTTGCTTTGAGAACGACAAATTTCGATGGCTTGGCATTCTCCCACTCCAAGCTTTGGGAGGCACAACCCGACCGTCGACTTCAGAGATCGACGTTCTCGACAACATCACCCAACGACGTCGCCCAACATGCCGAAGGAAGTCAAGCAGCGCTCCGGCATCGCCGTTGGTATCAATGCTGGCCATGTACGTTCCCACCGTCCCACCCATCGCCCGAGCGATACAGCGAAGGAACGAGAATTGAGAAATGGAACATTGGACTAACGTAACACCGCCATACAGAAAGTCACTCCCCGCCAGCCAAAGCCGCGTGTCTCGCGCATGAAGGGTCATCTTAGCAAGCGGACTGCCTTCGTTCGGGACATCGTCAAGGAGGTTGCTGGGTAAGATCGAGCCACGGTGGGAAGGAGGAATTCGAATACCAGACTAACACTTCATACCAGTCTCGCCCCATACGAGCGCCGTGTCATCGAACTCCTCCGTAACAGCAAGGACAAGCGCGCCCGCAAGCTCGCAAAGAAGCGACTCGGAACCTTCGGCCGTGCCAAGAGAAAGGTCGACGAGATGACCAAGGTCATCGCTGAGAGCAGGAGAGCAGGTCACTAAGCGTGCGATTCTGTATGAAGTGATGTATGGAAAGGGTGATCAGGTGCAAGAGGCATGCAACGGCGCAAATGAAAGGCTCGGGATTTGAGACATGCTATGCGATGCTTGCCAGCCATGGGTGCTGGGTGTGAGCCAAAATACCATAGCGAGGTAGATGGCGCCCGGTCAGTTGGCTCTCTTACTGCTGAATGAAAATTGCATTGAAAGCCCATTGATGGTCGTGCTCCGCTACCCCTGCCCTCTTTCTTGATTCTCGTGCAAACGACATTGCTTGGCAGACGTGGAGGCTGCACGATCCAGAGCTTCTTCCTGCATTCTCGAACCCAACATTCTGGACCGCTTTGGCGTCATTCGATTCTGGCATCGAGCTATGTTTTCCCCAAGAATCAATTCGGCTACCATGGAACCACCACAAGTTATGGAACTCGAGCCAGCGATGGCGGCGCAGGCAAGAAGGAAGTGAGTATCATCGTACCTTCTTCTGGTATGCCACGACTAACATCGGTAGGTTCTACGGTGACAAGCGTTTCTCAGACTTCACGGTCATCTGTCATGGGACAGAATACCACGTCCACCGAGTCCTAGTCGCTACTCAGAGCAAGTGGTTTGAAGCTTGCTGCACCGCGTATGTTTCTTCAAGACGACCGCGCAAAAAGGTGCTGAGACTTCTCAGGCCATTCAAAGAAGCGGCCGAGAAGAGTGTTACACTACACGAGGACGACCCAGTCGCAGTCGAGAAAATGTTCCAGTTCTTCTACCAGGGCTATTACATCACCACTTTCATCTGTACGCCACACGGGATCAAGGAGAAAGGATCCAGCATGGACGTTCAGCTTCATGCGTATGTCTACGCGGTGGCAGAAAGTATGACTGTCCAGGGCTGAAGCAATACGCCTTGAACAGATTCAAGGGGGAGGTCGAGTACGGAGATGACCTCTCCTTTATTAAAGGAGCCGTCTTCGCCGTGTACCAGCAGGTGGAGCTCCCGGAAAGCGACCGAACTCTGAAGACCGTGGTGCTCGAAGCTTGGGTGTCGCGTCGCAAGATCGTCTACGTCGAAAGCGAATTGAGACAGCTTCTGAAGGATGTTCCAGAGTTTGCAGAGGATCTGGCTATGGAACATCTCAGACCACCCAGTCTAACCCCAGCCAGAGCTTAGCTTGCAAGATCTCGACGAACTGATGTCGGGCAGGGGTGCTGGCCTGTTACGTTGAAAAGAGCTCAGGGATATCTGGGACGTGAATGAGGGAATTGTTGGGATAACTATGCGCGTCACATGCATCGAAGGGAAGGAACGCGGGACATCGACTACTGCCAAACTGAACTACTACAGAATAAAGTCAATGTATGAATTGTAAGTGATGATGAACACCTCAATCTCAGCTTGGACCTTCGAGTAGAATCTTTCCGAGAACTGACAGCATCGCGGCTGCCTTGCATGTGAAAGCGGCAAGAATTCTTGGCAACGTTCCGAACCGCTTAGTTCTTTCCTGAGCAAACGTCAAATCAGTCTCAACCCACTTCGTGTTCGACCTGACCACTGTCACGCCCAACGAACGATGGAAAACCTCCAAGCGGCTGCCGCGTAAGTATGTCCATCACACATTAGAAATCATCCCTCACATTCATCGACAGCGCTTCTTATGGCGACGACAAGTTCTCCGACTTCATCATCGTTTGTGATGGCAAGGAATACAAGGTCCATCGGTAAGTGTGCAACCCAATTCATCGCAATATCATCACACTGAGCGCTGACGATGATCAAGTTTCATCATCTGCGCGCACTCTGAGTACTTCAAACGCGTCTGCACAAGCGCATTCATGGAAGCAAGTCAGCAGAAGATCGAGCTCAAGGAAGACCTACCGCAAGCCATCAAGTGCATGATTGAGTACTTCTACAAGTTGGACTACGACGACTTCGAGGGCGTTCCAGAGTCTCGGAACGAGGCAGACAATTCCGACCTCCCGTGGATCAAAGAACCTCAATTCGCTATGCAGCTGAACGCATACATCTACGCCGTGGCTGAGAAATATGAGGTGATTGGTCTTAAGGCATTGGCGCTCGATAAGCTAAAGCAGCAAGCTGCCCGTGTCGACCTGTCGACTTTTCGTCGCCTAGCCTGGACAGCGCGAACCGTATACCTGGACATCTTACTGCCCGAACATGATAGGAGCTGTCACTCCTTACTGGTCGACGTCTACTTGTTGCACGCGGGCGGAGTAGTCGCTCAAAGCAATTTTGATATAGGCGTATACCTGGAGCTGATATCCAGGAGAGTGCCAGAGTTCGCGTTGAACGTGGCCACGAAGCTCATGAGCGGTTTTAAACGTAATCGCATGTGGACACAGTGTCCTCGCTGTATGAAGAGACAAGAGACTGTTCAATCGCCGACAGACAACCAAGATTGCAGCGCCTGCCAACCCAGGTCTGTGCCCGATGAAGGAGAAGCCATTTTGCTCAGTAACATTGCGATCAAGAGATTCTGGTGAGATCTGCTGATGAAGCGCGACTTTGAGAAGCGCAAGTGAGGGCCTTCTTGAGATTGGTGAAAGCTTTTTGACTGGCAAGGCAATCATCTGCTGTCGTGAGCTTCCAAGCATCCTTCGTATCCATGGAGGGCGATATCACGGGCGAACCCGAGGAGCTTTGATGAATGAGGCAGATGTCAAGGGTTGGAAATTGTGTCGGCCACCTTTTTTTGTTGGTTTGGTGTTGGATTATGCGAGAAGGGTGGCGACCAGGAGATTGGCATAGATGTGCGTGGCGAGCGTACAGGAAAGACCAGCAACGACGCAATGTGAGTCTGCCTATCATGAGATACGCAACCGAAACTTTGAACAACGTGATCAGATACACGTACTTTATGTACAAGCTTCACGCAAACAAGTGTAGTAACCTCTCCTTTACCTCAGCGCCTCTCCAGTCCTGTCATCCTTCATCTACGAAAAAGCCATCGCCTTCTTAATCTCCGCAATTGCAAGCGCCGGGTTCAACCCCTTCGGACACGTTCGACTGCAGTTAAGGATCGTATGGCACCTATACAAACTCATGCTGTTGTTCAGCGCATCCTTCCTCTGCTCCGTCTTCTCATCACGGCTATCCGCGATCCATCGGTACGACTGCATCAACACAGCTGGACCGAGGTATTCTTCGGAATTCCACCAGTACGAAGGGCACGAGGTGCTGCAGCAAGCACACAAAATGCATTCGTAGAGACCATCGAGTTTGCGGCGTTCGGCTTTGGATTGGCGGTTTTCTTTGCCCTGGAATTGAAGCACATTGTTAGCAGGGAGGGGAGAATATGTGGGGAGGTAGGTGACTTACATCAGGCGGCGGCGTATCCCTCTGCAAGTACGGCTTAATAGACCTGTACTGCTTATAAAACTGCGTCATATCCGGAACGAGGTCCTTGACCACATAAGTATGTGGCAAAGGATATATCCTCGATTCCTTCTTCGTCTCTGTTGGGATTCTGCAGAGACAAGCCAGAGTATTGACGCCATCGATATTCATCGCGCAGCTCCCGCAAATGCCTTCTCGGCAGCTTCGCCTGAAGGTGAGCGTGGGGTCGACTTCGTTCTTTATGCGGATCAGGGCGTCGAGCATCATTGGACCGGTCTTGTTCAGGTCGAGAGTGTACGTCTGCATTCTCGGCTTGCTCGAGGGCTCGTCCGGGTTCCATCGGTAGATGTGGAAGGTCTTGATTTTTGCGTTGGGGTCTTTGGCGCTTTCGCCAGTGGTCGAGGATTTGCTCGCGGGCTCTGGTGGGCGCGATGCCGAGGTGGCTTCTGCTGCGGCGGAGATGGGTTCTTTGGTGTGTTCGATTGTTGTGGCCATGCTTCGGCGGAAGAGCATGGGCTGGGTGGCCGCTATGCGGCGGGTTGCGAGTCTCAATGCCATGGTGTGGTGTTGGGGGAGTGGAGAGGAGAATTGTGGTGACGGAGACGTGGTGAAGCAGAAGTGCAGAGGCAAAGGCGAAGTGGTAATCGACCAATCGAGCCGACTGTGATTGGTTCGCCAAATTGAGGCTAGAAGTTTGCCGACGGCTACAATGCAAGCAGCACTCGTTTCCTGCTCTTCTGCAGAGCGAGTCCAGACCAATGCTGAGCTGAATAATGCCTGCTGCACACACACACACCTCCTGGTCTTCCACATGGTTCATCAGCATTTCCATCGGCTATAATGCGTAGGCGCGATCTCGGCATCCCCCGGGAATAAACATACATCACTCGGGAATAATCGCAGGAGTCTGCATCATCACTCTCCCGAGGCTCCGACGTCCCAGAAACATTGACGCAGCATGTGAAGCAGACGCCGCTAGAGTGTTGCGAGTCATTGAGGGTCCAAGATCTGGAGAAGCCTATGAGGTATTCGACTTTGCAGAGCACATCGAGGAGTGCATTCACATCGAGGAGTGCATTCTGGCGCCCTTTCCAAGCCGTTCAGGTGCTTCCTTCACCTCGGCACTGCAAAGCGTACGCCATGGCTCAGAGCAAGCTGAGACGGCCCACGAGATTGGTCCTGGACTACGACGGGACTCTTACTGTCAAGGACACGATGGCTGTGCTCGGCGATCTGCCAAAGCAGCCGAAAATGTCATGGCAGGAGATTGTGGATGCTTACATGAAAGACTATGCTGCCTACAAGAACACTCCGTACCCGTGGAAGAATTATGACCGAGAGGAGTACAGCGGCTGGCTTGCTGCTCGAAAGTGGGTTGAGCAGCGCAGTGCACGGCGTGTGCAAGACGCAGCCTTTTTCCGCGGAGTGACCACAGACGACGTCGGGAAGGCTGTCACCAGATGCCTCGACAACGGCGAGCTGGAACTTCGCCGTGACTGGCAAGAACTGTTCGAGCTCTTCTTGCCTTCTTACAATGCTCGTGATGGCACCTTCCTGAACAGCTCCATCGAGATTCTGAGCGTGAATTGGAGCGAGACCGCGATCCGACAGGCGCTGTGGCAAGCGGCACGGAGAAGCGGCGAAGCCCGTAATGAGCAGCTCTGCCACTACATGAACGATATCAAGATCTTCGCCAATGAGATCGAAGGCCTTGCATCTCCATATGGCAGCTCAGGCCGAGTCGTAAGACCTCTCGATGCCGACATTCGTACGAGTGGAGACAAGCTGCGATACTTGGAGGTATCGACTCCGCCAGCTGGCTCCAACCCCTTCACAGTCTACGTCGGCGATTCTTCGACGGACTTTGACGCTCTGTGTGCAGCTGATCTGGGCATCTGGCTCTGCGATGTTGCAGAAGCAGATTATGAGAAGGCAAGTATGAAAACCTTCAAGCCTTTGAATTTCATGCCTCCTCCACTGCATTCCGTGTCAGCAACGGAAGCCTTCCCTGCTCTCTTCTATTGGGCTCCAGATCTTCGAAGCATTGTCGACGTGCTCTCGAGCGCCTAAGCGAATTTCAGAACACATCCAGCGAGAGCGATCATGCTTGGTAGGCCAAGCGACCCTGTTCCCAGCATGATCAGGATGTCAAGCCGACGAACACAACAAGCACTGCCGCGTACGCTGCTGTTGCACCCAGAGTCTGATCGTTGGTCGCTCGCATGGTGATCGAACACATCACCGCGAAGAGTATGACAGCCACCGTGGTCGCCACCAGATTCGTCGTCTGACTGTTGTGCAGTACCATAATGTACATCGGCACGAGAATGAACAAAGCTCCAGACATTGCCACGAGGAATCTCGCCAGACGATCGGCACTTGCAGATAGCTTCTGTGGCTTGTACTTAATGTTTGGGTCTTGGTAGAATTCAGCCCTGGCCTTTTTCTCCTCGTTCGTCCAGGATATCTTGGATGGGAGGAAAGTGCGCAAGAATTCCCTGACCTGGTCCAATTCCACACCTTGCTCTGGTGGCAGGCAACGGTAATTCTCAGATGCGAAGGCGTAAACGTCTGCAAATCTACTTTTCGCGGTCTCGGAGAAGTAGCTTACACTTCTTTCATGTCTCTGATCTTTCTGCTTCGGAGGCAGGAAATCAAGAGATCTGATGAGCTGAAGGTCTCTGACGGCCTCAGCTGAGCCTGTCAGTCTGTGCCAGTCAAGAGTATGGGCTTTTTGCTTACCTTGTTCATGCAGCAGCTTTCCCAACTCATACATATCTTCGTCCGTGGCCTTACAATGCTCGAGGAATTTCTTTCGCTGTTGTGCTAACCGCTTGTTTAGGTGAAGAAGATAAGCGGAGCGAAGTCTGTTCATCTCCATAAACCACGGCTCTGCTGGGCGAGGCTTTTCATCGTAAAGCTCCTGTGCGAAGAGGTAAAGGTTGACGTCCTCATTGTCGTTGTCCATTTCCTTCGTACCAGGCATCATATCCGCTGAGGTTATCTTGGAGTGGTCACAAGCCTTCGCTTCGGGATATTTACTGGAAGGCACGCTCCGCCTCTTTGGGTAACAGTATGCTCAATCGAGGATCATATCGGCTGCAGAGGTTCTAGTTACACACGACAGACTGGCGGCGTGCTCTGACGATCCCGATTCGCCGCCACAATCTGCCGTGGGATGACAGCCAAGCAGCTGAATCTCACGTGCAACCATCAGCCGCGGGGATTTTCACTAAATCTTCGGTCGACGTTTGATGTCTTCAGCATGATCAGAAATATTGGCGAAAATTGACGGATGAATGATCATACTGGCTCTGGACATCAATTGTGTCATCCCCTTGCTATATCCAAGCGTACGCATGCCGTGGAGCAACCTCAGGCATGGACTTCCAACAAGATAACTGACTCTGCAAGAGTCATCTTGGGCAATAGATACCACGCTGATTTGTTCAACGATGATCTGTCTACCACCATAACTTACCTGGCCCCATTGCTTGTAGCATACAAAACATGCAAGACGATACTCGAAAAGATAGCGAACGACAAAATATCAGTCCTTGCAGGCACTAGGAAACCGAAGATAATAAACCTCATGACACTAGTCGAAGCGAAGAGGTATCTCTTGGGGGACTATCAGACGGCTTTAGCCACAAGTCAGCGCAAGTGCAAAGAGAGACAGAGTAAGCACGAGTTTTGAAAAGGGCTCATGAAAGCTGGGATTGACCACGAGACAGTCGAAGTCAGCGATACTGAAACGGTTAGGCAGATGCGGATCCAAGACAGTCGTCTGCGAAATCTTTGTACCACTGTGTTGAATGAAATACAAGAAGACCCCGTGAAGCTCGAGCAGGAATACAGCAGCAGCACGACATACGAAGCACACATTAAATTCGTTCTCGAAGACGTCTATGTGAAGTCCAAGCCAGTCTTACTGGAGCAGATGCAGTTGATGGAAAAGGCCATAGCTGAAAAGGAAAACCAGCCCCAGAGTGCCGGCGAGAAGATGAAGGCTTGGTTCAAGCCCTCGCAAAAAGCGGGCTGAGGTCTTCACAGACCTGTATGAGCTTCAGCGAGTATTGGCCTCAGAGTGTTGCAACTCCTGGCTTGCTTTGCGAAGACTTCCGGACCCAGATCCAAGACAGCGAGAGCAAGATCTGGCATTGCTTGAATACCTTACAACCCAGAGAAAGAAAAAATCACGGTCGCTAAAAAGGTATCTGTTCTACGTTTAAGGCTTTATCCGTATACCTTATGCGATTCTCGGTATTGCCTAGTGCATCGGCATCGGCATCACAGAGTCTCAGTTTCGACTACTCTTCCACTCACAGGTCTCAGCCAACGGGGTGACATGACGACTTCTTAGACAACCATGACCGACCTGCCAAATGACGTTCCTCCCTCGTATTCCTTTCGCAATTCCATCAACCGATCGAACTCAAAACAGGGTGGATGTAACTTGAAAGCTCTGGCTGTCTCATTGCAGACTTGCTCGCCTTCGGATTGCCTGCGTTCCGTAGCGAGACAGGGATTAGAACAAGGTATCGTACAGGCATGAGCATTGCCGACATCCTCATCAGCTTACTATTCACTCCAAATCGAACGAAGAACAAATCACAAGACATACATACATACCGAATCAATCAACCATGCGTCTCCTGGCTCTTCTCTTCCTTTCGACTTTCGCAATTGCTAGCCCAACGCTGGAAATGTTCGATGGTCCATTGCTAGAAAAGGTTCGTTTCCCTGACCTTACCTTATTATTAGCGAGAGGGGTCGGGCTGTACTGATTTGCAGCATGGCGAGGTTGCCCGGGCGGTTTCGCTATCGCGTGTTGTGCCTGCAATGGTGGTACAGGTGCTGGGACATGTCCTAGTGGCACTATGTATGCCGGATGCTCTTGTGATGCGTGTGCTCCGTACTGTGGGCCATGTGGTGGCGGAAGATTATTTTGAAAATGTGAAGTCCTGCGGTGAAGAAACCGGGGAGAGAGAGGTATTGGATATTTTTGCTTGCTAGAGCTGCTGCGCGAACGGAGCATTCGGCTATTACTTACGGGGTTAACCCATAGGTAGTTATATAAAGCCTTTGCTAGTCACTGCTTATGCGAATACGTAGAGTAGAACTAGATAGCTCGGTATCTTTCTCTACTGTTTAGCGATAAGTAATCTCTTATAAATGTATATATACGCCTTAATCCCGCTTTAGTTCCTTATTATCCTAGGGAAGAAAAACTACGGTTATAAATCTATCTATTCCTACCTTACGTCTAATACCCTCTTAATCCGTATACGCGATTCTCGGTAGTTTAGAGTCTTAACTACCTATTCTTATACTTAGGTTCGATCGGTAATACTCGGGTAGTATCTATCTATACGATAACTAATACCTATTCCCTAGCTCGTTACCGAATGTAGGCAATCCGAAGTCTAAGTAGCGTTATTAGGTTACGATATATTTATCTTCTAGGTTTATAAATACGGTACTTACTATATATACTTATACGAGATATAGATTAGTTAGTAGGTAGGGCTAGTTATTATACGTATCGTACATAGAGTAGCACAATACATATAGAGCGTAATGTTTACGGTATGTTAGTTACGTCCTCACAGGGGTTGTGCCACTGTGTCTAATATCACTAACCCCAAGACCCAGACAGTCTGACAGCGTCTAGTTCCAAGTACATGTAAACCACGCCGCACGCGGGATTAAACATACCCGGGTTTGAGTTCTGTCGGTAGATCGAAAGGCGAAATATTTTACATATGGCATGGCTGTTGTGAGGTACGGAGGACTTGTATAAGAAGTGGTCGAATGACCCCGTTTTGACCGCGAGCACTGCCCAACCATACCTCCTCCAAAACAAGAACAAGTCATAAGAATCAATATAGACCGAATCAACTATGCGTCCCCTGGTTGTTCTCCTCCTTTCAACTCTCGCAATTGCTGGTCCTGCGCTGGAAAAGGTTCGTGTATCTTGCCTGCTTGTATCAGCGAGGCGAGTCGTGCCGTACTGACTTGCGGGATAGCGAGCTTGTCCGTCGAACCTCGTGTGTTGTGCCTGCGGGGGTGGTACAGGTGCTGGGACATGTTCTAGTACGAGCAACTATGCTGGATGCTCTTGTATAGCGTGTGCTCCGAACTGCGGGTTCTGCGGTGGTGGATTTTGAAACGTGTATTCCTGCGGTGAAGATCCTGGGGCTTCATGAGAGGTCCGGTAGATTGCTGCTGGCTGGCACTGTAGGTATTTTTGCGCGAACGAGGGAGGGCGTGTGACGGGCAAGGCAAAGGAAAACAAGATAAGACACCGAATTTGTGGGAATGGAATTTCTGGTAGTCAGTTGATTAGTTGTCAAAAGCAAGAATGCAATCGTGGAGTCGATCTGAATGTCTTCCAGAGATTGGTCTGTGTGTGAGTAGCTCGAGTGGGTATTCTACTTCTGAGCGGCATTCCCATCATCTCCAAAATAAAGAAAATCCCCACTGTAGGTCAGTATGGCGCAGCACCAGGACTCGTCAGCGGAGAGAGCTACGGTACTGTATCGGCGTTGGTGAGCTTGCCGAAGCCATTCTTCTCAACTTGCCACCAAGACACATTCTCGTTGGCCAGCGCGGATGCAGACTGTGGCGCGCAGTCTTTCGAGGCTCCAAGAAGTTCAAGTAGGCCCTCCTCCTCATTCCGCTCCTGTCCATGCGTGGAGCGTGGTCAAGCATCAAGGACGCTGCAATCCAGTATTCCGAGGCATCCTGGCGTCAAATGTTTGTTGCGCATCCTCCCCTCAAAGAGGTCCGCTTGGAAGAAGCTGGAATGGTCCAGGGACTGCCACTGCGAGGAGCTACAGCAGAGGGCTGACGATGGCTGAGGTCGAGGGCTACTGCGGCGAGGAGGAGCCAAAGCTGAACTGCCGGGTGATCAAGGGAGCACTGGACTGGGAGCCCATTCCATGGAGTTCTAAGTCGGCGAACGAGATGCTGGAGAAGGCGGTGACAGGATGAGATTACTTGGTGCCGCTGAAGAATTTGGAGACTTGAGCTTGATGCACAAGACGACCTGCCAGGAAACAGTCTGTGGTGGGTTTGGGAAGCAAACGGGAGGAGTTCATCTGGGTCCTGGCGCATTGAATCATCTGCGGATCAGATACCTCGCAAAATATCCCTGAACAGGGGATTGAGATGCTAGATGGGTTGTGTGAGTTCCCGAACACCAAGGGGCTTCGTATAAGTTGGCATTTTGTCGTCTTTGACTCCTTATTTAAAGAACAGGAAACCTGAGGGCCTGCTCTCGATTTGACTAGTACAAGCATATGCCTGCTACTACATATTGAGGATGCAACTTCGAGATGTCACTATCGACTGGTGCCTTGCATTAAGTTGTCCAGGTTGTTGATGAGTACCGCACAAGTCGAGCCCTTTCCTGGGGATGCGTAGAGTCTCAGTCTCAGCTGCTGTCACTGGATAATGTTAGTTTCGAAATTTGGGCTACCCGAAGCTCTTAGCTAGGCCTGTCGAAGCCTTGCGGACTCTACGAAGGACGGAAAAAAAGAATCAAGTATTTAAAATAGACTGTTAAGCGAAGAACTTAGAGGTCGGTATGAATGTCAGTAGTCATCGGAGTTATTAGCTATACTCTATATTAAATCTAACTTTAAACCCCTAGAGACACTAGATATAGCAATGTCGGGTAACATCCAACACCCGCATCCAACACTCGTATCTAACATCCGCATCCAACACTATAGGGGGATCCCCTTGTTTCGAAATTTAGGCTACCCGAAGCCCTTAGCTAGGCCTGTCGAAGCCTTATAGACTCTACGAAGGACGAAAAAAAGAATCAAGTATTTAAAATAGACTATTAAGCGAAGAGCTTAGGGGTCCGTATAACTGAATTTCAGTTGTTATCGGAGTTAGCTATACCCTGTATCAAATCTAACTTTAAACCCCTAGAAACACTCTAGACCGGTACCTATCTAAGAATATAAGGAACGTTTCTGTCTACCTACTAAGCATTAGATCAATACATCTATCTACCCGACCCCAACTCGACGGTCCAAGTTTCGCCTTTAAGTATCGACAGTAATACTCGGCCTCTCACGACAATTTCAACAAATATGCATTTCGCAGTTGTCTTTGCCATTCTCCCAGCAGCATATGCCCATTATTTTAAGATATACGCATCAGACGAATGTCTGATAAATGGTCCCAACAGTAATACCAAAGTAGGCCAGTACGACTTTGGAACCGAGAAGCCAGGCTTCACTAGCAGATGTTACACTACTTCTCCTAGCGGAAAGTCGATCGACGTACACTTCGATCAGAGCGAGAAATGCACTATATATATCTACAACGACAATAAATGCGGCAACCAAGTCGGTTTTTTCGGCGGAGACAAACCGGCTAACGTAAACGGCTGCTATGGTACCAACCCCATCAATTCCTACAGACTCAAATGTTAGGCGAGGCGAGCAAGGAATCAAGTTGTCTTGACGGACGAAGACGTGAGGCTAGGCGAGCAAGGAATCAAGTTGTCTTGACGGACGAAGACGTGAGGCTAGGCGACCAAGACCAAGACCAAGCCAAGTAACCAAGTAACCGGTCGACTGGTCGAACGGACGGTCGAACACAGTGCCAAGACTGGCACAGTTACCTTTGTATTTAGATGCTTAATCCGAGCGAAGTGAAGCGAAGGTGTTGTCTGTTTACGAGCTGAGTGGAGGAACAGCCAGAATTTTTTGTGTACCTAACATCACGTTCACTTGCATTCAACAGTGCATACATCCTGTACCAGTATAGCAACACGGCAACACAGCGTCTGACAAGATCTGACTGAATGCCCCATTACTTACGCATGTTCTTCCACTCAGCGATCGCTTCGCTCGGCCACCTGAGGCCTCAGGCAGCACCTGGCTGTACGTTACAGCCTCTTGTCGCATCGGAGTGAAAGCGCTCGATTCCTCAATCCTGGATTTTATGGTTTGCAACGAATCGGATGACTGAATTTCGCGGTCCGGAGGAATCCACTTCCACTCCGATATGTGAAGGTACTGTACTGTACTGTGCTTTGTCAAATGCAAGCGGTGTAGATACACAAGAAGGGTAAAGTGAGGCGTTGGTTGAAAGTTTGACGGTGGCGGGAGATGACGGAGCTGGGCTTCTCCGGTGGGAACTTGATATCGCTTTTGCACTTGCATAGGTTGGACTTAGGATCGATGGTGGTAAGCGTATCATAGCACCTTGAGCCGTCTCGTCCAGCAACATGTGACCGCTTTCACAGAGAAGTCGGTGGAAGCGAAGAAGAAGTCAAGAACACGAATCCCGCCCTGCCCGCGTGGGATGGGATGAGTTATGTAATAAGTGCGGTGTGGCGGACGCTAGCGTCGGCTTTACCCGTTGGCCTCAAGCCTTCTTCGAAATTTTGCTGGACCTTCTCTACTCCCATCTCCTCCACCCCATCACCCAAGTGTGCGTCTCAAATTTGCACCGACACTCCGAACTCTTGCAGTTTCATACTCTTTTTCATTTCGTCTTTCGTTGGTTGCTTTCCTGTGCGACGAGCGACATAGACGACCCAGAACCCCCAACACGCTTCACCGACCGCCGTTCACTCCCTTCAACCAAACGAAATCGAGCGACGACAACCGAAGCAACACGTTGACCAATATGGCTGATCAACTGAACATGAACGGCTTGTCCCTCAAGGACTCTGCCCATGCCGTCCCTGGCGGCCAGGGCCCACCACAACAGAACGGCTTCGGCGAGGGTCGTTCAGCCTACATCCCACCGCATCTCCGCTCACGCGGCGGCGGTCCACCTCCAGCTGCTGGCGGCGCGCCGAACGGCATGAACGGCGGTGACTTCCCTCCTCCAAAGTAAGTTTTGAAGCCGATCAGATCAGCAGCACGTGCGCTAACATGTTTGGTAGTGGCTTCAACGGCCCACCACCAGGTCGCGGCGGCGGCGGTAACTGGGGTGCCGCTCAGACCTTCACTCCACGCCAGAACAACTGGGATAACAGCCCACAGCTCCCACGTGGTTTCGATCGCAATGCATACGGCGCTCCAGGCGGCGGCCACGATCGAGGCGACCGCGGCGGCTACAGCAGTGGAGGACGACAGAATCAAGGTGCAGGAGACGGAAAGTGGATGGACGGCAAGCACGTCGCAGGTCCCGCCAACCAGCGCCTTGAGCGCGAGCTGTTTGGTGTCGCCAACGACCCAACCAAGCAGCAGACTGGTATCAACTTCGAGAAGTACGACGACATCCCAGTCGAGGCTTCAGGTCAGGGTGTTCCAGAGCCAGTCACCTCCTTCACCAACCCACCGCTTGACGACCACTTGCTCAGCAATATCGACCTTGCAGGATACAAGATGCCAACACCTGTGCAGAAATACTCGATCCCCATCGTCATGAGCGGTCGCGATCTGATGGCTTGTGCCCAGACCGGTTCCGGAAAGACTGGTGGTTTCCTTTTCCCAATTCTTTCACAAGCGTACCAGAACGGGCCATCTGGCAGCGTTCCTCAGCAGTCTGGCTTTGCTCGTCAGCGCAAGGCCTACCCGACCTCTTTGATCCTCGCACCAACTCGTGAGCTTGTCTCACAGATCTATGACGAGGCCCGCAAGTTCGCCTACCGATCTTGGGTCCGCCCATGTGTCGTCTACGGTGGTGCCGACATTGGCTCCCAGCTCCGCCAGATCGAGCGCGGCTGTGACTTGCTTGTCGCTACTCCTGGTCGTCTCGTCGACCTTATCGAGCGTGGCCGTATCTCACTTGCTAACATCAAGTACCTGGTTCTCGATGAGGCTGATCGCATGCTTGACATGGGTTTCGAGCCACAAATCCGTCGCATTGTGGAGGGCGAGGACATGCCTCCAACTGAAGGCCGTCAAACACTCATGTTTTCGGCCACCTTCCCACGCGACATTCAGCTGCTCGCACGCGACTTCCTTCGAGAGTATATCTTCCTTTCGGTTGGACGTGTCGGTTCGACATCTGAGAACATTACTCAGAAGGTTGAGTACGTTGAGGACATTGACAAGCGCAGCGTGCTCCTCGATATCCTGCACACCCATGGCGCCGGTCTGACGCTCATCTTTGTCGAGACCAAGCGCATGGCTGATTCGCTCTCCGACTACCTGATCAACCAGGGCTTCCCAGCGACCTCCATTCACGGTGACCGCACCCAGCGCGAGCGAGAGCGTGCTCTCGAGATGTTCCGATCTGGACGATGCCCAATTCTCGTCGCTACTGCTGTGGCTGCTAGAGGTATGTATCCTTTCCACACTTCAATCTCTCTGTCTATCGTCTTGCTGACTATGTGCTAGGATTGGATATTCCTAACGTCATGCACGTCGTCAACTACGATCTCCCGACCGACATTGACGACTACGTCCACCGTATCGGTCGTACTGGTCGTGCAGGAAACACTGGTATTTCCACTGCTTTCTTCAACCGTGGCAACCGTGGTGTGGTTAGAGACCTCATCGATCTCCTCAAGGAGGCCAACCAAGAAGTTCCAGGCTTCCTCGAGACGATAGCACGTGAGGGTTCTGGCTTCGGTGGTGGCCGTGGCGGTCGCTCTGGAGGCGGACGTGGCCGTGGCGGCTCTGCCATGAAGGACGTCCGTAGCTTCGGTGGCGGTCAGCGCCCAGCCTACGCTGGTGGCATGATGGGCGGTAGCGGCGGCGGCGGCGGTGGCTACGGAGGTGGCTACGGCGGCGGCATGGGTGGAGGCTATGGAATGGGTGGCGGCATGGGCGGTAGCTACGGCAACCCATCTGGTCCATCTGGCCCGAACAGCTGGTGGTAAACAGCACCACCTTCCGACAACACCCCTCCGACGCGATTTCTTTTACGACTGTTTTCGATTGCTTGTTTCCTTCCTGGACGCGAAACGTCCACGGCGGATCTTGACGAGTGTGCGGCTGCAACAACATTATACCCAATCCAGCATGATAGACAGCGTTGTTTTCCTCGGCTTTGCTTGCATTGCACGGCGTGGGAAAACGGCGCACTGGTATCGTGGCCTGTTCATTTTGACACTGGCTCTCTCCGCCCTCAGGCTTTGGGCGACGGAGCTATCTCCCGGCTTGTGTCCCGGCACGGGCTACGATACACTTACGACATCATCCACACAAGACTCTTCACGACACAGGCGCTGCTTTGGGCGGTGCTAAGTAGCTGCGACGCTCGATAGATCAGTGTTCTCTTTTCAGCGACTGCAACGGCGTTAAATAATTAGAAGGTGCGATCTTCGGGGATATTTGGACTGGGCGGAGTTTCTCGTCAGGACCAAATTCGACTTCCCAAAAGTAGCATGGCATGTGCTGTCATCGATGGCGTTTCTACTACAGCGGCTGGTTTCTTGCATGGGCTTGAGAATGGGTCTCCTCCACTCGTGGCAAGCGAGTGTGATGATATGGAGAGGAGACCTGTTTTCCTCACGCGCAGATGCTGGAGAACTGCGAGGCAGCCTTTGTACTAGTGTGCTTTCAGATGATACCTTGATAGACGGCATGGAACTCGTGGGATAGAGCAGGGGTTGCATCATCTGGGAGCGAGAGAGCATCATGGGTCTCGCGCACGCCGGAATGAGCATGTGCTATGCGCTCGAACCAAAAATAGTGCGATTAGTTTTGAGCAAAGCAATGGATATGGATATGTGCTCGGCGTCCTTCATCTTCACAATTTTCAACTCTGTAGTGCCTGCCATCGTAGAGAGGAAGGCACGCAAAACCTTTTCCCAACGTCACTTCGTGATCTCTGCCCAAGCCTTCTGTTTGCACTCCACAGAACCGGCCGAGCGCTCGAAATCGCACTATATCTGCCCCCTTTGTATACATGCTTTGGCTTCAGGAGGCGTTGCTGCTTTCGGTGAAGACGAGCCTATTCTTGGAAAGCTCCTGTGAAGAAGGACAAGTACGCAGAGGCGCCGACAGAACGACTACTCGCTACTCGCAGCTTATCTTCTTGGAATCACTTGCTCATTATTAAGTGAAGCAGAAGGACATCGAAAAGGATACGTTGGGCGCTGACGTCTGGGCGCACGGGCCGCCGCCGACTCAACTCAAAATAGTGTCGTCTGCCGAAACTTGTGAGTCTGTGTCCTCAGTCCTCACACACCCCACCGTGCCCGCAACGCCCAAATAAATATCACACGCCTTCCACGAACAACTCCGACACACACTCTCAAGATCTCAGTCTGACACCGCACCGGTATATTTGCCTCGACAGTCAACTCAGAAGCAAATCTGCCTAACAGATCACTCGAAACAAAGCCTCCCGATTTCGGAAACAATCGCAAATATGGCGCCCAGCAAAACCTCGTGGGATGACGAGGAGTCGGATAGCACACCACCCTCCTCCCCATCAGTTGCACCAGTCGCTCGACGCGGCAAATTTGACGACGAGGAAGAAGAGGACGTTCTAGAATCATGGGACGCCGCCGAGGACAGCGAGGAAGAGCGAGAGAAGGCCAAGAAGGCTGCTGAGGCAAAGGCAAAGGCAGATGCAGCAGCAAAGGCAAACCACAAGAGCAGAGCACAGCGCATCGAGGAGAAGCGAGAAGAGCGACGGAAAGAGCGAGAACTCTTCGAGGACGACGAGAGCGAGAGCGAAGATGAGGCTGACAGGAGAGCACGCATGCGCGCCGCCGAGATGGATTCCGACTTGAAGAATGCTGAAGATCTATTCGGCGGCGGAGGCAGTGGACCGAACAGGAAGGGCACCAACAAGGCTATCACAGTACAAGCTACGACAGGAGACCCTACCAGCGCCGTCGACCTCTCGAGCCTCTCCCTTTTCAACCCAAAGACTGTGCAAGATTTTAACAAGATGCGCGATACCCTGGTACCACTTCTGAACAACAACGCCAAGAAGCCACAATACGAGTCATTCATGAAAGAGTTTGCGAAACAGATCGTCAAGGAGATGAACAGCGAGCAGATCAAGAAGGTCGCCAGTGCTTTGACTGCTGTTTCGAACGAGAAGCTCAAGGAGGAGAAGGCTGCTGAGAAGGGTGGCAAAAAGACCAAGGCTGCAAAGACCAAGACCAGCCTCAACGCCAATCGAGATGTTGCGTACAGAGCGGACACGGCGGCTTATGATGATGATGGACTTGACGAGTAAGTTGGCATCCTGACCCAGATCCTGGCATCCTGCTAACCCACGTACCAGCGGCGACTTCATGTGATCTATTTCGCCGCACCAAATATTTCAAGCTCTTCCCACTTTTTTCCCTCTCAGGATGCTCCGCGTTTCGATCGATCGATACAAATCCGAGAGTGCTGGCATGAACTCGGCACAAACACGACTTTGGCCATGAGCTTATGAGATGATGCATCGACACCGGCGCCAACGAGATAGACTTAGGGTGGTGGACGAGAGTGAGAGGAGGGAAGGAGTTGGGCTACTTTTTTTCGACGATAGTGCATTTAAAGCGAGTATAGGTTAGTTCAAAGATTGCGTCTGTCGCACATTTTCCAATTTCACACTGCATGCCGTTTTCTCAAGGAATCAACTACAGGTCTAAGAGCCGCGCCACACCAAGAATCTGGGTCTCGATTGCAATGCTGATGTTATTGAAGTGCATGACGCCGAACAAAGGAGTGCTTAAGTGCCGTTGTCCTACTAGTCGGTGTGCCAGTGACATTGTTATAGGGATTGTGGAGCTCCTTATCGATGAAGTGGTCCACATGCCAGCCAAAGAAGATTCTGCAACCAAGCTTCGTTCATCATGAGAGATGCGAACTAGTATTGCCATTCTTGCTCACCCAAAACTCCACCACGAGCAAGATCTCCATCATCGGCATTAATATACAGTCAGATGGCTTTGACCTTCGGCTTGTTGTCAAGCTGGTTCAGGAGCCTGCATTCATCAAGACGTACCTCACCTGAGCACGATCTCAGAGTTGACAAGTTCCTGGAGCTCATGTCATCGTGCCTTCGCAATCGATGCGATCAAAAATATATGGTTGAAGCAAAGAACGCCTTCTCCCCTGTGAGCTTCAAGGTCACGGAAATCACAATGCTCGAGAGCCCAATCCCGTCACGCCCCATTGCTGTACTTCTCCCAAGCCATCCATCCCAATTGCCTCCCAAAGCACTGAACATCCTTGCCTCGTCTGTCAGGTCGACCGGGCGCTGTACTCTTTTTCTTTGGGAACGACGGTGCCTTTTATCGTGGCAAAGCAACCCTTCTTTCTATACTGCTCTGCTGCTACTCTATCTCTTCAACATGTTTCTCGATAACTGCGTAGAAACCGCAGTCTGCCATTCCCTTCCTCACAATCACGCGATTATGAGTAGATTCTATATTCACATGCTCTAGCACGAACCGTATTTACTTCGCGGCACGCTTCATCCGCTCCGCAAAGCTGTCTATGAATCGTCAATGCTCAAATTCACCTATACTCACTATACTCAAACAGATATTTTCTAATAGCTAGATTCTTCTATTCTACGATCGACGGATCTCGAATAGACACTATCCTAACCGCTACGCAGCCTTGTCGCTATCTAACCCTCTACACACAATCATCACTATGGTCGCTCTAATGGATTAAGGCGGCATATGGCCGACTCGCTAACTACAATATCGTTGACAACTATGACTAGATTTTGGTCGTGCGTATCAAGGCTGAAGCGGCGGAGCAGGTTAAGAGAGAGAAGGCTGCGGCTAACAGGAAGAAACGCAAGGGCAAGTCCAAGTCCTAGGCCGATCCAGGACCTAGACAGGAGAGCATATAGGATCCTGGCATTGTTGGAGGATCCTTTTCTTCGAAGATATGTCTGTGGATATTACCTGCTGCTGCACGCTATCTTCTTACACGACTCTGGCTTCGTTGTCTCAAGCGCCACTAGCATCTGTGCTTTGCCCAGAGAATTAATGGAGGAGCTCATGTACCCTGTGAGGCTATTGGGGCGTGAAAATCACGATGAAACGGTGGCTCTCGTGGATGAAGCTCCAATTGAACGTAGATTGCGAAGCCGCTGCGCGTTGAGCATGCGTTACTGTACACAAAGATTAATATCTGAGGTCACGCTGAGGCGACGTCAGCGACATACTCATGCGCTCTTCTGGAGTACAGCATCGGATCAACAGCCAGTAATTGCCACAAGACCATCTCTATACTATATGGCTCTCATCGTCTTGCGACCATTCGCCACTAATCCATTGTCCCTTCTTGCATCTTCTACTTCCGCCTTTACATCGGCTACTGTGCGTTGTGTTCGTCCAGCGATGAATTTGTAAGCTGACTGCAGCCTGTCGGATACAGTCTGAGCAGTAAGTGCCTTTGGGTGATGGCTGTTGATTTGATTCGCGATCTGGCCAACGCTGTACTTCTTGGCGAGTCGAATCAGAGTTCCATACCGAATGCGATCTGCGTCGCCTGCGAAAATCTCCTCATCCGGGATGTCCTCTGGATAGTCTTCGACAGTTTTGTAGCCCTTGACTTTCTTGGTAGGCGTGCCGTCAGTAACCTCTGGAGTGCTGTTCTGAGTGACAGGCGTTTCCCGCTTCTGCGGCTTCGGCTTGGGAGCTGGTCGTTCCTTGCATTCTTCGATGAGATGGAACCTTTCCAGACGACCTCCAGCTGTCATATCTTCGTCCGGGAAAGCGCTACGGAGGCGCTCATCTGCCATTGCGCCCAGTTGGGTGGAATCAAAGTCTTGCTTCGACATGTTCCCATGCATTGTGAATCAGTCTATTCGCGATCGTGCGTTCTTGGTAAAATTGTGTCGTTCCTTGCCAGTCCGTATCAAGGTGGCGCGGAAGGATCCGGTGGTGGTGCAAGTGCTAAAACATGGAGATTTGGCCTCGTGAAAGAAAGTAAGAGGGTCAATTTCTGATAGACGAGCATATCCATCATGTCGAGCAGATTCGACGAAAGCTGCTGAGGGAGAGACGTTCTGGGTGAACAGCTCCTATCGACGGCCGGAATGATCGCAATACAGCTGAATGTTGAGATCCATTGCCTGGGGATCGCTGGGGATAGAGGCAGACGAATTGTGGTGATTTATGATTGGAATGCGCTGCGACGGCGCAATCTGGGAAGACTTTGCTGATGGCCTGACTCTCTGGCGGTACGGGATCTTGGCCAATGGTGGACCAAAACGCCAGTAAGAAAGATAAATATGGCTTCAAATGCGCGCCAGAGAGAGCGCAAGAGATTCACAATAGTTGAAGGCGTCGGCGATGGGAGTCGCGGAGGCGGGAGAGGTGGTGGGAGAGAAGGAGGATAGTGCCGTGAGAAGTGGAAAGCAGAGGAAAGCCTTGGCCGGACATCGCTTCCTTGCTGCTGCTGATGTAAACAGCCAAGCATTTCTGGGATTCGGCTAAACTAGCTGATTCTGGAACTAGGGCTCGGCCGGGATCAACCGACAACTTTTCCAGATGCCTGTGCGCGTTCTAGGACACGCGTGGTGGAATACAGCTTCACATCGACTGCATACCGCCCGCAACAATGGTAAGCGACGACTCTCCGGCTCAGTGGCCGTCGTAGTGGATTCAATACTGATATGTGCTTTAGTCCCAACAAATCTTCGAAGACGGCGGCGAACAGGAGCGAGGAGAGCAGGCCAGACTCAGGTGTGTTCTTTTCAGGGCAGAAACACCAACGTAGATCTAATGATTGTACAGCGCATTCGTTGGCGCCATTGCCATCGGCGACTTGGTGAAGAGCACACTCGGCCCGAAAGGCCAAGACAAAGTAAGGACAATGTGATGATACGACACGCAATGCTCTAACTTTGACTAGATCCTGCAGAGTGCTTCGACTGGCGAGATCATGGTCACGAACGATGGCGCGACAATATTGAAGAGCGTGGCGCTTGATAATGCAGCGGCGAAAGTGTTGGTCAACATTTCAAAAGTGCAAGATGACGAGGTGGGCGACGGCACAACGAGTGTTGCAGTGCTGGCAGCAGAGCTTTTACGCGAGGCCGAACAGCTTGTCAACCAAAAGATCCACCCACAGACCATCATTGAGGGATACAGAATAGCAAGCGCCGCTGCTCTGGAGGCTTTGGAGGAGACAGCAACGGATCACAGTTCGAACCCAGAAGCTTTCCGAAAAGACCTCATCGCGATCGCACGAACGACTCTCAGCTCGAAAGTCCTCAGCCAAGACCGCGACCAGTTCGCGGAGCTCGCAACGGATGCTGTCCTGAGAATGAAGGGCTCAACAGATCTCACTCACATCCAAATCATCAAGAAAGCAGGCGGCAAGCTATCAGATTCCTATCTCGACCCCGGATTCATTCTCGACAAGAAATTTGGAACTGGTCAGCCGAAGCGCGTAGAAAATGCGAAGATTCTTGTTGCCAACACATCCATGGACACAGACAAAGTCAAGATCTTTGGTGCAAGAGTCAAGGTGGAGAGCACAGGCAAGCTGGCTGAGCTGGAAAAGGCAGAGCGCGAGAAGATGAGGGCGAAAGTGGAAAAGATCAAATCACACGGTATCAATTGCTTCGTCAACCGACAGCTGATTTACAACTGGCCCGAGCAACTCTTCACAGACGCCGGCATTGCATCAATAGAGCATGCCGACTTTGACGGTGTGGAGCGGTTAGCACTCGTCACTGGTGCCGAGATCACGTCCACTTTCGACCACCCAGAACACGTCAAGCTGGGCCACTGCGATCTCATCGAGGAAGTCATCATCGGCGAAGACAATCTTATCCGCTTTTCTGGTGTGGCTGCTGGACGCGCATGCACTGTGGTTCTCCGTGGCTCGAGCGAACAGCTCCTGGACGAGGCAGAACGCAGTCTCCATGACGCTCTCGCAGTCCTGTCACAGACCGTCAAGGCCCCAAAGACAACGCTTGGTGGCGGTTGCGCAGAAATGGTCATGGCCAAGGCTGTAGACCAGGCTGCTCAAAACGTGGCCGGCAAGAAGGCTTTAGCTGTCGACTCCTTCGCCAAAGCCCTTCGACAGCTTCCCACCATTCTCGCCGACAACGCAGGTCTCGACTCTGCTGATTTGGTGGCACGATTACGAAAAGCTGTCTACTCTGGAATGTCTACCAGTGGTTTGGATCTCATGAAGCCAGGAGGAGGTATCGCCGACATGAGGACATTGGGTGTGGTGGAGTCATACAAGCTCAAGCGTGCGGTTGTCAGCAGTGCGAGTGAAGCTGCCGAACTGCTTCTGAGAGTAGACAACATCATTCGTGCGGCTCCTCGCAGGCGTGAGCGCATGTAAGGGAAGCATGGAAGTTTGCATGGCATGGAAGTCTGGCGCTCAAAAAGAGGAATCGCAGTAATGCTGTAGATAGATACCATGGCTGAAAGCTACATGATGTATGAAAATATCCACGCGGCTCGGTCCTGTTGTCGCGACATATCAGAATCCACGACAGTGTGGAGGAAGCCATCTCCTTCCTCCGTATAGTGACGAGTCAAAAGAAGCCCACAAAGCTCACGATCCTCCTGCCAGACACAAACCACTCCATCCAGACCTATCTGAGGCGAACCATCGAACTTGCTCGCGAACATGGCAAGATCGAGGACGCAATTCGGGTGAGCAGACTGCCCAAACAAATGAGACTAAGCGCAGACCATAGGGCGCTTGTCAAAGAGCTAACCACAACTCAGCATTCCCATCAAGATCGCGCGACGCATTGATGTGCCCTCTGATCTCACGCCCAGATATCTAATCATACCAAATAGCATTCATCCCAAAACCCGGTTCCTTAACATCCATATGCGCCACCCGTCCCAAAAACTCCTCATGCCAACGATAAATCTCCACCCACCCTTGCTCATCATCACAAAGCGCCACCCACTCATCCGTCCACGGACAAGGACTCACAGCATTACTATGTCCCCCACTCGTCGGCGTAGGATTCAGACAAATCTGCCTCAAAACCTGTCCTTCTTTCCCGAGTTGGAAGGCAGAGATGTAGCCTGTTAATTTCGGGGAATTGGAGCGCGAGGTGGCGAAGAGGTATTGCCCGCTTTGAGATTTGAAGACGACGTCGGAGCGAAACATTTTTGGGAAGAGGTTGGACATTTCCGGCGGGATTAGGGGGTAGGAGGTTCGGGTGTAGACTGGTAGGTGGGTTTTTTCGTCGATGATGTAGATGCAGAGACGGTTTCCGGATTCCATGAGGACGTAGAGGTAGGCGTTTGAGGGGGAGATTTCTACCCAGCGCGGATGGTCGTTTGGGGAGGGTGCGGGGGTGGATCCGATGAGGGAGAGGGTGCCGGTTTGAGGGTTCTGGTTATGCCGTGGGATTAATCAGTCGATCACTACTCGTAGCTATGAGTCGCAAATCAAAAGAAACTTACCTTCTTATGACACCATATCTTGTTGGCCCACATATCAGCCGAGTACAGATACTCTTCCTCGGAATCGAACACCATTCCGTGGATTGCGGAGTTCTCGTCGAGTGGCGCGTTCTGAATATTCTTGTCAAGACCACCTTCGGAATTCACGGAATGGACATTGAGGAATCCTGCGTGGTCGTAAAACGGGTTGCCATAGACGCAGTACGGGGCTTTCTTTGCGGCCAGCACGAATATCGCTCTGGTCTTGGTGTCGAGATCATTTGCTCGGGCTGTAGAGCAATATGTTAGAATAAGAGGGGAACGAAGAAGAGGGGAGAAATACGATGTCCACCCATTGGGATCGAAGCGTGATGGATTATGTCTGTGGGACTTGAGACGGTGTATGAGCCCCATTTCTTCATGCCTGCTCCGTAGATGTTTTTTCGTGCGTGGTCGAATGTCATCCATGATATTGGTTGGTCTTGGGGGATTTCGGTCCGCTTCACGAGCTCGAGGGTTAGCTTGGAGTCGTCGAATTCGACGGTGAAAATTGCGCCTGGAGGAGTCCTTGGGAGATCTTAGCTGAAAGATCACGCAATGTATTGAGATATGGACTGAGAGTAGGAGAAGAAGATTGGAGATTGCTTCGCAACTTACCAAGTGCCAATCATGAGATGATGCTTCATCTTTACAGCTGTTCTCGTGCTGAATGTTCTCTGGCGTGGAATGTACACTCGTACTTGCCTATACAGAGTCTGAAGCATATGTCAATCAATTCCAGACGCTTCTACTGCTACTCTTGATATACTGCTGGGTAATCTCTTACCCGTGATCTGAAGCCGAATGGAAGACTTCGGGAACTCCACATGAGAACGCACGAGCAATTTTCACAAGCGGATCCCGTCCCTGCAGACCACAGTTTGCGGCTTGGCCACGAAAGGAATGGTCCAAAGCCTCAATAATACCAACCACCTGCATTGGCAAACAAGCGACCTGACTTGACCGCCAGAGAGGGAGGCAGTTGTCAAAGTGAAGTGAGCTGCTGTTCGCAGAAGACACTCTCGCCTTTCGTTCCTACTTGAAAATCCATACAACCCTGGAAACACGGCGCGATCGATCGACAAGCAGACGTGGTCCACTGCCATTGGAACAACACCCATCGCAGCAGGTCAGCGCACCACCGATCGAATCCTAGCCTTGCACAACACACGTCTCACCAATAAGATCCCCGGGCCACTCGACCATGGGCCTCTTCGACGGAAAATCCTATTCTACCAGCGACGCCAACGGCTTCCTCAACATCGGCGGACGTCCAACACATCGCAGTTCCTCTCGTAACCGCGGCGTCTCTCCCGCACGCAGCGCGCATTCCACAGGAGGTGGGACGGGATACTATGTCCGACAACACAATGCTTCTTCCTCATCCTCAAGACCAGGCTATGCGCGTTCCGCCAGCGGCTCATTCTTCGGCGGCTCATCGTCGCGAGGAATTTTCAGTAGCGGTGGACATTCGAATTCAAGTTATTATAAACGTCGTCCGAGAGATGGTTATATCAGTTACTTGATTCATAAGTTGCAGAGGATGTTTAAGGAGTTGTGGTATTATGCGAGGAGACATCCCGTCAAGGCGTTTTTTGCGCTTGTTGTGCCCTTGCTGAGCGCTGGTGGGGCGATTCATGGGTTGATGAGACAGGTGGGTGTTCAGTTGCCTTTTGGACTTGATGGGAGTATGAGGAGGTTTGGGGGGAGTGGGTATTATGGGAGTGAGGGGTATGGAGGGGAGAGGAGAGGAGGGGGTTGGATGGATCAGGCTGGGGGTTTGATGCAGATGGCCAAGTTGTTCATGTGAGAGGAAGAGATGAGGAGGGAGGGTGGTCTTGAGAGTGTGGAGGGAGGCGAGAAAATGCGCTTCACGAAGCGACACGGCACGGGAATCAGACATGCGCTTCGCAGTGCAACGATTTACGAAAGGGAGAAAGTAAAAAAAAAGGACTACAGGACCAGCGCGAGCTTGAGCAGAATCAGAATCCTGTCTGCTGTGCGGATACCCTTAGGCTACGAATTGAGTATGGAAATGAAAGGCGTTGCATGGTTGAGGATAGAAGTGTCATGATGACTTCGACCGGGCAAGCAGTTTCTTCCAAAGCCCTCCACTTTCCTGCTGTCGTTGTAAGATCTCGTCTTTTTCTATCTCGGATGCTTACCATCAGGTGCAGGTCCGCAACTGTCTATGTTGCTACGGCTTGTTAACGATTCCAAGAAAGCTGAAGATGAGTAGTGTGAAGCTGGAATCGAGGTCTGGTCACTCCAGCATGTTCTCTCACCAACACGGACCACCTGACAAACGCTCAAAATCGACGCGCTTGTTAATGTTGCGCGTCATGACCGCGTTGTCAACAACATCTTGGTCTGTCGCGAGTGAAGAGCATTCTGTTGCGCCTTTGTTAGACTTCTACACCTATTCGCAGCATCCGAGAAGCACTCAAGTTGAGGACTGAAATCAGAGTCCTTCAAACCGAAACAACCTCAAGACCACGCAAGTCTCTTCGTCTGTAGAGCCACTCGAGGTCTTCTCCGCCGTCTCTCTAGTGACCTCTCGAATGAGCGCGTCGGGAGACAAGGCGCCTCAACTATGGCAGACCTGGCCGACTCACGATCCGCAGTGGCAACAGCTCCAATCATTGATGATCATGCAATCCTCCAGGGCTGGACTCCCATCAATGGCCGTCTCATAGACACCAATATCCATGGTGTGCATACCTACAAGCCAAGACCACTCGAAGTGTATCCGACCAGCATCTGGAAAGAAATGCCCGCACGCGCTGCAGATGGCGAAGAGATCCTCGAGTACGACGAGGAAGAGTTCTTACATCTCCCAGAACATCTGACGGCGCCGGAGAATAAGGCTTTCGAAGAAGGCATCGCCCCAACGATTCAAGGAGACCCTGGCGTCTGGGATTATGTGTCTGAAGAAGAGTACTTTGGCCGCAAGATGACTCTCCTTACGGACCATAGACTGCTACGACTCGCCACCAAATATACGATGAAGCAGCTCGCAGAGAAAATCAATGCTGCTACCGAAGTGTGGGAACCAGATCTGGTCAGTGAGAAGACTCTCCAACGACGCATTTGCGAGCGCTACATCCCTCGACTTGCTGGGGCCAAAGGCATGACTGTGGCTGAGATTCGGAAGGAACTCAAGGATGCTCGAAAGGTGAACGGTGTGGGTTCTCAGAAGCGCCGCTCGTCGGTATCGATGGGGTCTCCGCACGAACAGGACGCGATCCTTGACACCGGTCATGTGCAGGATGGTGAACCCAAATGCTCTCCCACTCTACGCACCAAGCACAAGAGAGTGATTCCTTGGCTCAAGGATCAAGCGAAGACAGCCGACGAGGAGGAGAAGCAGCCGTCGAGAAAGAAATCGAAAACGAGCCTCAAGCCCCTCACGATTCCTGACACTAATAAGCAAGACACAACCACATCTTCTGCCACCCCATCAACAGCAACCCCCAGCACTGGAGAACTCGGTCCAATCCCGGACACCGATCAAGCTATCTTCGACAGCGACCCATCCCGCATCGTCGGAGCTAGCGTCTACAAGTTGGCCGTGCGCTACTCTGTCGCTGAGATCCAAAAGCGCATTGTGCTCGCCCACCCTACTTCGGGAATCAAGTCGCAACATGCCAAGAAGGAGCTTTACAAGTATGTCGGTCAGCTGGCGAAGGAGAGTGGTAAAGATCGCGGTGCGATTCTGGATGAGTTGAATCAGGCTCGTTCCGAAGGTCGTGCGAGTAAGAAGGGGTTGAAGGGTGGGTTTGCGATGCGGAAGCGTAAGGCTGTGGAGGTCGAAGATGAGATGCCGCTATATGAGGGTGATGCGGAAGCTTTGGAGGTTATTGATCGGGAAATGGTAGCAAGCTCCGTCCCTCTCTCTACCACTCCATCAACCAAAACCCCTCGAGGAGGCGAATTTTCTCCCGGAAAACGAAACAACATCGCCGTCTCGCTCTACACACCAACTCCACGCAAGAGCAAGATCAAGAGCGCTGGACTCCGCTCCCCATACTTCCCGAAGACAACCGCATTGCCTGATACTCAAATCCACAACCTCGTCGACGACATGGTGGACTACACGACTCCGAAGTTTCAAGAGACGGCTCGCTCGTATGCTGCTGCTTTGGCGCTTGATGGTCCGGCTCTGGCTTCTCGGGAAAAGAGTGGGGGGAAAGAGAGGCGGATTGAGATTCTGGAGTCTCCGGAAGAGGGAGTGGATGTGTTGATATGGTAGGGGATGGCGTTGAGGAAGGCTGTGTGAAGAGGATAGAAACTGAAGGGTTTGTGTGGGGAAAGGAAATGCTGGGTTGGAGGGTAGGTGTTTGTGCAGGACGATGGGATGAATAATGCTGAGATAGAATAGCCAAGCCAGGCCAAGCCCGGTCCGGGTAGCAGGGTTGTATCCGACCTCATTAGGGGTGCTAGGTTGTTAATTGTCAGCAACGTTACTAACGTTGCTAACTATGTTAATAACGTTGCTCTTGTCTACTGAGTTGTTAGTAATATAAGGCTGACTAGGGCTAACTAGAGGTAGAAGGTAATACTATATTAAAGGCAATATAGCTGTAGAATAAGACTACTTCTTGCTGTAGATTGAGACTACTATATAGACCACTTCTTGCTATAGAATAGACTACTTCTTAAGCTTAATAATGCGGCCGTTATTAGAGCGCTTGTTATCTAAGCGCTTCCGTACTAGTATAGTTACTATATGTCTCTAGCTATTGCTAGCCGTTATTAGTATTATTGTCTTATAAGAGCGACTAACTAAATAGCGTATAGCTAACTAGAGGGTCGTGTTTAGTAGAAGCCTAGCTATTAACTAGCTTAAAGAATAGTAAGTACTATAGTAGTTAACTGCTCGTTGTCGCCTCGAAGAGCGCTTTATAATTGATAGGCTCGTCTTCGAAGTCGTTATCTTCTTAGTAGTAAGATAGACTATATAGATTAAACAGCTGTTTAAAGTTAGGTATATAGAGATAGCGAGGATCGCTTAGTAGCAAGCAGTAGTTATTTATTATAGCTTCTTCGAAGGTAAGTAATGCGTCCAATTCCGCCTTCCTAATCTCTTTCTTAGTTGCTAACTATCGCTGCTATATCTCTCGTAACTTAGCTTATCGTTGCCGTCTTACTACCTCTTCTACTAGTCGCCTACGTAAGGCGCGGCTATTTATATAGATATAGGTACAGTCGTCGGTACGCGTAGCGGACAGCTTCGAGCGATAGTCGTTCTATATGAAATTCATAGCGCTAAAGGCTCGCTCGGAAGGCACTAAGTTAGCAGGTATTCTATATAGGCGGAGGGCGACTTCCGCTATAAGAGGCGCTTTACGAGTAAGGAAGTCCTAATAAGCAGTAATATTGCCGCGCTCTCGGTACCGACTAAGCTCGTAGTAGTTACTAATAGCGAAGAAGCGTTGCGTAGAGTCTCGGAATTCGATAAATTCGTCGTTAAATCGTAGATAGCGCTCGAATATAGAAGGATCGTAGTCTTCGTAGGCAAAATAGCGCTTAAAGAAGGCAATGCGGCATTCTTCTTCGCGGTTACTAAATTCTCGAGAAACTAATAGATTGTTAATATATAACGAGTGCGCTGCCTAGTAGACGGGTTGTGTTTGCTTAATAAACCGGAGGTCGAAGAGCGACAATAGGTCCTTCTAGTAAGGCAGGCGCGCCTACTTAATCGAGCGACGTAGTTGCCGCTAGCGAGGCACTATATCGCCAACCTTAGAGGTGTCGCTCTTACTAACTAGCCGTACTTCGTCAATTAGCTAAAGGAGTGTATAAAGGCTCTATAGGCGGCTCTAGAATAGAGGCGAGTTAATAGTCTTAAGGGCAGCAGAGGCGCCCTTTGCGAGGCGACTATTCGAGCCTCGGAATAGCCTATAAGCTATAACCCTCGAGCAGTCTTAAAGGGTTGTTATTGCTATAAACAGGCTGTGTATTGCAGTATAGTATAACCCCTAGCGAGTAAGATAGGCGATAGCAAATACCCTTAAAATAGCCTCGTTGTCCTTAGTAAAGGCCTTTAGGATATTCTAAGCCTTCTTCGACCTCTTAAACAAGGCAAGCACGTATAAAGCCTCTCGGAGCGTGTCGCTATAGAACGGTAGGTGCGAGTCCTTCTAATAGTTACCCTAGTCGCTAATGTATAGCTATATGCTATACGAGTCGTAGAAGACGCAAATTATATACTTAGTAAGTGGATTCTCGGCGAGTCGGTCCTAGAGTGATCTTATTGTCGCGCAGGTATCGGTTTGTAGGCTATTCTATCGTTTAAGGTCACTATTAACAAAGGGCGCTACCTACTTAGTTACCTGCCGCGCGAGGGTAATAGCGTTAGCGTTAGAGTCCTTTATGTCTAGCAAATTATAGAAGAACGAGCTAGACACTATATTAGCTAACAGGTTGCAGAAACGAGTACTACCGCGGCTCTTACTCTTATTAGCGCTAAAGTTAAGGTCTCGAAGCGCATTAAACACCGCCTTAACGTCCTTCTCGACCTCCGCTCGTACCGTATCGATACAATCTACTACCTTATCGCGACTTAGAGGGTTATAATTAGTGTCGAAGGTATAGAAGGCCTCGCGCTATTTAGGATAGAATCTCGCGTCTACGAGATTAAATAGCCTTCCGCTATACAATATCGCCCTTGCAATAGCTAAATTACGCACCTTCTTAGACTTAGCGACACTAAATAGCAGCGTGCGTTGCTTGCGCGGCGGCGCCTCTTCATCGTTAGAATAGTAAGCCCTCTTATAGTCTAAATACTTCTAACATTTCGCTAGGTGCGCCTTCTTCCGTAATAGGCTTCCCTCTACTATCGTTCCTTTCCCGCTATCGTACTAGATATACCTTACAAATTTGCCTATATTAGCGGTATCGACTTAGGAGAAGTTAAGGTTGACTAGGTCCTTTAAACGAGGCATTTTAAAAAAGTCGGAATTATAAGATTCGTAGAATTGCTAGAAATGCGAAAATCGGAGGATTAGGTAGTCGAAACAGGTAGAAAAACAGCAGGCAATTCTCTCTTAACAATACCTCTCGAACTATCTAGTTTTAGGCTATTCGGACAACATTAGTAAACCTACTATTCTACTAACCCTAGTAGTATAGTTGCTAGGTAACCCTCTACTAAGCAGTCGCCTAAGCAACTACTACTCGGAAGAGCTATATAAGCAATCTTTGTACTAATCTATACTAAATTGAGCTTAGCTAAGTCGGAAGAGACGGATCTATAAAGGACATTAGCACCGAGATAGTTACGAAGGCACTATGCTATTGCTATAGGCTTAGTCTATTCTATACTATATAGAGGTGAGGTCTATATAGACACCTAAGGCATGAATATTGATACTAACTGGTTATTAACGTTGTTTTGTTACTAACGTTGCTTTCCACCGACAAGTGGTTACTAACAGCACCCCTAGACCTCATTCTCTTGATGGAGCTGTGCCGCGGGCCAATCAGAAGTCGAAACGGCTGGGCAGAGGCCGATGCACGGCTTCGTCATGTGTGAAGGTCTGAGGTCAGGTCGAGTGAAGGCGCGCGCTTACGTTTACGCTACGGGCTCGTCTGTCGTTCAGAGACCACACCACACGGCCTGCTTTTGGGCCGCCAGCGCCAGTACATAGACACCACTAATAATCATTGAGCACTGCTGTCCTCCCTTCCACGCCACATCTCCCTTCCTCTATCAGCGGTCCATCCCACCTTCGACTCGTGAAACGAAACGAAACACCACTGACGCCGTCAGCAACAACTTCCCTGAATCCTCCAGCTAACGAGACAGCACGTGGAACACGATCGCCAGAGCTGCATCACTGTCCCGCCGCCCGCCTCCTCCGCAGCTTGTTGGCAGCAACGACCGACGCACCGATACCCCGTTGGCAGCAACGACCGACCGACGCACCGGGCAGCAACGACCGACGCACCGACACCCCATGCGCCATGACCTCTAGCAACAATCACGAAGAGCTGTTCCTCCAATCCGACTCGCCCGCCAACGACTTTGAAACACCCAAGCCCCTGCAAATCAAGAAGCAAGCATCTCCATCAAGCATAGCCGCAGGCGCAGGCGCTTCCGAGCCACAGCAGCAATGGGCGCAGTACCGCGTGCCCATGAGTAGTGCCGCATATGGAGCGCCTACCTCACCGCCGCCCTCAGGCCCGCTGCCGCTGCCGTACCCCGACGAGCGCACACGACAACAGGCAACACCCGGAGCTGTGCCTAACAACCCGCCGAGCAGGACTGCCACGCCGCAAGAGTTAGCTTCAGCAGAGGAAGGCCGCGCAGGAATCCAGCCGAAACGGCGCAAAGACAGCATGTCGTCCCAGGGCAGTGGTGGGATCGTCGGAAGGCCCAAATTTGATGCCAACGATCCGAACAGACCGACATTAGGTGGATATGGAGGGTCGCCACTATCTTCGTCAAGATTGGCTGAGCGGAGAGGAGCGCCTTCGAAGAGCATCTTCCCTCCAGACTCGCCGGGAGGACCTGAGCCTCCCATCAAGAGCGACGAGGACGAGGGCTTGTTCCAGGTGAAACCGCAGCGGAAGCTGAGCGCCCAGACAGATGCCGAGTACTCGCAGCAGTTCTACCCTCCGCCCTTGGGAGCTGCCCCGCCTGCCACAAGTGCGGCGGCGGCACGAATGCATGTACCCGATCCCGCTGGAATCAACAGGCTTAGCAGTTCTGCTTCCACTTCCACGACCAGAGCCTCACGAGGATCGCCTCCACCACCCGAGACACCGATTGACGGCGCGGGAGCGGCAGCGGCAGCGCCTAGTGGTCTTACTGGTATCGAGGCGCGATATGCCGCAAGTGGTATTCCAGGTGCGAGCACTCTTAATGAGATGCAAGCGCAGAGTGCCGCAGCTGCTGCAAGACGAGCACAGTATGCGCAACCACAGCCAAGACAAGGTACGTTGGGTGTGCCGCAGCAGACGCAACAGTCTAGCTCTGGCGGAAGGTGGAGTCCAACAGAGCCAACAGGTTCCGCGCCGCATGGTCCACCGATCACTTTTCAAGGCGTTGAAGAGGTTGCTTCAAGAGGAGAAGCAGTTCCGTCTCAGGCCTCAAGAGACAGGCAACCTAGCTACCCCAGACCTGCGCAGCCGTCTACGAGTCCGAATCATTTGGCAGAAGACATGAATCGCATGAATGTGCACGAGGAGCCACCCCCGGCTTATTCGCCACCCACAGCTGGCACTGTACATTCACCGTATCCCAATGAGAAGGGCAGGTATGCAAACACTGCGAGTCCAAATGCTGCTGCGGGAGCAGACACCGGCAGACGGCCTACAGATCCGAATTTGCGAGGACATCCAGCTTTCGCCAACGATCCTCCTCAAGCATCGGCTTCACCACAGCCGGCATCGTCGCAGCAAAACGGAGCTACAGCAGGGGTTGCGCCTATCAATGTAGCTCGAGCAAATCAGTCCGTGTCTCCTCAGCCAGGACCTGCAGGACCAGCAAGTCCGCCTCCGCTGCCAGAAGGATGGATTGCACATCTGGATAACAACTCTGGCCATTACTACTACATTCATCTGCCTACACAATCGACGCAATGGGAGTTTCCGAAGGGCCCCACTCCGCTGAACCTGCAAGAACCCATGAGTCCGGGAGCGGGCATCGCAAGTCCAGTCGGCTCAGTCTTCAAGCAGCCACTTGCTTCTCCTGGCTTTCCCGTGCAGCAGATGGCCACTTACGATCGCAATAGTGTGTTCTCGATGAATCCCTTGGCGAGTCCGACTGCGTCTGGTTTCACTGGTCCGCCTCCAAGTGCTGGAGTGGACATGTACAAGATTGCTCCTTCGAATGCGGTATACTTTGGACCATACCTGCGATATACGAACATGGACCTTGAGCGCGGACTGTGGCTGGGCAGTATAATGTTGATCACAGATGCCGGCAACCAGCCTCCGACTATACACCTGCATCAGTCACAGGATCTCAGCCCCAATCCAAGACAGCTGAAAGCTCATCCCATTCATTCCCATCAACGATGGATATTCTACCGGTACGATATTGACCTGAGGATGGAAGAAACTGGCGCATCGAAATGGACGTATGCCATCACCTCCCATCTAGGTTGCACAAGATACGAGTTCCTAGTAGCCGGCAGAAGTGAGACCAGTTGGCGATTCGTGGCGCATTCGGGCAACGACTTCGCTATCAACGTATCGGCCAATGATAGATCGAAGCTTGGCGGTGCAGCTCCGATGTGGAAAGACGTACTCGTCAAGCATCAGGAGTGCGGCGGCTTCCATACTCAGATCGGCCTTGGCGGGCAGATTTACGCCGATCGTCTCTGGAAAGACATTCCCGCGCTACGACAGTGGACGCAGATATCTGGAAAAGAGAACCGAAAGACTGCTCAGTGGACCGCGAAGATGGAAGAAGATGTGACGCATGCGTACTTCCATTACTACACCTCGCATTTCGATCAACCCGCCGTCAAGGAGGCCTTTGCACAGATACCTCAAGTGTGCTGTCTGGACGATCACGACATCTTCGATGGCTACGGATCTTACCCAGAGTACATGCAAGAAAGCCATGTTTTCAAGAATCTCGGCCGAATAGGCATTGAGATGTACCTCCTCTTCCAACACCACACGACACACGAGATCTTGCGAAACGTATCCAACGACATTGACCTCTTCACGATCACTGGCAAAGGATGGCATTTCTTGAAGTACCTCGGGCCTGGTGTGGTCATTGTCGGTCCTGATACTAGAAGTGAACGGAATGAGAAGCAAGTCATGGCTGGTCCGACATATCAGGGCATCTTCCCGAAGGTCGCTACACTACCTCCGAGCGTGCAGCATTGTATTTGGCTGATGCCTGTGCCAATCATATATCCCAGGCTTGAAGGCATTGAGCAGGTGGCAAGCACTGTAGCCACAGGCAAGAAGATCGCGACTGGCAGCTTTAACATGCTTGGCAAGGTTACGAGCGGAGTTGCCGGCATTGTTGGAGCGAAGGGCGTCGTTAACCACGGCTTCGATGCTGCAAAGAAGGCAGTTGGCAAATCTGGTCTGATGCAGGGTGTGCTGAGTCCATTCGGCGATATCGATATGCTTGACGAGCTGAGAGATTTGTGGACTCATGAGTCGAAGGTAAGAATGCGGTCACGGGCGCCATCAAGGATTGACGTGCTAATTTGACTTTCAGGATCTCGAGCGAACGTACATCATTCGCACGCTGCAAGGTATTTCGCACAACAAGTCCTTGCGAATGACTTTCCTCTCCGGCTCCGTCAACTCTTGCGGTGCAGGCCTTGTTCACGACCCTCAGCATCCTTCCGACCACAAGACAATGTATCAGCTCATCACCTCTTCAATCGTCAACGCGCCCACGCCTTCTTATATCCTTCGCATGCTTCACAACAACAAGCAACTCTACATCCCCGCAAACGGCCATCGCTCCCAAATCGGCGTACAATCCGACACCAAAGAAGACATGATGGAGATTTTCGCGGCCGATGTCGACGGCCGACCTCGCGAACACAGAAGACTTATGGGGAGAAGAAACTACTTGGCATGCGTAGCCTACGACCCAGAAGTCGTGCAAGGTGCTTTCCATCCCCAAACTCCAGGCCAACAACCCCAAGGCGCCGGCCGTTTGAGTTTGGCTGCGGACTTCATGGTGCAGAATGACGGCGCTTTTGGACAGCCGATGAAATATGGTCCTGTTATTATCCCTAGCTTGGACTATGGGCGTTAGGGTTGCTCGTGTGTTTTGGAAAGCGGGTGGAGGTGGTATCGGTTGGACAGAGTTGGTGATGGATATGGAATTGCGACAGTGCATAGCGGTGATTGATTCATTGATTCGGCTGGCGAGCGAGCGAGCGGTGTGAAGCGTTTTCCTTCTTTGAGGAGAAGATGAAGCATGTAGATGTGAGAAAGAGAGAGACATAAGGATAGGAGTACCTAGGGATGCATGGATGAATGAATGAATGGAATGTGTGTGGATTGTGGGGACTTTTTCGTCCTTTCCTACTATGATCTCGCTGTGCGGGAGCTTTGAGGAGAGCAAGAAAACTCTAGAAGATCGACGAAGTAGCAACACCGATAGGGATGAATGGAATGGTATGAGTGTAAATTTGGGGACTTTCTTGTCTTTTCCTAACATCACCGCCCGGACACCTTCGAAATTGTAGAAAAACTCTAGAAGATCGACGAAGTAGCTAACGAAGGCCATCTGAGACGACGGCAAACGTCTTCAAATCACAGTTGAGGAACATGAGAATGCAGCCGCCTCCAGCCCACACACCCTCCGCCTCCTTGTCCATTCACCACCACCAAGCCATCGCAGGCGCGTCGTGATCGACGCACACACACACAGCCTTACCAACGCACCCAACCCATCGACCCGGACATTTCAACCCTCGCAAACCAAATCACCGCGCGAGCATCTTGGCTCCTCCACCTCACCGGCGCCTCCATGGAATCTCTTCACAAAAAACGTTTACATCAAAAACCCCCCCTTCCGGAATGTACAGACGCGCGACTCTTTTATCGACTACCTACGGGCTTTCTTCGGTATGTGTCTAAGGCGATTTTTTCTTTTTTGAGGGAGAGGGGAAGGGGAAGTGGATGGCTAGGCTGAGGATGATCGTGTTACGAGTCCGATAAATGGTAGTGACGCCGATGCTGGGCACAGCGAATGAGGATGGTGAGGAGGAGTTGCCGGAGGGGAATCCGGATTGGAATTTTGACGGGTTGGAGATGTGATGCGGATGGAGTGAGAAAGGGACGGGTTTTGTGGAGGACGCGATGCATGCAGAAGCTATGGGTCCAATGGTGGGTAGAGTGTGTGTTCTGCGGGCAAGTGATCTTCATTCCACCAATCTTTTGACAGATGCGATTGGATACGAGAAGCAAGTATATGGCTTGACGAAGATCTTTGCTCAACGGACGCTCCACAGAGTTTCTGGTCCCGATGCACTCGGCAGGTAAGGTATGATCTGGAATCATCTTCGGACACTGATGTTTTCGGGACAGTTCTCGCGGTGGTCTAGTTAGCCGTCGTAGTACGAGAAGCTTCTAGGATCATGTCGCGAGAAAGACAACGGAGCAGTCGGTGCACTCAGCAGGTATGACCCAGAATCATCTTCGTATACTGATGTTGCCGGATTAGTCGAGACAATACTCGCGGTAGTCCCTTTAGCCCTCGTAGAACGAGAAGCTTCTAGGATTATTTCGCGAGAAAGACAAAGGAGTCCAATCAGGCAAGCAAACATCTCCTTCACGGTCAAATACAAGAGTCTGGTCCTATGCAACTGAAGTTTCTCTCACCACAGTCTGCAAGCCTAAGTTTCCCATCATGGTTGATCAGAACGCGAAGCAGAATAAGTCTTCTGCCCCGGCCAAGAGGGCACGATCGACTCCGAAGAAGAGCGAAACTACGAAGACTCAGGGTAACTCGTCTACTCCAGCTCAGACTGGATCATCAACACCAGAGAAGGTCTCGGCCACTCCGACTCAGGCTGGACCATCGACTCCAAAGAAAACCTCAACTACTCCGACCCAGAACAAGACGTCTACTCCAGCTCAGGCTGGATCGTTGACTCCGAAGAACGTCTCGACCACACCGAATCAGAACAAGACGTCTACTCCGGCTCCATCTCAGGCTGAACCATCGACATCAAAGAAGGCCTCGACCACACCGACTCAAGCTGGACCATCAACACAAAACCAAGGCCCGACCGCACAAGCAACCACAAAAAACACCCCAACAACCATCCAAGTCGTCCTAGACGCCCACACCGAACCATACCAAGGCACCAAACCCATTCCCCCGGACCTCCAAAACTTCTCCAACAAAGTCAACGCCGACCTCCTCTCCGACCCAGAATTCGCCCGAAAACTCGACCCCAACCCCCCAAGATCCAGAACCTGGCTCCTCCAACACGACGACCTCAGAATCTTCCTCGCAAACAACTGCTATTTGCGCGGAAATTCTACAATTTTCGAATTCTGGATGGATGACCGCCTCTTTACGAAATGGGTGTGGAGGAATCTTGCGACGAGTGATGAGCGTCCTGGTATGAGGATTGGGGAGTTTTCGTCGAGGGAGAAGGGGAGGGTTAGTGTTCCGGCGGTTGCGAGGCCGGGGGATCCGCAGAGACCTACTACTTGGGCTGAGGGGAGGATTATGGCGGATTTTGGGACGCCTGTTGTGAGGCTTCCGGGTCTGGTGCCTGCTGTGGGTTTGGGTGGTGGAGGGGGTGGTTCTGTTGCTGCTGTGGCTGGATCGGGGGGGAGTAAGGTTGCGAAGAAGAGCGATGATGAGCGGAAGGATAAAGGGGAGGAGGAGGAGGAGGAAGAGAAAGTAGGAAAGGACGAAGTGGACGAGGAAGAAGTGAAAAACGACGGAAAGGATGATACCACCACGGAAGCAGACAGAGGCTCCAGCGACTCGGAATCCGAAATGCCGGCTCCGAAGAAATTTAAGAATATGAGTGAATATTCAAAATTTCTTGCCCCCATGACCAGGGTTGAGAGGAACGATTTCGAGATGCGCCAGGTTTCCGCCGCTTCTGAGGAGAGACTCAAGCCAGAGATGGACCATATTAAGGAGATGATAAAGGAGGCCGATAGGATGGAGGAGGAGAGGAAGGAGAGGGAGGAGAAGGAGAAGGCGGATGCGGAAAAGGAGAAGGAAGAGAGGGAGAGGGAAGAGAAGGAGAGGGAAGAGAAGGAGAAGGAAGAGAGGGAGAGGGAAGAGAGGGAGAGGGAAGAGAAGGATGCGGGTAAGGAGAACGGGAAGAAAGGAATTAAGGAGGAGAAGTGAGTAGAGAGTGAAATGGGATAAAGTTAAGCTTTGATGGCATAAGGTAGTCCATGCTCGAAGTTCACATTGCATTTTGGAAAATTTTCTACCTACTCATGTGAAGAGGCTTGTTTTCCTGTGCTTGATGGCACGCTCAATGATCCAAAGGAGTTGTCTGCCTGGTGGGAGCCGAATATTGGGAGACTGTTGTTCTGCATTGAGAGATTGGACCAGGTGTGTGAAGGATCGCAGATTTGTGCCTTCCTTCTTTGGATGCTTGGCGGCATGTGAAAGTGGAGCGGTACGCTGGGGCTGCGGCTTTTGACCTATAACTTGTAGCCCACAACACAACAGACCTCAACGGTTACATGTCTAACAAACCCAGGATGGCGGCAGATGAAGACTTCCAATTCAACGCAAAACATCGCAATACTAAGTCTGAAGCAGACTCATTCTGTGGTACGTTCAATGAAGTGCCTCTTAATAGCAATGCAGGCTCTCGGACGACTGGTCACAGTACAGACGGCCAGAGCGACAAATCTCGCGATGACTGTACAGATACTCCTGTGCCGCCAACGAGCAATCATGAACGCAATGACCACATCGAAGAGTGCAGAAGTCCCGGACAGGAGGATGAGTGCAGCACTGAAGCGCCGGACAAGTTCGCAATTGCAGTCACAGGATGCTCAAAGACGATACCAACACACTGTGCAAACTCAGACAGCAGTAGATATCGACCGCGACCCGTGAAGGACACTGCCATCTTCAAAGCCTTCCCACCAGCAGCACGTCAACGCGAACTAAAACAAGAAGCCACCAAATTCGCAGCCAACGCACGCAACATCTTCGTACACCACGTCGACCCCGTTCTCGAACTTCGACGAAAAGAGAAGCTAGCTTCTGGAACAACGAAGAAGAAATTCTACTCCAACGCCGCACGACTCTGGGCCGAAATGCAGACGATAGATGATTTGCATGAACAACGCTTTTTCTGGAACCAGAAATCTGTGGAGATGAAGTTGGCGCTTAAGAAGAAGACCGTCACGCCTGGAAATTTGTTGCAGGATGCTGGGTTTGAGGAGGATTGGTGGGAATGCAGGAAGTATGCTGAGATGGCTGTGGGGTGGTATTTGGGGCAGGATGTGCCGGAGGAGTTCGGGGATGATATTACTGGCAATGATATGGACAGCGAAGATCATAATCAAGGTGCTGCGCTACTACCGGACCCAAAGCAAACAATGGACTTGTCGAGCGACACCTCAAAACTGTCTTTTCATCAAGACCTTCCAGGATTCGCTAGGCGGAACGCAGAGGACGACAAGCCCCTACTAGACGTCCTCCCCGAACCCTTTCAATACGAAAAAAGAATCATGTACGGCCAATTCGCTCACGCAGACTATACCGAAATCCGCCACTTGGACGGCAAGCAACAGGCCGCCCGACTCCGACAGCTCGCAGATCTCTTTGATCCAACTGGCAAGATCCTTTTCTATTACTACGCGTATCCGCATATCTGGAAGGATTTCAGGCCTCTTAAGATCGATGAGACTGTGGCGACTAGAGCTCAGGAGAAGTGGAAAGTCCTGGGATCGAAGGAGCAAGAATTTTGGCGAAAGCAGAGTGCGAAGGTGAAGAAGCTGTTAGGGGATGGGAATGTTGATGGGTTGGTTTGTTTGGAGCTTGATAGTATGGATCCGGAGGTTTTGTGGCTGCATCGAGCGATGGATGATGTGTTGGGATAGGTCCATCATAGGCTCCCAGCTTGTAGTGACCTTATGTGGGAGATATGTAGGGATTGAAGGTGCGCACCCGCAAAATGCAAAGGGATATTTTGGAGGCAGATTGTTTCTGTGACAACTGCTTCCATTTTCTCGATAGCGGAGGCTGTTTTGAAAGAGGAAGATCTCAGGCTGTAGGACTTCTGCGTCTTCTTCCAATCATGTCGTGACAACTGGTACAACCAGCGCCCACACGAAGCTCAAAGATATGCCGTGGCTTGCAAGACAATACAAGTAAGGGAAAGATATATAGGCACCCTACCACCACCTCCCGATTCGCATGTCGTATCCAAGCCACCTGGGTATGGTCCATTTCACACAGGCGAGCGCGAAAAGCTGCTGGGTGGCATCCAGGCCTTGGGAATTTTCCCATATATCTTCCACTAGCATTCGAGTCCACGTCTGAAGCGTAGCATCGTCGCTCAAATGGAATGAAACCTGAGTACCAGATCCAGCTAATCCTTGCTGAATAGCCCGAGTGAGACAAAGACACGTGCGTGAGCTGGGCGCGAAGTGGATGAACTGCGATATTTCTGCGTACGTCTCTGTTGCTGTATTACCGTCATCTCCTGGTAGCGAGAGGCCCTGAGAGAGGACCTGAGGCCTGCAGATGATGCGAATCTCATTGTAGTACTCGAGTAGCTGTTTTGAAGTGCCCCGGTGTCCCGAGTCCAGGAAACTCCTCCGGAGTCGACCAGAGCAGTGTAAAAGTACGCGATCGTGATCAGGTCGCCAGTCCAACATGTTGCGCGGGTCCACGCGAAGTTCTGCAAATAGACCAAGAGATCCTGCAATCCGATCCAAGTGAGCCAGCAACTGCGTATACCCTGGTGAAGAGGGGAATAATGACACAGATCTGTCAATGAATTTGAACATCGCCCCTGGCTGTCTCCATCCAAGGAAATCTGCCACTGTACACGATAAATGACGGATTCTACTGAGCTTCAAGGGCCCGGAAACAAAACAGTAGAGTCTCACGCGGGCACTTTCTTTTGGCACAAGCGAAATGTTTTGCTCAATCTTGTCGAGGAGTGGAGTGATTATATTTTGGACTGCCCAATTTGAAACCTGAGATCGCCCCATTTCGCGGACAATTCGGTTCCATAGAGGCAAGAGAAGCGCGTTTGCTACTGGCCCAGATGGCAATGTTGGCATCAAAGCGTGGAGAATGGACCATGCGTTCGCCGAAACACAGTTCTCCCAGAACGCCACATGGGGAAATAGTGGAACCAGTTCTTCGTGAGCATACGGTAGCCAAGACCAGTCGAGATCTTTTTCATGCATATTGCATACGACTAGCCGCATCTCGTCAGCAATCTCTAGAGCTATTGCGGACTCAGAACATTCCAATGTCAACATTTCGTCTGTGACCCTAATCAGATAAGAAAGGCTATCGTTTGAGGTACGTTCAATAGTCTCCGGAAGTCCTGGTATGGATTCGCTCCATATTGAAGGCGAGACCGCAAGTAACCTCAAAGCTCCGCGCAGATATCTATCGCAAGCATCTGCAAAGACGAATTCAGATTTCCAGACGTGTGGTACAGGTCCGTCCGGAGGGAATATGAAATCATGAGCAGAGCGATGTATCCACCCAAGGCGTTCGCGGTCGGCACACATGTGCGCTTCAGCATTTATTACGCTCAAGTCCATAGGTTCTCGGAGCTTCGCAGCATCTCTTGCCGAATCAATGTGTGTTGATGGCGTGCCGCCATGATCGGTCAATTGAGGTATGGCCACGCATCCCACTCTCTCATAGTGAAGAGGATCCTCGTAAATCTGCAGCAATCCCGAGCTACGGCTAACAATTCGCAACCTTTCCATGTCACAGGCCTGTAAGAAGTCTTCATATGACATATTGAGGAGATCGTCGCCCAGCTGCGCAGCGGTAATTTGTGCAACTCTGGGTTGCATGAACCAAGCATACTTTTCGGAAAATTTCATCACTTCTAGATAGAAGTGGAATGATTCACAGTGCAGCGGATCAAGCTTAGCCAACATACTTGCGAAAAGGTCGTTGATCTCTGTGGGAGTCATTTCCAGACGAGTATGCAGCATGTTCCAGTCGTCTCCTGAACTGATACTTCTCACGAGCGTGGGAACGACAAGGACAGCCCAGAGGAAAACGCCGTCAGCGCGATATACAACATCCGCAACGAAGCCAGAGTACGTTCTGTATGGACATTTTCTGAAGACAGGCTTGTCGATAAAGCGACGGAGCTTTGTTTCAACAAATTTCTCAATGTCCGCACGATTGAGTTGTTCCAGGCGCAACTGCCTACAGAAGGAGAAATTGGCGGTGAGCTCTGCTTCAGGTCGACTTGAGACGCAGAGTTTTACGTTCTCGAGGGCTTCGAATCGATAGACAAGGTCTGTGAGGCTACTCAAATCGCCAACAAACTCGTCGAGACCATCCAGGAAGAAGCAGAAGACATCGTCGGAAGAGGTCAAAGCAGCTTCGATTGCAAGATTCAAGCGTTTATCGGTCCATGATGCCTGGCGGCCAGGTTGCCATCGCACAGCCTTGGCGATATTTTGCACCACCTGATCTACCTCCGTACATATTTGATACAGTATCGTGCGCAGCAGACCATTGATGCTCTTCTGTAGCTCAGTGCCGGGGCGCCAGAAGAAGAATTTGAGAACGTGAAGTGGTTTGCCGTGTGCCCATTTAGAAAGACACTCTTTCGTGCGGTCGTCGTCGACAATATGCGCCATCAAAGTTGATTTCCCAGATCCGGCCTTGCCACACACCCAGTAGATCGAGTCGCCTGCATCTAGCCATGTAGCCAAACTGTCCCACTCTGGTTTATCGTGTCGCCAAGCTATTGATTCCTGAGGTTCATAAATCCAGTCAAGGGTCTCAGGAGTTGCACCTTTGATACTGTCTTGCCGAGCTTCCATCATGTCGAACCATAGGCTGTCCAGAATTTGCTCACGCAAGCTCGAAGGCGCTGCTCCAGAGTAGCTGACGTTGAAGACATGCCCATTGTGCATTGTAGCCTGTCCACTGGCGACATTGTCCTGGAAAGACGAGGTGCCCGTGGGGATAGGAAATGCCCTGCCCGCTTCCATGGCTGAGACTGATGCCGAACTGTATATCGGGGCTGTAAAATAGCATTTCGAGTACAGCAGATCTTGTTGCCGGTCGACAATGTCACGCCATGGTTGGGCGGCAAGAAGTAAGGCTGACGGAGAGGATGGAGGTGGGATGTGGACTTGAGGCCCGAAATTCGGACATATCTCGGCCTGCAGGAACCTCTTCAAGGTCAACATCATCTGGCGTCCATTGACATAGCAAAGATGAATGCATCGAGTCTATTGGTAAGGCGGAGCGTGCCTCGGCTACGTACCCAGCTGTGCCAGCGACGATGGGCTCAAGTCCATGATGTGCGATTCTTCGCAGTCCATTCCCGACTTGAGGACAAGGTCCAGGACAAATATCGCGAGAAGCTGGAACAGAAAGCACGAGAAAAAGGTCTGAAGGATATCGACGAGCTGCGCGACGCACATAAACACAAGATACAATCATTACGGAAGGAAAGTCTTGTACCTGGAGTCAATGCACCAATAAATGCTCAACCACCGCCATCGCCACAGAATGTATCGAGCAGCATACCCTACCAACCGCCTCCTCCTCCGCAACCACAATCAGAACAGCAGGAAGCTGTAAAGAAAGCAGCGAAGAGCACGGGCAAGCCAGTGAAGACGTTAGACTCGTTCATTGATGTACAGAAGATATCAGAGCTTCCACAGAAAGAGATCGAGACGATTTGGCGCTTGCGACATGTGAAAGACCCACAGTCGCTATGCGCGGTAATGGCAGCAGATACATTTAGGCGGATACAGGACACCGCGAGAAGGCACCCGCAGTTCATCCTGCCTCTGCCGCGAGAGGAGCAGGGTGCGGAGATACATTTCCTGCAATGGACCTTCCCGTCACCCACCACTGCCACTGTCCTCTTCACACACTTGGCTGAGTTCAAGCTTAGAGGAGAGTACGCGCAGCCGCATACTACCATTACCCACCATCTCGATATGGTAGACAGTAATGGACTGGTGCTTTTGGAAGGCAGAGTGATGGAGAACAAGGGCATCACTGTAGACGAGGGCAGGTTCCTGCTTATGAATCTGCAGAAGTTCTATGGTTTTGAGGCGCACAGTGATGCTGCAAGAGAGAACAAGGAGAGGAGGAGGAAGTTGATGGAGCAGTTCTCTGGAGGTGATGCGAATTTCAAGGTTGAAGAGCTTTTGGAAGAGGCCGAGAAAGTGCCGTGAAGGACATGGAAATATGAGATGGCATCGGTTTCTGGCCATTGTACAAATTGGCAAGATAGAGGAGCGAGACCCGTGACGATACACAGAAGATGAGCATTTGTACAATACTGGCTGGTTAGAGGCTATAGATACCCATGCACAAGGTGCGGATCGATGGCAACATAATGAGTTTCGATGCGATATCGGTGTCAAGCAGCTCTGGCACAGATTCTAGATGTTACATGGATCGAAGCAAGCAAGATTTTATCTACCACGAGCAAAGAGACAACTTTTCTGACGACGCAGGCCCTGTGCACTTCATTCGGCACCATCTCGCCACTTCCTGTATTCATTATGCTCAATCTTGCCCGAACATACAAGCCGACATCAGCTTGCCATGAGCTCAGACTTGCTTCACGACACTCCCGGCACACGGGTATCTGCTCGCCTACACCATAGCCCAAATACAGGTACTATGCTGTGCGAATACACATCGAACGAAGAAAACATGTAAGATACATAGCACAGCTTCACTTCTTACCAGCTCACCATCAAAACCAACCCGACTTCATCCTCAACCATGACCTCCGAAACACATTCCAATCTACAATCCCCCTCCTCCCCACCACATCGATCTCGTAAGCCGACATCTAGACTCAATACCGAAATTTTGGTGAAGAGGAGATGCGGGAGAGACCTAATAATAGTCCGCGGAGCTTCATATTTGTATCAGAAGATCGGCGTTTAGGGAAGTAGAGACTCAGAATTTTGGGGGAAGTGTGAGTAGACGTATCTTTGAGATATGCAATAGGAAAAAAAAACTCATTCCCCGAAAGCTATAGTAATATGCGTGATAGTAGTATACATGAAAGCGATTCCTGTACATGATTCGATCTGAGCCATATTCTCCTCTCATTTTCCCACTCCCACTCTCGCCATCCCGTGAATATTCCTCACAGTCCTTCGATATATGCTTCCAGCTCGTAATTATACTCGCGATCAGCCGCGTTCCTCGCTTTGTACTCTTGCATTTCATGCTTGAAGTCGTCCGCAAGCCCACGCACATCCTGACTCATCTTGAGCAGTCGAGCATTGCGCGCCTGGCTCTTCTGCTCGTGCAGGACGAGTAAGTCCTTGTAGTATTTGGCCTGTCTCTGCTCCTCTTGCTGGACGAGGTACATGTTACGGCGATGATACTCTTCCAGCATCTGATCTGTCGCGTTCTCTTGCTTGACAAAGTGATTGGTCAAGCCTTGGGCGCATCTGACCAGTCCGTCGAAGAAACTGCGCTGGTGTGGTTTCAGAAGTCCGGTCCACTCAACAAGGTCCTCTGAGCTGGCTTCCGAGCCGGGGTCGATGGCAGCGTGGTGTGGCGACTTCTGTACATAAGATCCTGGAGTGGAACTTTCTTCGTTGACCAAAGTCTTGTCAGGATCCTCCTCTTCAGCCACTGGTGCGGTGTACTCAAAGAGCTTGTTCTTTGAGCGACTGGTCTTCGCTGCAGAGACACTCGGCTGAGCCTCTCTCTTCTTCCGGATGCCTGCCGGGTGTACATCTGTTGATGGTGAGGCCGGCTTCTTTGCACGTCGAACGGCATTTCTCGAGGGGACTTTCTCTGGAGACTTGTTCTTCTCGCCAGGCCTCTTCGACTGACCTTTCCTATGATCATGAAAATAATCATTGAGGGTCCGTAGAAGTCCCGCAGCACTCGGTATTCTCTCTTGGCTTTCACTGTCATCGTCGTCTCGCTCCTGTGAAGTACTGAGCTCATTCGCGATGTCTTCCGGAGCGTCGATCTCTCCGTACAGCATTCTAGATTGAGCTTCGGTGACTTTGACACGAGACAATGCAGTCGACTCTGCTTCCGGTTCAGCAGGCACAGGCTTCGTATTGCTGGACATCACCTTCCGCTGATGAGAGGGTGGTGCGATGAAGGGATCTTCCTCGGATAAATCAACATCATCGTGGTAGGGCGTCTGCCGGGTCGGGAGCGCATCCTGAGCGCGATCTGAAGAGATGCTAGCCTGCTGGGAGAATGTCTCAAGGACAGTCTTGGTCTCTGCAACATCCATGTCTGGAGGCACTGGACTTCCATGCATGTCGACTGTTTGTGATCCCTGCGAAACTTGGCGAAGGGTTCTCTTGGACAATCGCTTGGCTTGCGCGCCAGCGTGGACATTCTTTTGATTCCCAGCTTGTTTCTTTGGGGACATTTTTGAATTTCTCGGGGTGGCTTCATGCCGACGAGCCTGACTGGGCTGTTCGACAACGGTAGATAGCTTGACACGCTTCGGCGCTTGCTCCGATGGTAAGTCTACAGCAATTCCACGTTTGGGCCGAGAGCTTGCAGCAGTCTTCTCAACTGGAGGTGCTGCAGTTCGAGTGGCCGTTATGGTGGCAGCTCCCTTGGTGCGTGGCGGTGGAGGGGGCATCTTCTTTGAGGAGCTTTCGAGGGCAGGACTGTCTGGAACAGCTGTTTGATCCTTTTGCTTTGATTTATGAGCTGGTGGTCGCGACTTGTTCGAGGTCGAACCAACTTGTGTGTGCCGGCTACGCACATGACTTTCGCTTCTATGCGAAGGAAGCGATTTTGCCTTCTCTTCTCTTGATGTCGACTTTCGGTCTTTATCCTCTTCCGCGATTGCTTCGCCGTCGACTTCATCAAGTCTTTGGCTCGGGCGTTGCGTGTTCCCTGGCGTATCTCGGTCCTTGGAAAGCGCCCTCGGCTCCACATCTTTCATGGAGCGAACAGCCTTGGTCTCTCGTAAGTGCCGTCCTTCATCCTTGTTTCGACGAGTATCGTTCACGGTCTCGATAATCTCCTCAGATGCAGTATTTTTGACCGAAGCTGAATTGCGAATGTTCTGAGTCTTTGGTTTCTGCCGTTCTGGCGTAGGAGATTGGTGCTGAGATGGCCTCAGATCACCAGCGTCATCGTAATCATTGATATCGACAAACTCATCATTCTGGTCTGACTCTTTTTCTCCTGCAAGTGCTTCGCCCTTGTTGTGGTTCGAAGAAGCGTTTTCAGAGCCATACTTTGCCAAGACGCCGTCACTCTGGCTGGCGGAATTGATACGCTTGCCGAAGTAATCTTGGAAAGCATCAGCCACATCGCGCGAAGTATTGCTGGGCTGAGCCTTCCGGGTACGGGTACTGATCCCTGTCGAAGACTGTTGCTTGCTGCGATGCTTGGAGCGCTCGTCGGTGTCCCCTGGCGCCTTGGGTGCGCTAAGATACGCCTTGGTTGGCGGCATTGATGATCGCGCGGACTTGGCACCAGGAGTAGCGATGGGCATTCTACCCTGATTGCGTGGGCCGGATTTGTCGAAGGCAATGATTGTCGTTTTATGTGATCTTGCCGTCTGTTGCTCAAACTCGGCGACACCCCCAGCAATAGCTTGCTCTCGCCGTGGCGGGCTCGAACGGAAGGCAGTGGGCGTTGCGAAATCCTTGGCTTTGACAGCAGATTCAGGTTTCAACACTTTCTCCACGGGGTCAGTCGGTAGTGAGCTAGAGTCTGAAGGATCCGAGAGAACCTGAGGGTTCTGTCGTGATCCAGGAACGTTGAGAGCATTGGCAGCATCTTGTAGTTCAACAGGTCTGTCGGGTACGTGGACGTCGTGCTGGTGCTCTCGCTCTGGTGCTCCCGAATCAGCTGCGCTCAAGGCGTGAAAGTCTTTGGAGTGGAGGTCTCCGATGGGAGCAGGATCATTATCGGCAGACGCATCTGCCTCGCTGTACTGGGCAAGCTCTAGTTCAGAGCTTTTCTTGGGCTTCCGTCTCTCTATATCGTCCCTCACGAGCTTTCCCGTGCTCTTTACTTGCTGTTTGGCTGCCTTTGGCTGAGAGCTGGAGACCTTGGGCAACTTTCCGGCAACATTTATAGAGTCGTACCCAACGGAAGTCTGGTACTGCTTTTGCATTGGCTCGCGCAATGCCTGTTTCTTGCCTTTTGCTTGAGCCTTACCCTTTGGAGATGATATTGGTATGTCATAGTCGCTGTCGGCGACATCATCTGATTCGAAGTGGAAGGGCCCATTGGCAAGTTTAGTTTGCATGGTATCCGGGCCGACAGTCTCGCGCTTCTTGCCACCTCGGTGCCTATTAGCTCGCCCACCCTCGTGCCGAGCTTCTGGCTCTGCTGTTGCATTGGTCTTCTTGTTGGAGACAGCAGGGGTGTCTCCCAGCATTCGAGTCTTTGCAGTAGACTTGGGAGCCGGTGTTGGAGCAGGATCCGCTCTGCCTTTCGAATTTGCTGTAGTGGGAGCAGGGGCTGGTGTCGCTTGACGTGTGCTGCTTACAGCGCCTTTTTGCGGTGCAGGTGTGGCTGCCTTCTGGCTGACCGCTCCAGATTTGCCGGTAACATTTGTCTTGGTGACCTTAACTGGAGCTCCAGCCGTCCGTGACGAGGTGCTCTGGGCGGGTCGTGTTTCTTGTGCTGCTGGTATCGACGCTGCTGCAGAAGCACCGCCAGCATTTGGTTGTCTGGCACGAAGCCGGTCGGCTGCTCTAGTCCCTGCCATCTCGTGGTGTCCTTCAACTTTTCTGAGAACTGATGTCGGAGCAGCGCTGGTCTGAGATGTAGCGCCGGGAACCCTGCCGGAAGTCTTCCTCTCGGCACTGGTATTGCTGCTCGTACTCGTACGTGCTGCAGCTTGGTCGATAGTTGGCAAATGGTCCTGGCGCTGCACATCCGTGTCGCTATCCAGTGCTTGTTGTGCCACTGCTCGAAGATTTGAAGGCGTTCGCCTGGGTCTGAGTTTTCTCACAGTAGCCTCCTCAATGCCTGGTCGATGATCTTTCTGTGTGTTGGCAAAGTCCGTCTGCGCCTGCGGTTGCATTCCAGGAATGGTGCCAGCGAGAGCGCTTTCTGCCCCTCCGTCCGTGAAGCGAGATTGGCTTTTGTGTTTCTGCTCGGGAGTGATATTGTATAGCTCATCGCCATCCGGCTGCCGAGACTGCTCCACTGTCACAATGCTGCCATTGGCCACAGGCGCGTCGTTCTTATAGGAGTCTTCAATGCGCGTCGTCGCTACGCTACCTGCAGGAGACTTCTGAAGTCGCTCGTCTTCCTTGTCGAGCTTCTGCGCCGAAACTGCCGTGTTGCTTTCAAGCTGGTGCGGTGACTCCACTGGCGCAAAGGCGTTTTGTGATTCGGGGATCTCGCGTGGGCTGCTGAGATGGCTTTGGCTAATGTTAATGACCGCCCGACTTCTGATCTTCGCCGCCATAACAAGCCATGCCGGGGGCAAATGATGTCTTACTGTGGCAAAGAGGAGATGAGATGAAGTGCAAACTTGGCGAATTGAATTTCGCCGGTCGGGCCGTGGGAGTCGCGCGATTGCCTGCTTGGACATTGGGAAGGAAGCGAAGGCAAGGCAAGGCACGAAACAGGAAAGCGCGTACTCACAGCTCTATATTTGCATTTGCATTTATCTGTCGCTCTTCTCTGTCGCACGCTCAACGTCCACTAAACATCTCTTTCGTAGCAGAGTCCTACCACGGCTTCGAACTGTCGGTACCTTCGCTCCTTCATCATCATCAATCGTTCTTTCCCCGTCCCCAAACAGCGGCTTAAAGAAACCATCATAGCTTGCCCATACCGCCTTGAAAAGGGCAGCAGTGAGTTCCTTCAGCCAGGCTGGCAACTGGCCGTCTTTGCCCGTGAAAATCTCGCCACCAAGGAGCACGAAGAATATTAAAGGGCCCCAAACCGTCAGAAACACGAATTGGCCAAGTCTCTGCATGGTCGTGGTGGGGGTGTATGGCTGCAACGCTTGCAGGTAATCCTGGTACTCACATGGCAAGTTGCATTCCGCAGCACCATCAGTGATCAGTTTGAGGTATCTGGCGCTGGGCTGAGCGTATTCGGTATCTGGTCTCTGGAACCTGCCGCCATCCTTTGGCGGCTCTTCACCTGGCGGAATTGCCGGAGCAAAGAGTGTATGCGCTTTGAAGGGCTCAGTATTTGGATTCTGCGGCACTGGATCCCATGGACTGGCTGTTGGAAGCGGGAAGCAGTCTATCAGGATGTCTTTGTACGAAGATCCACCACCCTCGGTCGCAATGATATGTGCGTAGTCGGCAGCTGTGACTTCATAAACCACGCCAATCAAGCCTTTATGCCACTTTTCTCGCCGTCGAGAGCTATTGTCTAGCAGGGGCGACTTCTCATCCTTCCCGCATCTGCCCCATGTGCCCATGCCTTCTGCATCCTTTTCCGGATCGCGCTTTGCGCTGTTCGCAAAACATGGCTCCACATACGGTATGCCAGGCAGATCGAATGTCAAGCGCAACTCAGGCACCTGAACATTGATCTGGCTCAACGGCTTTATGCCTCTCTTCCCTCGAAACGTTTCATTGCTCAAGTTCGATCCATATGCCAGATAGAGCACCGTCTCATTCTTGCTCGCCGCCTCTTTGACAAATTCGTCTACGTCGAACGGTCGATCGTTACTAGGAAGTGTTGTGGACCGCGGGCGCGTTCCAAGAGTAGCAGCGCAGAGGTTATCCACGTTCGAAAATTTTCGGCTTGGCGTTGCTTAAAAAAAGCCGGCGGTGAGTACCTCCCTAACCTAGGCTACCCCGGATTTCCTAGGTACGGTGTACACTCTATATACGAACTTAAATTCCAACCCGGCATCCAATCATTTGAATTGGTTTGCTGTTTGACGAGTGTCCTTATACACTTTATTGAGGGCCTGAAATTTTCGGGAGCAGGGGTGTCCGGCTACTATATAGCGTTATAATCCTCCGGCGGCAGACTATTTAATACTTTGGACCTCGCTATAATAATAGCACAGTTCAAGGTATTAATTTTTAAATATTTTACGATCCCTTTTTTTTACTTTTTAGGAAAGGGGTTTTTTTCGAAGTCTATATATATATATATAATAAGATAGCATATATAGTAAAGAGTATATATAAACGTATATATAGAAAGTAAATATACTAGTTACAGGTATATATTTATAATGCTAGTATACAATATATTATAAGAGTATTAGGATAGATTAGGCTAATATTAGTAGAAACTATACCTTTATTACCGGACAACTTAGTCCGTTATATAACCTAGATATATTCGAAAATCAAAGAAATATATACGTTTACTTAAATTATAGAATTAGAGCCGCGCGAGTTAGTATAATAGTCTAGCAACCTGTTAAGTTACTTAGATAGGAACTCGATAATAGAATTTCCTCTTAGTAGTTACAGTCTATTCTAAACGCCGTCTAAGTATAAAACTATATATAGTAGATTAATGTATAAAGTACTCCTCCTCGAAAGTTAAAACCTAACTCCGATATAGTAGTACTACTACCTCCTATCCTAGACGCCGTCTAAGTATAAAACTATATATAGTAGATTAATATATAAAGTACTCCTCCTCCTCGAAACTAACTCGTAGACTTAGCGAAAATTATATATCTAGTATAAAAAAAAAGTCGATATACCTACTAGACGCCCTAGAGCCTTACTATTGCCCCCCCCCCCCGATTAGGCTAATACTTAGTACCCTATAGGCTATTATATTAGGGCGCCCCTAGACTAGATAGCTATAGAATACGGAGTATCCTATATATATCTCGATAAATACTAATCCGATTTCAATAAAAATTATACTATTAGAACCGCGCGGGTCGGTTCTATAGAACGTAAAACTTTTATATAAATCGACGACCTTCGAATTTAGTATTAGTAGGTATTAGCTAGTATTAGCTCTAACTTAATTCTTAACTATTAATAATTCTATTTCTCCCGGCTATACTACTTAATATAGTCCCTACTATATAAAGGCATATATCTTAAAGGAGTTATAAGATCGATAGGGGTTAAGAGGTCGTAGGTTCGAGTCCTATACTAGCTATTTTTTTTATTTATACGTAATTAATAGGAAATGTACTTAAATCTTTAATTAAATATTACTACTACGCAATTAATAGGAAATGTACTTAAATATTTAATTAAATACTACTACTATTAAGCTAATACCTTTATACGCAATTAATAGGAAATGTACTTAAATCTTTAATTAAATATTACTACTATTAAGCTAACACCTTTATACGTAATTAATAGGAAATGTACTTAAATCTTTAATTAAATATTACTACTATCAAGCTAATACCTTTATACGCAATTAACAGGAAATGTACTTAAATCTTTAATTAAATATTACTACTATTAAGCTAACACCTTTATACGCAATTAATAGGAAATGTACTTAAATCTTTAATTAAATATTACTACTACGCAATTAATAGGAAATGTACTTAAATGTTTAATTAAATATTACTACTATTCAGCTAATACCTTTATACGCAATTAATAGGAAATGTACTTAAATCTTTAATTAAATATTACTACTATCAAGCTAATACCTTTATACGCAATTAATAGGAAATGTACTTAAATCTTTAATTAAATATTACTACTATTAAGCTAACACCTTTATACCCAATTAATAGGAAATGTACTTAAATCTTTAATTAAATATTACTACTATTAAGCTAATACCCTAGCTAATAAGCTAAGAAATGCGGGGTAAGTTAAATTCCCCTTTACTTTAATCTTTGTTTCGATTGACGTTCTACGCTGAAATCCGGGGTAAGTCAAATTTCCCTTCAATCTTTGATTGTATATTACTTCTGCGAAATTTCTCAGCCAATCATTTCGGTCTTGGCGGACAACTTAGATTTTCGCGGGCGGTGGCCGCGGTGTCTAGATTGGCAGCTGCGCTGCCAATGAGAGGAAGCTAGTCTTGCGCTACAAGGTCGTCGAGGTGTGCTTTGTGACACTTGCGGCGGCGAATCCGTCGTGATGCGATTACGAATAATGGCGTGCTGGCATGCGTAAGCTGTAGTCAGCACTCGATTGGGTTGCTGCTCGGTGATTGGTCCCATGTCGTTGGATCTTGACTCGTCTATTTTGTTGCGGTTTTGCGGACAAGAATGTGTTATGCAAAGCAGTATGAGTTCCACTAGATCAATGGATATCGGCGAGCATCACGGACAAAGGTACTGACATGGTAGGCTGCTTATCATCAGGATGCAGCATATCGGCAACACGGCGTCGACAATGATCCGCTCCCGGCACTGAATCAGCCCGAGCCAAGACAGCCACTTCTTCGAGACTTCGACCTCCCTCTTCCTCTCATGTTGGCGCTTCTTCTTGAAATGCAGCAGTCGCAAAGGCTGTGAGGAACAACTTGTCATAATGGAGCAAGGAACGCATCAGTACGGGACCGGTTCCGGTCTTTCGTCGAAAGAGGCCGCCGCAAGCTTGGAGACAAATGGACAAGCAGGTGCGAGCATCCTCGAGTTGCGATATCGTTCAAGCGTCTGCATGGTCTAGGAGACACGACATCATGCAGCATGGTATGATAAAGAGAGGGCCACCTTCACGCTCTCTGACATCCATGATGCACGTGAAAGCGCGTGGCAGACGCGTGCCGAACCGTCCAGCAAACTCTATTCTAAGCTTGATATTTCATCTCCCTCGCTGACTTCTCCCTGGTCATGATCTTGAATCGCTTCGACCCGAGGTCAACAACGTGAATTCGCCATGGACTTGCAACATGGTTCTTCCGGACATCCTAGCCTCAAGCTATGGGCGCTATAAAGAAGACACCAATCTGTTCGCCACTTGGTTAACGAAAGCAGCACAGGCCACAAGATATGAGACCGCGAAAACACAACCAGCGGCTCCAGTGATGACATCGCCGAAATCGAAAGGTCGTGCTCGTATGCTTGCGAAGAAGGCGGCAACCGAGTCCGGCAAAGTCAATGGAGCTCCCTCACCAAAGGCGACTACGCCCGAACAACCAAGACCAGCGGCTCGCTACATGGTTGGCACAGTCAAGATCATTCGTCAAGCTGAGGCTGTAGCAGCGTCTACCAAGTACTTCCAGTTGCCAACGCCTATTCTGCAGGCAGTAGAGCGCGCCATTCCTGCTAGAGAGAGATGTACCAGATATTTCCGGACTGGTACCCAAGCCGCCAAAGATCGTGCCAGTGACGAAAAGCACGATCGCTTTACAGAAGTCTTGAGAAAAGCGCGGGGTGTATTGAAAACCGAACCAATTGGGGCCGACTGCTGACAGAGAGTACGAGTCGGCAGGGCAGAATGGGAGTTAATCCAACGCGGGCAAATCCGCTATTAAAGTGCTACTTTACTTACCGTCGAAGAGCCGCTAGAAATCGTAGATAGCGAAGCGAGTATAATACTAAGGAATATAAAGCTAATTAAAGGTAGAGCTATAGTCGACGATAGAGAAATCTACGAAGCTATACTTAACTTACTAGAAGAGCTTATATTTATAGTATACTGTTTTTTTCGAAGACATATACTAAATACAAAGCTACGTTATATGGATTTAGCGCGAACCTAGATTTTCTTTTAGGGCTATAACTTTAAAAATTTTAAAAGGAAGCTAGGGATTTAGAGATAATTTAGGATATTAATATACTAAGTGCTAGGGATAAGAGGGAATAGGGGAGTAGGTAGTTAAGGGTTGTAAGGGATATAGTTAAGGGGGTTTTAAGGTAGTAGAGATAGGGTATATATAAGGGAATATTCTTTTATACCGCCGAGACCCTTACTAGGCACCTATAAGGTACCCTAGAGGTGCCTCGCTAGTAACCCCGAGTTACCTAACTCTTAGTACTATAGGATAAGGCGCCTATTCCTACCTCGAGAATCGCTTATTCCTTAGGCGATATCGTTAAATGCTAAGACTACTATTTACTCGTATTAATACTCTCTATATACTACTTCCTTATAGAATATCGCCTCCGAATCCTCCTTAGGAGTATAGCCGTACTAAGTACGACCTCTAAGTAGTAGTACCTATATCGTTAGCACCTACTAGGCCTCTTCGAAGTACCTCTAAGCTACCCGAAAGCACCTCTAACTAGCGTACCTACTCCTAACGTAGTACTACCTACTTATTAGTACTATACCTTCTAAAGGAAGCGGTAGGGCCGCCGGCGGAACCGGTATATCGTTATCTAAAGGAAAAGGTCCTAATATTAACCCTCTAGTAGAAGAATAAGCATTCCCTACTAGACCTAGAGACTAACTTTAAGACGATAACGAAGAAGATAACGATACTACTCCGGACGATACTATAAGTACCTTAAAGGGACCTCGTAGCTCCCGTATAAGTAGCCGTACGGAATCTAGTCCTAAAGAAGAGGATTAGGACCTAAACCCTTAGGCTAATACCTAGTAGATAGTAAAGAATAATATTAATCGAGTTTCTCGGCTTATTAATACCCTCGATACCTTATTGCTAGAGGAATTAGAAGGCTAAGCCTTCGACGCTTACGTTTAGAAGCGTAAAACCCTTATAGATCTCCTTGCCTCCTTTAAAAGCAAGATTGCTATTAAAAGGAAGAGGGTAGAGACCGTCGACGAGATCGCAAGTCCCGCCGGCGCCTCGTAGGTACCTCTAGGGCCTCTAAGAGACCCCTTAATTAAGCTCTTTAAGAAAGATCCTCCCGAGCTTCTTACTATAAACAACTAAGCTTTTCTTAAGTAGGCCTAAGTATACGAGGCCCGCTTCTTCTATATAAATTGTACCGATCGAGACGGTACTAGACGCACTCTATAGGCGACTAGTAAGGTTAAACTAGTAGAGATTACTACTGCCGTTAAACGGCGTATCTAATCGTATATAAATAACTATACTAAGTTTAGATAGTCCGAGTATAAAGAACTTATTAAAGACACTATTAGGCCTCCGGCTATATAGCGAGCCGAGAATGCTATATCCTACTAGAGTGCTATATACTACGCTAATTAACTAGTAATAAAGTTCTACGCCTATATAAAGAAAGTCGAAAGCTAAATCGAGTATAGTTTTCCTAAAAATAGATCGTATAAAACTATACGCATCGACTTCTATTATACTAAGCTTCTAAAGGACATCTAAGTAGAGATTATCCGCATTAATAAGCTAATTTCGTTTTAGACCGTTAATAATCTCTTTAACGAAGTATACCGTATCGAAGACTCGGAGTCTATAAAGAAGAAAGATGCCGCTAAGAGTGCTCGCAATTCCGGCGGATCTTCTAAGTAAGTATCTAGTTCTAGAACCGATACCCCTCCTAGTACCTTATAGGTACCTCTAAGGGGCCCTAGGGATAGAGGTAGCGGTCGGGGTTAGTTTAGAAACCGTAGCCGAGGCTAAGCCTAGGGCGGATTAGTAAACCTAACCTCTAATTCCTCCGCTAGAGATAGCTAAGCCTCTACCGGTTCGAAAAACACGAAGCCCTAGTCGCTTCCCTTTCCTTACTACGACTAGGGCCTAATACTAGAGGAAGAGAACGACGTATTGTCGTCGACGTTAAAGTGCCTTATAAGGGCCTTACGCGTATCCTTAAGGCACTAATCGATTATAGTACCTAAATTAACCTTATCTCTTAGTATATAGCGAAAGTCCTAGACCTAGTACCGCTAGATCTAGTCCCTCCGAAAGTTACTTTCCTCGATAACAATCGTATAACGATCTATAAGGCTTACTCCCTCTCTCCGATAGTAAAGGATAAGACAGGTGCCGAGCGTACTATCTCTTAAACCTTTTAGGCTAGGACCTTTACCGGATACGATATAGTTTTAGGATAGGACTAGCTCGCCGATACTAATCCTCTTATCTCTTTCTAAAAGGGAACCTTTATCTAGAACCCGATTACCGGAGACCTAAAGGACTACTTTAAGGCGCCTAATAAGCCCCTCGGAGACTCCTACGAGGTCCTTACGAATAACCCTATCTATCGTATTCTTATAGCAATCGTTAACAGATCGGCTGCCTTATAGCTTAAAGATAGCCGGTATATTATTAGACCCGAAACTACTAACGAAGAACTACTAGGTAACAATCCTAACGTCGCTAGTGCTTCGGAGGTACCTCTAGACTACCTCTATACCCCGGTAGTAGAGGCTCTTATAACCCTCTCCGTCTAAGGAGGAGGTAACCGCGATCCTACTACTATCGATTGCAGTTAATAAGATCGTTAGTAGATTAGGGCACTTATTACTTATTCTAGGTTCAAAACCCTTTACGACCCTTACCCTAAATTAACTTCGCTTCCCGGCTCTATCTACTAGTATACTATTATCGCTACTACCGAAGTTTATTAAGAAGTACCCGAAGCATTTAAAGACTACGTTAATGTCTTTAATACCGACCTTGCTAGCATTATTCCTTAGCATTCTTAGTACGACTATGCTATCGAACTAGAAGTAGGTAAAGTTCCTCTATAACTTCCTATTTATAACCTCTCGTAGGACGAATTAAAGACACTCCGCGAATACATCGATTAGGCTCTAGCTAAAGGCTAGATCCGGCCTAGCAAGTCCCTATATAGTATACCTATCCTCTTTGTCCTAAAGAAGGATAGCAGTATTCGTCTACATATCGACTATTATAGCCTTAATAAGATTACTATTAAGGACCGCTATCCGTTGCTACTTATTAGTAAGCTTCTCGATCGGCTTAGTAAGGCTAAGATCTTCTCTAAATTAGACCTTAAAGATGCCTATTATCGTCTTCGTATTCGCGAAGGAGATAAATAGAAGACGGCTTTTAAGACTCGTTATAGACTATTCGAGTATACTAGGCATACGGTTATAGTACGAAGGTATCGTAACGGTTATACGGTATAAAAGTTAATGCATTCTCTAAGGTACCGCGAGGCAAGCTATCTATATAATAGTCCTACTATTAGTAGTAATAGCGACCGTAGCGGTCGATAGTAACTACTGCCTACTATCGTATATATAATAGTATTATATCGTAATAGCCTCCCCCTCTATAAAAAAGGTCGGTACTGTCTATAGTGTCCTAAAACAAAGGTCCTTAGTAGGCCGCACCGTAGGAAGGTTTAAGGCAAAAGAGCGTAATAGCGTCGCATAAAGGCTAAGCCTAAACAGTATACTAGAACGGTAATGCTAGGTATAGAATCGTATCTCTCTAGTAATAACTGCGTCGGTTTTATACTTGCTTATTACGACGGTTACGAAGGGCGTCGCGTAAGCTAGTCGGTATAGTCTAAACCGCTTTTAGCTACAGCTAAGGCGCGGCGGTCTTTATAGTCTTATTATCGGATAGCGAGGTATTAACTGCGTCCGCTATAGTAGTAGCGCGGTCTAACTAATCGATAGGAATATTAGGGAAGTCGGTACCTAGCAATAGTAGCGTGTCGGCGTCGCGTATAGTACCGTATAGCTTAAAGTAGTCGGCTATCTATATATTAAGCTTCGCGATCTTATCCTTAGTAGTATTGCCTTATACGCCGCCGAGCAGCTTAAAAGCGTCCTCGTTAATTAGGTATAGTATAGGGATTGCCTATTACGGCGCGACGCGTAAGAAATCGTAGTAAAGATAGGTTAGCGATAGCGTAAGCGACTCCTTTAAGACTATAGCGGAAAGACGATACTACTAGGCTATCTAGCGCTTAGTTGCTTCGCGGATCTATGCCTTAGCTAGCATCTGTTAAAGCTAGTATACCTCGGTTGCTACTAACTCGGACTAACGCATATAGTAGAGAGCTTGTAAGTTAAGCGTACGTATACTAATTACTATCGCATTGTATTAGTATTGTTCGTAGGCGCCTATAGTGTTTTCCTATAAGGCGGGCAAAAGTAGTAAGCGTATTAGAAGCGATAGGAGCTTGTACTATAGCTACGCAACTGTATTATTAGGCAGTAGTAGCTAAGCCGTAACTAGAGCCTTCGTAGGCGTAGAGAATAGGTTAGACGGTAGCGGCATCTTCGATAGTAGGCGAGGCGCTAAGAACGGGCTAGCGGTTAGCTTCTAGCGAGTATTTAACTTAGTCGATAGTAATACGCGCGAGGAGTTTAGCTAAATCGCCTTAGTTAGCGGAGTAACGGCCGGAGGTTGCGGCTTAGCCCGAGTCGCGAGCTTAGGAAGGAAGATTTTGCTAAAAAGGCGCGCGTTAGTAAGGTCGGTCTCGTCTAGCGAGTAGTCGGGTAACAGTACTAGGAATGCGCCTATAGGATCCTAAGTATAGTCGATATTATACTACTAGTAATTCTTATTCGTTACTATCTTATCGTACTTAAAAATAGTATTGCCCTATATAATACGCTTCTAGATACCTAAAGGATCGAA